AACCATCCCCATTAGTTCAAAAGCATGTTCATCCATTACCTTCCCTGAAAGAGCCAATGTCCAGTACAGGAACTCCCCATTCCCTCTATCAAGTCTCTGATAAGCATTAGACCACACTTTTTGTCTCTGCATACAGACTTGCCTATTTTGAGCATCTCTTACAAACGGAATCAGAACATATATAGCCCTGTCTGTCTTTCACTTAGCAGGTTTTCAGTTAATCCATGCTGTAGTACATATGTAATTCCGTCCTTTATACAGCTGCAGGATTTTGAGGTATAGACACACCACACTTTATTTAACGAACACTGGGATTTTCTCTATTTTTTGGCTGAGGTGAATGCTGCTGCTGTGAGCAAGTGCAACCTTTTCTAATTCTCTTGGGTATTTAACTGCCCATTAGTTTGCCAATGCCGCACCTTTTCGAGTTCCTGGTAGAATATAACTCTAATTCTTCCATAACCCCGGCTGATTTGCATTTCCCCGATGACTAGTATACTTATCATCAAAGTAGGAAAGCATAAAGTGATTCTTTTCCAGCTAAGTTTAATGGTCAATGTTTACTAATGCCTACCTGCATCTAGTTCAGTTTTATAAACTACAAATATAAATATGCTAAGCTACTAACAGCTAATCAGATACAAAATAAAAGCTACTTACCAGCATGAATTTACATAGAAACACATGAATATAAGCTAACATTATAGTATTACAAACTAACCTGTGTGTGACAATTCAGCAAAGAACAGCACTTTATCATTCGTTTTATCACCTACAAAAAGGACAATTATTAATGTCAAAAATTAGCTAGAACTGATTGTAATAAATGTCTGACTCTGGTAGAAGATGTCAACAGTGGAGAAGCAGGAAGTATAAGGGAGGACAGCAGCTATGTGGAAACTCGGGGCTTCCTAGTCACTTTTGCTAGTTCAAAATACTAACAAAACAACCTAAAAATCACTAAATCTTTCCTGAAAACTTGTTAAATACTGAAATTCTCATGGTACTGTTATACTAGTGATCAAAATCAGACTTAATAGCAACATATATTAAAAGGGAAAAACATAATCTGGTTTGAGGAGCGATGGGGGAGAAGGATGTAACCAGCAAGATGAGTCCATCTAGAGATCTTGTCTTGGAGGTCTGGAGATGTATCTCAATAGTGTAACTCTCGAGTAGCACACACGAAGTCCTGAGTGAGACCCCAACACCATGAAACCATAATGGTACTACAATGTGCACTAACAAAAAAATAAATAAAAACAAAAAAAAAAGCCGGGCGTTGGTGGCGCACGCCTTTAATCCCAGCACTCGGGAGGCAGAGGCAGGCGGATCTCTGTGAGTTTGAGGCCAGCCTGGTCTACAAAGTGAGTTCCAGGACAGCCTCCAAAGCCACAGAGAAACCCTGTCTCGAAAAACAAAACAAAACAAAAACAAAACAATGTGCACTAAAAAATAAAATCTAGGAAGCGTGGATTTCAGGGACTGGGCATAGTGGTGCACACCTTCAATCCCAGCACTAAGGTGGCAGAGGAAGAAAAAAATCTGAGTACAGGGCCAGCCTAGTCAACATTGTGAATTCCAAGTCAGCCAGGGATACAGAGACCCTGTCTCAAAAACAAACAGCAACAACAACAATGTGGACTTTAGAGTTTTCTGTTTGATTTTCATCCCAGGATGACCTTAGTCTTGCAGTGATGTAGTAACCCTCATGCTCAGCCTTAGTGCTGGGATTGAAGGTATGCTGGGATCATAAATATGTACCACAGCAGCAGATTCCTGACTTCAGATATTCTTATCACAAAAAAGGGTAACTATGACTATGGAAAGCAATGCACATTTAATGTACTAACACTTTTTGGGTGTGTCACAACATGTTTTATGCCTTAAATATACACATAAGAAAGGGGAGGTGGGAGCAGTCAATAGACCCTCTGATGTGAGAACTAAGTGGACATTCTAACAAGACTAGTTAAGTGAGGAAAACAATCAAGCATGGGGCTTAGTGAATGGCTAAATGTGTTTGGTATTTTGGAGGGTTTTGTGGAAGAGCAGGTCAGTTTGTTAGGAGAGAACCCAGTAACTTAAGGCACTGAAAACAGTTTGAACAGGCTGAGTGTGAGGAGTGTGAGGAGTGTGGGGGTGTGGGGAAGAGTATCAAAGCAGCAACAAGCACTGTGGATATTGGTCCTGAAAAGGAGACCACAAGCTAAGCATGGTGACACATGCCTGTAATCCAAGGCTAATATGGGCTACAAATCAAGACCATCTCCAAAAGGCCCAAACAAACAAATGGAGAGCAATGTATTCTTTTTTTTTTTTTTTTTTTTTTTTTTTGGTTTTTACGAGACAGGGTTTCTCTGTATTGTTCTGGAGGCTATCAGTCCAGCCTGGCCTCGAACTCACAGAGATCCGCCTGGCTCTGCCTCCCAAGTGCTGAGATTAAAGGCGTGCGCCACCAACGCCCAGCCGAGAGCAATGTATTCTAAAGTCATCAACTTGAGAGTTATCATCAGGAGCTCATGAAGAAAAAACTGAAGGTAGACAAGAAGCAAGCAAGCCCACAAAACAACTTACTTGATCGGTATACACATCAGGGGGCACAGCCTTATTAAAGAAGTCAGAGCATACAGCCCCCGCCTGGAGGTAATAGTGAAGAGCTGCTGAATGCTGATTTGTTGCTAAAAGAGGAAGCAGGATAAGTTACTTGCTATTAAAATATGAGAGTTAAAACAGATTCAGACAATAACAATAAATTCAGGAGCTCACCAGGTAAGGGTGCTGCCACCAAGCCTGACCACTCAAGCTCGATCCTTGGGACCCACAGGGAGAAAGTGAGAACACAAGTTGTCCTTTGATTTCCACATGTATGTCATGTGCACACATGATGGGGCATATCCTTCTGTGTATATGTTTCTCTTATTGGCTGATGAATAAAACACTGTTTGACCAGTAGAGATAGGAAGATAGGCAGGGCTAGGAGGTAAGGAGAAGGCTGGGAGAGAGGCACCTCAGGAATAAGACACCATGTAGCAGAGAAAGGAGTGGCAGGTCCAGACCCTTCTCCAGTAAGATATGACTGCGTGGAAATACACAGATTTATAGAAACGAGTTAATAATTAAGACAGAACTAGCCAGTAAGACGCCCTAGCTATTGGCCAACATTTTATACTTAATATAGCTTCTGTGAGTTTATTTCAGGCTAAAGTGGCAGCAGGACCTGGCAGGACAAAAACTACCACAACATACAGACAAATGTTGTTGCTTTTAAAAAGGGTAAAACTTTGTATTTGGCTGAACAGTGATAACACTTTTTATTGAGGATAACATTGTGAAAAACTACATATAAAAACAAATGAAAACTTTTCAAAGTGGTAACAATAAATTCTTTACTTCCTAAAAATTATTAGCCAAAATCTAGCTCATATTTCTTATTAAATTTATAGTACAGGACATAAATATATGGGGTATGTGTGTATGTGTGTATTTTGTAAGTTTAAGTTTGTTTTGTTTTCTGAGACATGATTTCTCTGTGCAGCCCTGGCTATCCTGTAAACAGGTCTATAGACGAGGCTGGCCTAGAACTCAGAGATTCGCCTGCCTCTGCTGAGATTAAAAGTGTACACCACCACAGCCTGGTGAGTACAAGATTTACTATGATGGAGATTTTAGCTTCCCATATATCCAGACTAGAAATATATCCAGATTTTTGAAATCTACATATCTAGTGTGCAATTAGACATTCAGATTTGGCAATGCATCCTTTTGAATGGTAGGGTGAAAATACATGTTAAAAACAAGCAATTAGGGCTAGAGAGATAGCTCAGAGATTAAGAGGTCTGTCTGTTATTCCAGAGTTCCTGAATTCAATTCCCAGCAACCACATGATGGCTCACAACCATCTATGATAAGATTTGGTGCATTCTTCAGGCATACAGGCAAATATTGTATAAATAATAAATAAATAAACCAAAAAAAAAAGGCAATTAACTAGGTGTAATGGTACACACCTATGATCCTAGCACTTGGGAAGTAGAGGCATCACAACAGGAGTTTAAGGCCATCCTCAGCTAAGTCATAAATACCAGGCAAAAATGAGTTAAAAAAGACCCCATTTCAACCCTTACAACACCTCCAAAAATTACTGGATACATGGAAGTTCATTTTATTATCTCTTCTACTTTTAAATTTTGAAATTCCTTTTTTAAAAACATTGATCCCAAAAATGATACCAGGCAGAAATTTTATCTGTAGCGTAATATGAATTTTGGAACTCCATATTAACTTGGAAATCCTATGACATAGAATTCTCTATGGGGGTGTTAAACATTAATTTCTAAGAATACAGATTGTAAACTATACACGTAACTTTGTGTGTGTGCCCATGCACACACACGCGCTCACGTGCTTCCAACTTTGAGACAGGGTCTTACCATGTAGCCCTAGCTGGCCTAGAATTACTATGTATCTTGAACTTTTGGCAATCTCCCTGTGTCAGCTTCCCAAGTGCTGAGATTATAAAGATGAGGACCACATTTAATAAGAATTCTTACATTTATTTACATTCTTTATTTATTCTGTGCATGTGCATACCCTAGCACACATAGAAGGTCAAAGGACAACTTTCCAGAGTAGGTTCTCTATATCCACCATGTGGGTCCTGCATATTGAACTCAGGTCATTAGGCTTAGTGGCTAGTACCTTTACCCACTAAGCATGTCTCCAGGCCCAGGCTAGAAATCTTAAACAATTTTACAAACAAGCCTCACTCATATTACATCTGGGGAGATGGTTCAATGGTTAAGAAAGAGTACATATTGTGCTTCCAGAGGACCCGAAACAAATAAAACATAAAGCAGTGACTACCTCACTTACCAAAATAAATATCTGCTTGAATAATTAACCAAGCATGGTTGTTCGGATTTATACTAAGTGTATATCGAACTAGCTCTTTCACTGTGATTGCTACAGCTTCAAAATCCACAGACTGGAGGCTGAAGGAAAACATTACACATTAATCACTATTTTCAAATACCATACAATTATTATTAAAAAAACAAAAGACAGTCAAAAATCTCCACCACCACAGAATGATACAACCTTTACCTCTACTTAACATTAATCAGAGCAACAGCAAAATTATGCTTTCTGATAGCCACAAAAAACCTAAGAGCTCAAATATTAACAAATATTCCTATGTGACCTTGAAACTCCCCAGGACTCTCACAAGTGTGTGCTCCAGATTCGCTGTTTCACTGGCCCTAACGGCCACACAGTCAAGAAAGGAAGGAAGGGAGAAGGGCCAAATGCTCTGACCTGGGAAAAGAGGGGCCAGCACCCAGCAAACAGCCGATTGCTCCTCTTTCCTGGAAACCAAAAGCTTAGTGAAAAGGAACTCAGGCCTCAGATTCAGAAGCAGATGAGGCTCATATGCCAGGCAAAGGAACATGACAAAGCACTTCTATTGGCCCTAAAGGCTTAGGTTTTTCATGACCCACAAATATAGCCAGTACAGTGAGGAAGAAACTGCAGTACTGTTAGCAAAACCCAGTACTATATCTTCAGCTAAAGAATTAAACTGGCTTATGTTATTTTACTGAAACTGTAAAGATCAGCAGGTGTAAAGAGTCTTATGTAGTAACTAGTGTGAATCACTTAATCCACTATGTCCATACTGTTCTTGGAATGTCGTCTTAAGAATCCATAAGGAGTCTTCATCAGGTAAAATATGGTTTGTGGTCAGACCTTTATTTTTTTCAGAATCAATTTACATTAAAGTATTACCATCATAAAAGACAGCATTAAGCCTGCACTAACTTATTAACTCTCATATATCAAGGGTAAATACTATTTTTATACTCATTTCAGAGCTGAAGAAGAATTCAGGATAACAGCAAGTTGCTCAAGGTCACATACTTCAGGGCTCCAATATAAGCCACAGCTGCTTCCTATGAATATAAACTGGAAATTAACTGTGAAAGTTTGACCTTAACCCAAAGAGGTAACAGAAGTAACAAATAACATCACTAAAGCCACTGGCTAAAAAGACAAAACTAGGCCGGGTGGTGGTGGCGCACGCCTTTAATCCCAGCACTCGGGAGGCAGAGGCAGCCGGATCTCTGTGAGTTCGAGACCAAGCCTGGTCTACCAAGCGAGTTCCAGGACAGGCTCCAAAACAATACAGAGAAACCCTGTCTCGAAAAACCAAAAAAAAAAAAAAAAAAACCAAAAAAAAAAAAAAAAAACCAAAAAAAAAAAAAAAAGACAAAACTAGGGACTAAAGCCACTGCCTAGCATTGGTTCTGAGTTCAAGTCCCAGTATCATTCAAAACAAAGCAGCAGGACATAAAACCATCTGATTCTTGGAATGTTGTACCACATAGCAAATTACATATAAAATAAGAGAGACACAGTAAAGTCTGCAGCCTGGGTGTCGGAGCACATATGCACATGGATAATAAAGTATGGTGTTCCTCTGGCCACAGAGGCATTATAATTTTCCAGACTGCTGTGTGTGACACAGCTGCTCTCCACCCTCTCTCCTTCCCTGTTGTTTGAATTGGCCTCACGCTCAGAATCTTCCTACCTCAGCCTGCTGAGTGCTGGGATTACAGACATGAGCCACTGTCGGGAGGGACATGTCCAAGAATGAGTGCTGAGTTATAGACATGAACCACTGTCGGGAGGGACACGGTCCAAGAATGGAGACCTGGAGGAATTTCTGAGTGCTTGTGAGAGAACTCCAAGAAACCAGTTTCTTCAAAAAACAGGGAACTGTTCTTAGATTATGCTTTTGTGCCCATCCCACTGGTAGTGGATAAGAGCGAGTTTACTTGAGATTATTCATTACAATTTAAGTGGTTTTATGGAAAAACATGTTTTTGTCACATACAGCTTGCCCTTGTGAGTGTACACTTCACTCTAACTCTTCTTATTGCTCAGGGTATAAAGTGTCTGATGCTCTGGATAAAGTAGCTGGCTATTGCATGAGAGAGACTTTTCCACCTCCCAGGCCCTCCCCTCTAGAGTGGTGAGCACACCACCAGACCTGCTGCTTCCAATCTCTGGAGATGGAAGACAATTATTTATAGTCACTGTACTACCTTTCTACCTACCTACTGAAACTAAAACCTTTCCTTCTTCAAAGATGTCACTGAGATTGAAACCTGAGGTTGAGAACCTATCCTTCAAGCACATAGGAAGCTTAGGAGGGATGGCAGGGATTTGAAAAAGAAGCTTTGGGCCATAAAACCGGCATGATGCTGTACTCCTGTGACCCTAGCATTGGGGCATTCAAGACCAGCCTAGACTACAAAAGGAAACCCATATAAAGGAAGGAAGGTGAATAGATGGGCTAGTCCTATGACAGCTAAAAAGGGTTGGGAGACTGATAAAAGTAACAGCAGTAGAAGGAAACTATAAAACAAATCACTCTTATAAATGTTAGGACGATAACAACAGTAGTGGAGAAACACAAAGATGTCTGTAGAATCCTACACACTTGTGGCCTTCAATTATCTCAGGCTATCTATATCAAACAGGATGTTTTCTAAATACATAATTTATTTTAAGTATATACCACTACTTACTTAGGAATGGAAGATGGCCAAATAGAAATGTGTTCAGCTGTGATATCATTCACAATGTCCTCCTTTTAGAAAGAAAACGTGCTTTTTATTTTTAAGCAGTATGATTTTTAACAGTTTCTTTCAAATAATTTTAAAATGAAATTACAAGACACTGACCCGAACATTGTGAAGCTTCACAAAGAGTGATAAAATAATAGTCAAAACCAGTGGTTCCTATGAGAAAGAAAACACAAGAATATTAAACAAGTACATGTGCTGGTGCACGTGTACCCTGTCAACCAAAGGGACACCATGTACTTTCTTAAAAGAGAATGGTATCTACAGCGGAGCACACTAAATTGTCTTTCAGCTTCACAATAAAGATCACAGCACATAGTACACATTAAAATCATCACAGTTAGATCCCGGGCTTATCATCACTTTTACATCTTTTTTGTTCTTTTTTGTTTTTTTGAGACAGGGTTTCTCTGCATTGCTTTGGAGCCTGTCCTGAGCTGTCCTGGAACTCGCTCTGTAGACCAGGCTGGTCTCGAACTCACAGAGACCCACCTGCCTCTGCCTCCTGAGTCCTGGGACTAAAGGTGTGTGCCACTGCCGCCCGGTTTTTATCTTTTTTTTTTCTTCTTTTTCTTTCCCATGTTTCTGGGAAAGCAATACTAGGAAATTGATCCCAAACCCCTGAGTAAACACTCAGCCATGGAGTATACCGCCAGTGTCCCCTTTTATGTGGCTTTCGGGTATCTTACCAAGATTTCTAGCTACTTCCGAAATTGAACTATGTATTCTTTTAAAGTGCTATTTAAAAGATGAAACCACTCGGGAGGCAGAGGCAGGCGGATCTCTGTGAGTTCGAGGCTGGGCTGGACCGATAGCCTCCAAAACAATACAGAGAAACCCTGTCTCGAAAAACCAAAAAAAAAAAAAAAAAAAAAAAAAAAGATGAAACCTAGGTTTCGATCACTAAGTGAACATGACATTAGTACTAAGCAGAAATGAAAGTCAGAGCCTCACACATTTATGGAGACTTGTGTGATGGGTAACTTTACTTTTGTATGTTCTGTTGAAACTAGGTCTCCTTACACAACCCAGGTTGACTTCAAATTTGGAATCTTCCTATCTCAGCTTGGATACAAGTGTTTGACACCACATCTAACCTAAGACTTAGTTTTAAAAGGCCCCACTATATTTATTAAAACCAGAAAGTAAAATTCATTTCGTAATTCAGCCTATCCCATGCTCAATAAAGATCATTACAAACACTTGTTAGAACTCAAACCAGCATTTGAAATTTTAGAAAACTCAGTAATTACATTAAAAAAAAACTTACCCGCAATTTTTTGATAAAAGAAAGTAGTTCACTCCTACAAAAAAATTGTATATATACTTAATACAAGACATTAAAATAAGACAAAGAATGCAAATGATATAATGCTTTACTTTCTTAATTATGAAAAGTATGTCTCTAGCCAGTCATAATGGTACACATTTTTAATCCCAGAACTTGGGGAGGCAGAGACAGGAGGATCTCTGAGTTCGATGAGGCCAGCCTGGACTACAGAGTGAGTTCCAGGACAGCCAGAGCTACGCAAAGAAACTGTCTCAAAAAAAAAAAAAAAAAAAAAAAGAAGTTTATCATACCCATTGTCAAAATAACTTAGTAACATTTATAAATAACCTAGTAACATTTATTCTACTTTAATCACATGAATTCCTCAATATTACACAACTGTGGATATTAATGATTTTGAATTCACAGAGCTAAAATTAAATTGTTGAGGCTGGCACGATAGCCTAATGGGTAAAGGCACTTGCTGATAAGCCTGATGACCTGAACTGGATCCTTGGAACACACTTGAGAAAACAGGAAAGAACCAACTTGGCCAGTTGTCCCCTGACCTCCACACATGCAACCACCCCAGAAAAGCAAACAAACAATTAAGATGCATAGACAGTCTTCTCAAACAAAAAGGGATTTCCAGGAACAGCCAGGCAGAGAAGAGAACCTTAGAATACTAGTGTTATGCTTATTTATTGCTTGAGCACACACTTGAACACACAAACACAGATGCACATACACAGACACACAGACACATGCAAATGTACACACACATAAACACACATGAAGTACAGATGCACACACACACAGATGAACATACAGAGACACACAGACACATGCAAATGTACACACACACGAAGTACAGATGCACACACAGAGAGACACATTGCACATACACACACGTATAGAAACACACTGCACACAGAGACACACACAGAAACACGCACGCACGCCCATGGCCTGGTGCAACTGTGGAGAACAGGCAACAGCCTGCAAGTGTTAGTTCTCTTCCTCCGGCACGTTGGGGATTTGAACTTGAGGTGTCAGGCTTGGTGACTGAGAATGCCTTTACCTGGTGAGCCATTTCACCAGCCCAGAATTCTTTTTTGTTTCCCTTTTCGGTTTCTGAAACAGGGTCTAAACTATGTAGCTTTGGCTGTATTGGAACTCACTCTGTAGACTAGGCTGGCCCCAAACCTAGAGAGATCCGTCTGCCTTAGCCTCCCAAGTGCTGGCATTACAGGCATGTGCCACTGTGCCCTCCTCCCTTCTCTATAACTCTTAAAATCTTGGGTTTTAAGATGATTATGCATTATTGTATACGTATAGTGTATTAATTATACATCTTGGGCTTTTTAATTTAGTTTTGCACAAATGAACCTACAGTCTTATGAACATTAGGTAATACTCTCCCACTCAGCTACATCACAGTCTAACATTATCTATCTTTACAGTCTACAGGATAAAGATGTTCTGGAAAAAGTACAGGCAAATGCAAAAGTATCACCAAGAGAAACATACCGATACATTATGCCTAGTGTAGATTCCCTCTGCTTTATTAAACTAACTCTGCCATCGTTTCCTCGTTTGTGCTGGTTAGACACACTGCAGATCTGAACAACAACTTCCCAAAGGTCTTTAGCAGTCCTCCTACTTTCTTTAGGGCCTGGAAGTTCCTTGCAGGTGGCTGCTAAAAGCTGTCCAAGCTGTAATGTGAAAACCAAACAAAAATACATAAAAAAACAAGTCTAACTCACACGACAATCTTAAAATAAGGGCACACTGGAGGAACCTATGCAACCACTCAAACATCCATGCTCAGTATCCAATGCACTGAGAACGCTCCCTCCACCATGTGGGTCCTGGGGACCAAACTCAGGTTGCCATGCTGGGTGGAAAGCACCTTTTATATGTTGAGCCACTGTACTGGCCTCAGTCAGGATAAAATTAAGATGATTACAGAAGGTGACTGATCTAATTAAAATTGACAGAAGGCCCTAAGATGCAGGACCAAATTTGGAATAAAGAATAAAAATGAAAGTCAGAGGGGAAAAAGGGCCTCAAACAGGAGAGGGTACAAGTTTAAATCAAATTCAGGGCCAACATGTTGGTCCAGTGGGGCTGGGTGGTGGCGGCGCATGCTTTTAAGATCCAAGCACTTTGGAGACAGAGGCAAGTGGATTTCTGTGAGTTTGGTCTACAGAGTGAGTTCCAGGACGGCCAGACCTACACAGAGAAACCCTGTCTCGTAAAAACCAAAACAAACAAACAAACAAACAAGAGGGCCAAGTGGGTAAAAGCACTTGCCATGCAAGCCTGAGTATACCTGATAACCTCAGTGTGATCCCTTAAACCCATGTTTAAAAACAAAAACCTGAATGTACTGCATTAATTTCAGCATTCCTACAGCAAGATGGGAGACAGAGACAGCAGAATCCCTGGAAGCTATTCAGCCAGCAAGCCAGAGAATGCAGCATGGCAGGAACAATAGGGGCCTTCAAGCCCATCAGGAAACCCCAGTGCCCACCAAACGGGAGCCACAAAGTTCTTTTTTTTTAATGGAATACCTACTATTTTAGGTACATTCTTTAGGGAGAAGGCAGGATTGTGACAAGCAAAAACTGGTGCTTTCCTACTTTTTGTTATAAAAATTTTCTAACAAAGAAATCTAAATAGTTCAACAAATACCTGATACTCCACACACTGCAGTATTTGCTTTTGGTTATGGCTTTATTATAGCAACACAAAAGTAACTAGTACACCAGAGATCATATGCTTAGCTGAAGGTCACTGAATTTACTAGACAGGTAAATTTTTATTTAAAGGTATTATCTTGCAGAAGTGGCTATGTCTAAAATCCCAACACTCAGAAGAGACTAAGGCTGAAGTCTAAGGCTAGCCAGGACTATTTATCAAGTTTATGGCCAACCTAGGCCACACATTAAAACCTGTCTCAAGAGGGAAAACTTCTCCCCTTTTCACATAATCTTAAGTACTTCAAATCACCTGAACTCTATAACCCCTCTTGAGTACCTATGCTGGGTAACATATAGAGCACAAGATATAAAATTAACTTCTTTCAAGAACTCCCCATCTCACAGGAAAGACATAAACAGACTATAATATAGTGTAAACAAAAGCAGGATGAACATAAAGCTAGCAAGAGGGGAAAGTGATTCATCATTTAGAAAGGAAGAAAACCACTGTGAAGAAGTGTCACTCTGACTGGTGTAATAAAAACCTGAACAGCCAATAGCTAGACAGGATTTCCGGGCAGAGAGGACATCGGGAAGAAAAAGGCCGAAATGCCAATAGACTCAAAGCAAGCGGGATGGGCACTATGGAGATGAAGTAATAAAGCCACAAGTCAGAAAGTAAATTAGTAGAAATAGGTTAACTTAAGTCATAAAAGATAGTTAGAAACAAGCCTAAGCTAAGGCCAACCTTTCATAATTAATGTAAGTCTGAGTTGTTTTTGTGAACTGGCAGCCCAAAGAAAAGCCCAACTACAGGAAACACATAAGCCAAGTGAGAAGAGTCAGCTGGCATGGAAACAGACAGCACGTGCAGAGAACAGAACGAAAAAGCATCCGCACAATGCCGTGAGCTGCCGACAGATGTGGCTGACGAGAGCTGCAGGCGGATGTGCACCTGCCAGAGACGCAGTCACACCTTAAAAGACCTTGTAGGTCAGATTAAAAACCGCAAGTGTGGGTCCAGAGAGGTGGCTCAGCCCTTAGAATTGTCTCTCTTCTAGAAGATCCAACTTCAATTCCCAGCACCCACATGATGGATCACAACCATCCCTAACTAAAGTTTCAAGAGATTCAATGCCCTTTTGAGGACACCAGACATGTAAGTACATAGACATGCATGCACACACATAAAATGTTTCTTAAAAGTTAAAAAAAAACCCAAGTTGTTTTCCTAAAGGATCATCACTACTGCCACTAACCACTCACTAACTGTGTAATGAATGGCAGTAAGTCCTGTGCCTGCAAATCCTCTGCTGTTGTCATTATACTACAATGTCCCCCTTTCTGGTCCAAGGAGAGGACTAGATAGTTTTGTATTATTTCAAAAGGGACTATTTTAGTCACCTGCTGAAGATTTTCCCTTTCCTTTGATTATATAATATTTATTGTGATAAAAAGAAAATATGGTTTCTACCCTCAGCCTACTGGCCAAGTGGCAGTCTCAGGGATGCTTCTCTTGTTACTAGACAATCTCTATCTAAAAGACAAAGCAGGGTGGAGTTGGGGGACAGACGCTGCTGCCCCTCTATAACCTCAGCACTTGGCAGGAAACTGAGATAGAAGAATCATGAATTCCAGGGCAGTCAGGGTTACATACTGAGACACTCACAAACACAAAGCAAACATGAAACAGAGCACATAAACATGATTAAAGTCACTCAGCTTCCTACTCCTCAGAGATAGACAGCATCTCATCTGTCTATGTTTTCACATACACATATCCACACAAAGTCGGAAAAAATGCTCCAAGCCGTATTTTCTTCCTTCCTTTCTTTCTTCCTTTCTTTCAAGATTTATTTATTTATTATGTATACAGTGTTCTACATGTATGCCTGCTGGCCAGAAGAAGGAACCAGATCTCATTACAAATGGTTGTGAGTTACCACAAAGTTGCTGGGAATTGAACTCAGGACCTCTGGGAGAGCAGCCAGAGCTCTGAGCCAACTCTCCAGCCCCAAACCATATTTTCAAAGCATAATCCTCATTCTATACCTTTGCTTCTTTCTTAGTATTATCCAAAGAGGAAGGAACTAGATCACAACACATTCTTCCTCCTTTTAGTCTACATCAAGGGACTGTAGGAAGAAATGAAATACCCTGGATAACTTACACAATCTGTACACAACTTCCTGTATCCTTACATACCACAAGTCAAAAACATTATTACACAAGCATGTGCCTTCTGTCTTTCATGGTACACGACCCCAAAGACTATTACAAGTCAAGAGAGGAGCTAATATACTGTCTTAACAATGAGCAGCAAACTTCAATTCTGAACTGAAACAATAATAATCATGGAAAAACACAGTTCTGACAGCTTATTATTAAAAGTCATGGGGAAAATGTTGGACTTACCCTGAATATTAGAATTTACTAAAGAGATAACAAATATCTGAAATCCCAAAGAAATGGCAATTTAAATATACAACACAATCACAAAATGTAAAAGTGGAAGAAAATGAAAGAATCAATAGCTTTTCAAAGAGTTGAACTCCAGTTAGGCAGTGGCAGAGCACGCCTTTACACAGCACTCAGGAGACAGAAGCAGGCGGGTCTCTGTGAATTCAAGGAGCCTAGTCTACAAAGCGAGTTCAAGGATAGGCTCCAAAACTACACAGAGAAACCCTGTCTCAAGAAGGGGAAAAAAAATTGAACTCCAATGAGCTCAAATGCATGCCTAACTAGTTCCTGACTAACTGGGTAAATGTTCAGAAGGGAAAGTGTGCAGAAGCCATGATCTCCACCAGTTCAGAGTCTGGCCTTAGCACTCAAAGCAAGAAATGATAACAAACCTCCTGCTACTTTACAATTTCAGCAAAATGTTTGCTGAACCTCATAACATGTGTTTCTATGTTCACGTTATATGGCATTAGGAAGCAGTATCAGGATAAAGTCAAGTGGCTTGTACTGTTCAAATTATAGGGTGCTGGGATTATTTTGGTTTCGTATGTGCTAAGAAGGGGCTCTAGAAACTAAGCTGCATTCCCAGCCCAAAACTGAGTACTTCACTACAAACTGACAAGTACTTGCCTTAACTGACAGGGTACCTGAGAAATTAGACAAATTTCAGAATAATAGAAACTAATTACATGGGTACAATAATACAGAGAGTACTAACAATACAAACACTCTGATAATTATTTTAGATTAAACATTAATTACCTTTACATATGGATTACTCTGAAGTAAAAATGCAGGAACTTGCAGAGTAAGATACTCATTTTCTCTCCAGTTTAACATAAAAGCAACACACTCTTCAGCTACAACTTGACGAAGAGGAATATCTAAAAAGCAAGGAAAGAAACAGTTGGAATAGCCAAATGTGAAGACAAAGGTCTAGAATCTCAACACTCATGGAGAGGCCCCCAAGCTCCACAGCAATTGCAAATGCAGTCTGGGCTAAAAAAGACATTACCTATGAATAAGTGAACGATTAAATATAAATGTACTAGAAATAATTTAAAATATAAAAAGTAGTAAGGGAGAAAAAAATAAATCACCAGAGCTTGTTCTAACCATTTCAATATACTAAAGTATATCGTGAATTTTTTTGGCTCAAAGCAGTTATAAGATTTTCATGTACTTTAGGAATAAGAATATAATGCATCGTAAGTCACGATGCCAAGATAAGGCCATTTAGAGACAAATGAATCTGCTGCCTGAGGCAACTGGGTTTCCTGGAACTGGAGTTACACATGGTTTTAAGATACAATGTGGGTGCTTGGACCTGAACCCAGATCTTCAGTAAGAACAGCCAGTACTCCTAACTGTGGTGATATTTTGTTTATGATCTAACGCATAAAACTTGGCCTGAAAATCAAAGTGCAGATCAGTCATAGAGGCCAGGCAGTGGTGGCCACACTTTAATCCCAGGACTCAGGACACAGAGGCAGATGGAGTTCAAGGCCACAGGGGCTACATGAGAGTGAATCAGTCTAAAACACAAACAGAGCTCACAGGCCTTTAATCCCAGCACTAGGGAGGTGGAGACAGGAATGATAGGACTGGACAGAGAGAGGAATTTAAGGCAGGAGGAGATAGGAGCTCAGTGCAGTCTGAGGACAGGCCCTCCCCTTTGGTGTGAGGACTCAGTAGAGGTAAGAGGTCTCTCTTGGGGCTGGCTCCTTTACTTCTATGATCCTTCAGCTTTCATCTCTGGATAGCTCAGTTTTATTATTAAGAACAATTAGAATTCATGCTACACCTAACCGCTCAGTCATTTCCCCATGCCCTCTCAGTCTCTCTCATTGAATCTGTAAGGGCACCCCTACACATGTACATACACTAGACAAATCTCTCCCTACATCCTGACCCACAGAGAGATACCAACTCTGGCTCTTACAGTAGCACTGATTTGCTCTATGCTGTAGTCAAATACCTAAGTATATAATTATGGCTTAGACAAAGACAGGAACTATACCAATGGAAAGAAAAATATCATTTGTTTTTCTCCAAAACATTTCAAATAATTTTTCCTTTTCATTCTGAACAATAGTGACAGCATAAGCTATAGGACAAGTTTCTGACCATATTAGTTCAGCATGGGCTAAAGTAAAGTGCTGGGCTGGCATGTGAGGCTTGGGGTGCAAATCCCATGACCACCCAAAGCAAACACACCACGCTAACAAAGAGCACTGGTTCACTAAAGGCAAAAAATATCAACACACACTGTTGGAAATTTGTCATCTAGCACGCCTTTAATCCCATCACCCAGGAGGCAGAGGCAGGCAAATTTCTGTGAGTTCGAGACCAGCCTGGTCTACAAGAGCTAGTTCCAGGACAGTCTCCAAAGCCACACAGAAACCCTGTCTCAAACCCCCCAGCCCCCCAAAAAAGGAAAGAAAATTTGTCATCTAAAATAACAAGTCTCTTTGAAAATTAAAATGTAATAATTAAACTTGTTAATAATATACCAAGGAACTACCAGCTATTACTATTTGAGCAGTGTTAACATCTTTCTTCACAATTCAATTTTAGTGTCTATAGTATCAAATATATACATTAATTCCTATAATTACATTTCAAACCTATGAAATTACCTAAAAGCTATCCGTGTAAGTCACAGGTGCTGGTTTACAAGATCCCTGTCAAAGTGAGCTACTAAATATTTGAAGTGGATCCTCAACCTCTGACTTGAAATGAGTGGCCACAGGTGAATTCCTGGCACCTTTCACTCAGTTGGAATGCATTTATTGCAGTAGTGAGAAGATACCTGGAATGCCAGCACAGGAAACTGAGAGGCAAAAGGCCAAAGTGTAGAACAAGCAGAGTGGCTTATACTTGTTACAAATACTCTGTGGGCCGGAGGTTCACTTGAAGCCAGACATAGAAAGAAATAATCTCTTAGAAAATAAATAAAATTAAAATTAAAACATAGAGTTTCTGCTGTATAGGACAGAAATTTTCCAATAGAGGTAAAGTCAGGTAAACAGACTTTTACCCACCCAAGACATCCCCCCACAGTAAAGTACAGAGCTTTGCCTGTGGGTGTATACACTGGTCTTACCAGGAAGCCTCATTTCCAGATATCCTCGGACCCTACTAATAAGGTCAGAAGGAGGTCTCTCTCCTGATTGTCCCATTCCAGCTTCATGGGTGTGAATATCCAAAAGTAACATCTCATTCAGCATAACTTGCCGGAGTTTTGGTGAGAACTCTGTCACCAACTCTAAACAAGCTGCAAATAGCTGTTTAGCATGGGGAAAGTCCTATAAAAGAAGCAAGAAGAGAGCTTCAGTCAGTCCTCTGGAGCCAAAGTAGTGTGTATCTTCACAGGTACTGGGAAAAAGAGAAGGGTACAATAAATGAAATGGCAGCTAGGTTATCTTTTTCTTTACTGTTGATTTATTACAATAAATACCTAAACAAGCTGGATACAAATTATACAGTAACAAAGACTTTGATATTACACACAAGTATAAATTTTATAAGAACCCTTCTCCACCTAAGATACTCAGAATTTGAACATAGACCCTGAATTAGGTTTCACATTCCACATCCCTTGCATACCTACTGTGTAACTATCTAATAAAACAAATATAATAATCTATGGTCCACTCACTCCTGTCCTATCCTTCACACTGCAAACTGGTATTAACACTCTGCACATCCCTTTCCAACAGTGTGACTTCCCCAATCAATATGAGGTAACAGCCCTCTCAATAAAGGTCTTTTCAGTTATCTTACTGGAATTAAGGGCTACACCCCAGGGTTCTGCCAGTCTGGGAGGAGGCAGTTGTTGGCTTGTTTCGAGATGCAGACATGGCTATCAGGAACTTTCTATGTAGACCAGGATGGCCATAACAACCAAGTGCTTCTCTTTTCCTTACAGACTTTTTCTTTGGGTTTTTCAATACAAAGTTCATTATATAGCACTGGCTGCCCTGGAACTCACTCTGTAGACCAGGCTGCCCTCAAACCAGGAGATTTGCCTACCTCTCTGCCTCCTATGTGCTGGGATTAAAGGCCTGAACCACTGGGGCTAGAGAGATGGCTCAGAGGTTAAGAGCACCAGATGTTCTCTCAGAGGACCTAGGTTCAATTCCCAGCACCCACATGGCAGCTCACAACTGTAACTCCAGTTCCAGGGGATCCAACACTTTCACATAGACAATGCAATGCACATAAAGGAAAAATAAACAAATCACTTAAAAAAAAAAGAGTGTACCACCACTCTTCTGCACATATGTTCTGTTTGTACATATGTGAATGGGTGTGTCCATAAAGTGGCATTAGACCCCATGGAACTGAATTTAGAATGTTGGTAAGCCACCACATGAGTACTAGAAACCAAACCCAGGTCCTCTACAAGAGCAGCAAGTGCTCTTAACTGATGAGCCAGCCATCTTTCCAGACTTGCTATCTTCCTGTTTTGTATTTGTGTGGTATCTATACTCACCACACCACTCTTGGACCTGATGGTGCCCTGCTCTAGGATTCCATAGTGGACACTATAATCAGGAAAGGAGGGCTAGAGAAATAGCTTAGCAGGCAAGAGCACAGGCTGTTCTCACAGAGGACCCAAGTTCAGCTCAAAGCACTCATGTCTGATAGCTCACAACTTCCTATAACTAAATTCACAGGATCTGATGCCTGTGGAACCCAAGGGCACCTACACAAATTATGCACATGCACACACACACACACACACACACACACCAATACATAATCAAATCAGAAACAATCAGCTTTAATTTCCTGCTGAAATCATGAAACCAGGATTTTGTTCTGATAAAGTGTATGTTGCGTGCACAACTGCGTGTGTAGTGCATGTGCCATGTCATGTATATGAGAGTCAAGAGAACACCTTCAGGTTGGTCTTCACCTTTCACCATGTGTGAGACAAGGTCGGCCTTGTTGAGTACAAGAAGCTAACTGGCCTCAGACTTGTGGAGTTTCTTTTGTCTCTGCCTTCCAGCTCGCCCTAGGGGTGCTACAATTAAAGGTTCTTGCTACCATGTCTGACTTTATGTGAGGTCTGGGGATTTGAACTCAGGTTCTCATTCCCATGCACCAAGCACTTTGCCCACTGAGCATCTCCCTGACCAATGAAGGAGGTTTGAACAAGTTTTTCACACACATTTTCACTCACCTTGACATTACTGCAGTGTAAACCTTTGGCCATGAGAATGTAAACCAAATCTCTTGTTAAATTGTCCTTAATTCCTAGGATAACACCACTATATACAGAAGGTACTTCCCACTAAAAATAAATAAATGAATAAATAATTAAAATACATAAGCACACACACAGAGGAAGGCAAATCTAGATGAGACTTCCTCAATGATCTCCAATTGCATTTAAAAAATGAATACTGCACCCTTAATCTCAAGAGGCAGAGGCAGGTGGATCTCAGTTCAAGGCCAGTCTGGTTTACAAAGCTAGTTCCAAGACAGCCAGAGATGTTACACAGAGAAACTATGGCTCAAAAAGCAAATACAAATTAACACCAATAAATACCATAAATACCAAGAGAATTCAATTAATATTTAGAACAATTTCCATACCACTGCATTTGTGTATTTAAACCTTATAAAATATAAATAATTTCTGGCTTTTCCTAAGCAGTGTCACCAAGGGAAAATGCAGCTAGAAATACTGCCAAAGGACTAGAGTGATGGTTCAGCTGTTAAAGACTAGGCTCACAAACAAATCATCAAGAAGTACTGCCATATTATCTGAAGTTTCTCCTATGGTTACTCCTTTTACCCTATAAACTACGACCCACTGAAATAGTGTATTATGTATTTTTATATTTATTACATTTTTGAGACAGGGTCTAAAACTGTGGATGTTCCTACCCCAGCTTTTTTTTAAAGACAGGGTTGTTTTGAAAAAAATCTATAGGGGCTGAAGAGATGGCTTAGCAGTTAAGAGCACTGGCTGCTCTTCCAGAGGACTGGGTTCAATTCCTAGGACCACACGGCAACACACAACTCTCTGAAACTCCAGTTCCAAGGCATCTGGCACCCTCATAGAGATACAAACCACCAATGCACATAAAGAAAAAGAAAAAACAAAGAAAGAAACAACCCACGTATGCTGTCTATATAGCCCTGGCTGTCCTGAAACACTCTGTAGACCAGTCTGGCCCGGAACTCAAGGGATTCACCTGCTTCTGCCTCCCAATTGCTGGGAGTAAAGGTGAGCACCACCACACCTGGCAGAAGTAAAAACACTTAACAAGAGGTCAAGTAAGTCAAAGTTTCAGCATGGTTAAGGGGGGACTCACAGTCTTCCCACCCAAAGCTGAGCAACTATTGGTAGTTGCAGGCTGCTAGGGCAGGCAGAGATTTCTTCAGGCCCATCCTCCAGTGCATTGCCCCAAACCCAAGCACATATGGGCAGTTTAGTTGATTCAAGAGGCTATAAAAAGAAGGAAGAAAAGGAAGTAGGGAGAGGGTTGTGGGTGGAGGCCCGGGAGGAGTTATAGAGGAGTAGGAGTTATATGATTAAAAAACATTGCATACGTGCATGAAATTCTTAAAGAACAAGAAATATTTTTAAAAAATAAAAATACAAACGTTGGAGGTATATGTCAGTGACCAAGTACAGGCCGAGAGTGAGGGAAGCCTCAGGCTCAATCTCAGAACCAGAAACAAAAAGATAACCTCGAAAGCCTTGAACCCTATAAAGGTAGTATAAATAGTCACATTTTACCTACATTTACAGTTGTGTTTAAGATGCATGGAAGTTGCCGGGCAGTTGTGGTGCACGCCTTTAATCCCAGCACTGGGGAGGCAGAGGCAGGTGGATCTCTGTGAGTTCGAGGCCAGCCTGGTCACAGAGCAAGTTCCAGGCCAGCCTCCAAAACAACACAGAGAAACCCTGTCTTGAAAAACCAAAAATAAGCATGGAGGTGCTCAGAAAACAAATGGAATACAAACTCACTGTTCATGTTATTGAGTATGTGTGTGTTTCCTTTTCTCTTTCCATTACAAATGTTAAAGGTACACTTGTGGTCATATGAAAGTCTATGAAAGGGGTCCTTATTATTTAAGAAAAAGTGAGACAGCAGCATTTATCCTAGAGTACAGTATAAAACAAAGAAATTCATAACTATTCTTAACAGATAGTTTCTTACCTTATTGGACACAGTCCAAAATTGTCGATCTGAAGTCATACCATGTAATTCAATTAAAATCTGTCTGATCCGCCAGGGATCCACTGATAATATAAGCTGATGTTCCAACTGGCCAATGTTGACACTTGCTGAAGCTAAAGAAGAGAGCTCCATTTCAGCTAATGACTAAACTCAAGAGTTAAATGTAAACTTTTAAGTATGATACAACTGAGAGAAATGGCATATGTGAAATGTCTTAAGTTAAAAGTAGAAACCATTTTGAGAATGGAATTATTTTATGTAACTCAATTTACGTACTAACTTTATTTCCACATAGAAAAACTACCACAACTTGTATGCACTTAGTAAAGTGAATGCATCTTTAAAAATACAAAATAAAGGGGCTGCACAGATGGCTCAGAGGTTAAGAGCACTGGCTGCTGTTCCCAAGGTCCTGAGTTCAATTCCCAGCAACCACATGATGGCTCACAACCATCTATAATGAGATCTGGTGCCCTCTTCTGGCCTGCAGGGATACATGCAGACAGAACAATGTATATACAATAAATAAATAAATAAATAAATGCTTAAAAAATACACAGTAGATATGTAACAGTCAAAGTAATAAACTGGCCTTCAGGATTTGCAGATCATATGGAAAAACCGATATTAACAGATTCTCTCTTGTGAATATGTGCTAGTAAAAGTATGCATGGAAAAAAATCTTTATTGGCAAATACTGAAGGAGTGAGTGTTTTTCTTCATGCATTTTTACATTTATTTTTTGTGTGTGCCCATATGCCACAGCATATATGTGGAGGTCAAAAGACAAGCTTCAAGAGATGGTTCTCTCCTGCTCCCATGTACCTGAACATGGGTCATCAGGCTTGGTGGCGGGTACTATTAGCCTAGATGTGTATTTTTTTAAGGGGTAAGAGAAAGAGGAAGGATTCCCATCCTCTCACCGCAGGAAAAAAAAAAAAAAAAAAAAACAACCTAAATGATCACTAAAACTTTTAAGCTTAGTCAGTCTTCAATAATACATACTTTTTTGTGTTAATACCATTCTTTATACTAAACATTCAGACAGTTTAAATTCAATGAGGATCAAGACAGCTAAAAATTTTGCTTTTGATAAACTAAAGGACTAACAACCTGTGTGGTTCTAGGTTGTTTCTTATTAAAAATAGAAATGTATTTGTGAATTGACTTGTGAAGCAACCTTGTTTCTTATCTAAAGTTAAACTGGAAAAAAAAAGAAATGTATTTGTGTATATATTAATAAGGTCAAAAATGGGAGAAAAAAGTCAAATAAGATAAAAATGACAACACTCTCAACATTAAATACTTAACCAGTAGCTGACAGCACAGCCATATTGGCTGACAATCACAATTCCTTTGGGTCCCAGAATCCCTTGTCAACCCCATTTTTTCGTACTTTGACCCTCATGAACACAACAGCAGTAGTGTCTGTCTTGGTGTATCCCCAGCTAAACCCTTTTATGAACTACGCCCAAATCTCCATCAGCCACTGGTTCAGAGGCTGCTCCCACAGAAATCTGACCACAGCAGACAGATGAAGTTTCTATTACTTACTCACACAAACACCAACTGAAATACCAAGAAAGCCTTGGGAATATCTTAGTATTAACTTGAACAGGGGCAAAATGTGAGCAGGCAGAATAGGACTAACCTGGGATATCATAAAAAGAAGTCACAGGCTTAATGCACAGATTGACTCTGGGGGCCCTCTTCCTCATCTGATCGACAAGAAGCTTTCGTTCTTCATCTTTCAACAATGTAATGAAAAGCTCGTGTGAAGAAATCATAAAGACGTACTGCAGATCTTCCAACCCCAGACACACGTTCCTAAAGCAGTGAGAAACATTTAAAACAGAGGCGCAAACTCTCGCATGGGAAAACATTCCTATCAACCAATTATTATTTATAAGCCACTTTAAAGAGCCATCATTTTGGAAATTATTTAACAAGATGGGCACAGCAAAGGACACCTCTAATCTCAGCATTTGGGGCTAACTGGAAGTACATGTTGAGCCCCAGTATCAAATAAATAAATGGGGTGAGTGATTTAATCTCGAGCATCACACTTCTCAGCAAGGAACATGGTAGCACACATATTCAATCTCAGCAGTCAGGACTCCAGGTCCCAGGATTATGAGTTTCAGGATAACTGGATATTCATAGCAAAACCCTATCTAAAAAGTGAAAGCTGGGGCACGGGGAGAGAGGTGCAAGGAGAACAGTATGGCTCCCACGGTTAAAACACTTGCTGCTAAGCCAAGGTTAGTTCCCAGAGCTCACAGGATACGAGGAAAGAAAGGAATCCTTTATCCTCTCCACTTACATCCACAAACATACCCTGGCATGTGCTCATACAGAGACAGACACTTTCCTCATGAACTAAGTTACAGGTTTAAAAAAAGGAAAGAAACAGGTACTTACTTTAGAAAAGCAGCCATGTTTCCCTTCAAAGAGTCTGAAGCTTTTTCTACATTTACTGATCTTGAACACACCTAGGAATTTGAGCAATTTTCATTTGAATATGGATTTCAGTTTAAAAAATTGAAATTTACAAACAACAGATGCCTGTAGAGGCCAGAAGTTAGTGCTGAGTGGAAGCCCTGGAACTGGATTACAGACAGTGGTGAGCAGCCAAGTAGGTGCTGGGACCCCTCTGAAGACCATACAGTGCTCTTAACCACTCAGCCAGCTCTCCAGTGCTTCAAACAACCGAACTTTCATGTCTCAATCACTGTGGTGGATTAAAAACTACCCACAAAGGGAGTGACACTATAAGGAAGTGTGGCTTTGTTAGAGTGGGTGTGGTCTTATTGGAGAAAGTGTTGTCACTGTGAAGGCAGGCTTTGAGGTCTCATACATCCTCAAGCCACACCCAGTGAGAAAGACTACTTCCAGTTGTCTGTGCGTCAAGATATAGGACTCTCGTCTCTAGCACCTGCAACATGCTTCCCTGTACTCCACCATGATGGTAAGACTAAATCTCTGAAAATGTAAGACACCCCAATTAAATGTTTAAATTCCCCAGCACTCGGGAGGCAGAGGCAGGCGGATCTCTGTGAGTTCAAGGCCAGCCTGGTCTACAGAGCAAGTTCCAGGACAGCCTCCAAAACAAAACAGAAAAACCCTGTCTCAAAAAAACAAACAAAAAAAAAGGTGCCATGATCAAGGGGTCACTTCACAGCAACAGAAACCCTAATTAACACAATCACTAATTGCTGATTTAGTGAAATAATTTAAGACAAAAATCAAGATAAGAATTCATTAAAGAGGGGGCTGGAGAGATGGCTCAGGGTTTAAGAGCACTGGCTGCTCTTCCAGAGGTCCTGAGTTCAATTCCCAGCTCACAACCATCTGTAATGAGATCTGGTGCCCTCTTCTTGCCTGCAGGTATACACATAATAAATAAATGTTAAAAAAAAAAAAAAAGCTGGGCAGTGGTGGAGCACGCCATTAATCCCAGCACTCTGGAGGTAGAGGCAGGCAGATCTCTGTGAGTTTGAGTGAAGTCTGGTCTACAGAGTGAGTTCTAGGACACCCAGGGTTGTTACACCGAAAAACCTTGTCTTGAATACCCCACCACCAAAAAAAGAGTAACTTAGCACATTAAGTTCCTATTACAAGCCGGGCGGTGGTGGCGCACGCCTTTAATCCCAGCACTCGGGAGGCAGAGGCAGGTGGATCTCTGTGAGTTCGAGACCAGCCTGGACTACCAAGCAAGTTCCAGGACAGCCTCCAAAGCCACAGAGAAACCCTGTCTCGAAAAACCAAAAAAAAAAAAAAAAAAAAAAAAAGTTCCTATTACAGGAAACAGGACCTGCCTTCTACTAAGTTTCAAAAATTTTTCTTACACATAAAAGGGAAAATATGGACAAACGCCATCAAAAGAGGTAGAAGTCTAAACACCTATGACAGCAGACTAGCTAGACTGAGAAATTTCAATAAAGTTACAATGTTTTTTTAGTTGTCTTTTGTTTTTAATTATAAAATGTGCCCATTTTTGTTTTCCTTCTGCCTTGCTCCCCCTTCTCTCTCTGTCTCTATCTTTTCTGAGTCAGGTTCCCATATATTCTAGGTGGTCTCCAGTCTGTCATGTAGCTGACAATGACCTTGAACTTCTCACTCACCTGCAGTTACCTCACTACTGGAATGGTGTGTAACTACAACCAGTTTTCTAAGCTAATGGGGATGAACCCAGAGCTTTTATGCATGTTAGACAAGCATTCTACCAACAGAGCTACATCTCCATTCTGGTAAGGAAAGCTTTTAAGAGATTAGCAAACATCTTGGATACAAAAATGTAGAAAGTTCATTATGCCTGTAATCAATACACCAAGTCCACACCAAAAAATATTTAAAGTCAGACAAAGTAGCATATGCCTATAGTCCCAGCACTTAGAAGGTCAACTTTGATGCCACCCCAGGCTAAGCAGTCAGCCTTTGTTGCAAAACAAAACATTAAAACTCAGAAATTGCTCAACAGTTACTCTGAGAATCTGAGGGACCAAAACTCGGATTCCAGCACTCACACAAGGCCAGTGAACCCAGCTCCAAGTGATCAGAGACAGAAGGATCCCTGGGCCGACTGCATTCCATCAAAGAGGGGAAAACACAAGGATCAGCAAATGAGACCATGACTCAAAAGATCAGGTGGAAATTGGCTGAAGAGGACACTTAATACCCTCTTCTGGCCTCTGAGCTTATACAGAGGTGTATACAGCTATGTGCTACGCTCACCCAGACACCTAAGTAATTAAAAGTGAATCTTAAGTTCTGGCAAGATGGCTCAACAGTTAAGGGAACTTGAGTTCCAACTCTGACAAGTTGTCCTGTGAGCTCTACTTTCATCCAATTGCATGTATACACATATATACATACAATAAACAAATATATACATAAACAAAACACAACATTTTTTTAAATAAATATTTTTAAATAAATAATTAGTTGCTGAAGCTGGGCAGTGGTGCATGCCTTTAATGCCAACTCCTGGGAGGCAGAAGCAGACAGATCTCTGAGATCTCTGGGTTCAAGGCCAGCCTGGCTACACAGGCAGTTCCAGGACAGCCAGGACCCTGCCTCAAAAAAATCAAATAAGAAACAAATGAACAACAAAAAGCAAACAAACAAACAAAAACCATTGGGAACTGGAGAGATGGCTCAGCAGTTAAGAGCACTTACTGCTCTTGCAGAGGACCTGCTCTTACTTCCCAACACCCACTACCAACGACTCACAGCTGCTTATATCTCCAATTCCAGGGGATCTGATGATTTCTGGCTTCTGTAGGCACCTGCACACACATGGTGCATATAAACTCAGACAGACACACGTAGAAAATAAACAAATTTTAGGCCAAGTATGGTGGTATAGGCCTTTAGTCTCATGCTAGGGTGGCAGAGGCAAGTGGAGCTCTGGTCTATACAGCAGAACTCTGTCTTGATTTATTTGTCTTAATAAATAAACAGATTTTTCTCTATAAAAAGAAAAAAGGCAGAGCCTTAGGTTGCAGCCCTAAGTGCTGAAGTGCAGCAGAGGAGAAAAGGAAAGACCCAGTAGGACATGAGCAGAGGATATGAAAGGAACAAGGAAGAAATGGAGAAAAGGCCTGTCTGGAGAGGAAGCAGAACAGAATGTTGATGGCATATGCCTAGCTCACCATTGGGAGGCCTGGGCCGCATAACAAGACCCAGTCCTTTAAAACAAGGAGTGGGGGAGGAAGAGTAGGAGGTGGAAGGGAAGGAAAAAGAAGAGGGAAGACTGGGGAGGGAAGGAGAGAGGTACGGAGGGAGGGAGGGAGGAAAGAGGAGGGAGAAGAGAAAGCAGGAGGAAGGAGAGGAAAAGGAGGAGAAAGGGGGTAGGAGGGCAAAGAGGAGGAGGGGAAGATGCAGAATGAGGGGAGGAGGAAAAGGAGTAGAGGGAGGAAGACAAAGGGGAGGAGAGGAGAAGGGAAGCAGCTGCTGCTCAGTTTGTCAATACTGTCAAGTCTAGGCACAGAGAAAGGCAGAAGGCAGAGCAGAGAGTACTGGACAGCCGCTAGAAAACATAAAGCGATGGTCCATCACCACAGGGGAAATGCCTTACCTCAAGGAGAAAGTCTATTTTTTCTTTGTTTGGTCTAAGAAACAGCTGGTTAAACTGGACACTAACTGTTCTTCCTTCCAGAATATCATGTACTGTGTTGCAGACACATACTTTAAAACAGACTTCATCCAGAGCTTCATTTCTACAGAACACAGAAGTAGAGACACGAGTGCTCTTTTTATTGTAAGATGGGAAGAGTAGCTAGCACAAAACAAAACTCGAAAGGACGGAGTGATTTCTTCTTAAGAATAACATTTTAGAATCTTTAAGTACACTAGTAAATGTCACATACCAACTCAAGAAAATGTACAAAAAGATAATTTAGTTCTAAAGATTAAGTATAAAAACAAAATTGGGCTCCAAATAACTTTCTAACTTCAAACACTTTAAAAAGAAACCAGGAGGGCCTGGAAAGATGGCTCAGCAGTTAAGAGCACTGACTGCTTCTTCTGGAGACCCCAGGTTTAACTCCTAGCACCCATATGGCAGCTCACAACTGTCTATAACTCCAGGTCCATAGGATCTGACACAGATACACATGTAGGAAAACACCAATGCACATAAAATAAAAATAAATTATTGAAAAAAAAGAAACTAGGAGAAAGAACTTTAAAATGTCTCCACTGGGGCTAACAGGCTGGCTCAGTGACTAAGAGAAGACATGGGTTTGATGTCGCTCACAACTGTCCTTAGATCCAGGGGATCCAACACCCTCTTCTGGCCTCTGAGGGCACAAGACATGCACCAGGTGCAGACATCCAAGCAAGGAAAACATCCATATACATAAAAACAAGTAATTTCTAAAAATGTCTCCATGACCACATTAGTGTTCCTTATATCAAAAGTGAAAATGTCAATGATTGACAGGTAATGTGACTTAACAACTCACAAAGCACTCGTTCTATTATTCAAAGATCAAAACTAATTTTTCAACTTACCCTTGTTGAGCTTTTTGAAAAAGCTCCCTTAGTACTGACTGCCGGAACTGAGCAGGTAAAGTGAAGGTTAGGTTATCTTCAATGAAAATCTGCACTACCTCCTAGAACAAAGACATAAAATTACATCCAAGTAAAAAACCAAGGCAGTTCCTTTAAGACACACTTTCTACAGGGTAAGGGATGTAGCTCAATTAACAGAATGCTTGCTTGCCTAGCATGGACAAAGCCCTGGCTCAGTGGCCAGCACTACATAAAACTGGGGATGGTGGTACATGCCTGTAACCTTAGCATAGGGGAGTAGAGGCAGGAGAATCAGAAGCTCAATGTTATCCTAAGCTACATACTGAGTTATAGAAAATTATAAAAAGTCTTACTGGAAAAGTATTTTCTTTCAAAAATTCTAAAATTAGAGTAAGAACCGAAATAATTCCCCTTTTCAAAGTTAAAGACCATGGACCACAAATGAGAAGAGAAACAGATTAATGAAGCCTTTGCCTCTAACTAGAAACAAACAAACAAAAAAACTATACCAAACATGAGCCAAGAGTGCTGTCATACATAACTGAGCACTTGGGAGGATGAGGCAAAGGCCTGCCTGGACTACACAAGTAAAAGTCCATCTCAGTAAATAAGAGAAGCAGATGAAAAACCTGAATCTGACATCTGAAAGACACAAAATATCTACATATGCAACTGTGATACATCTCCTCAAAGGGATTGAGATCCACAAATTGAGAATCACTGCTCTAATGGATCCTAGCCCTCTATAAGCCTGTATTACTGAGATGTAATTGAAAGATATCTATCTAAACTTTAATTCACGAGTACCTATCATTCACCTTAAAAAAAATTTAATTTCCTCCCCTAGACAAAGCAATATTTTAAAAAGTTGCAATCTTCCTCTTCATATATTTTTGAATGCATGAAGAAAAGACATTTCAGATGAAGATAGTGAATTATAAATCTGGGATAAAAACTCAATTAGGTGCCAGATAGTGGAGGTGTACACTTTTGATCCCAGCACTTTGATGCCAGGAGGCAGAGACAGGCAGATCTTTGGAGTTCCAGGTCGGCCTGGTCCCTATAGCTAATTCCTGGACAGCCACAGCTGTTAAAGACAGAGAAACCTGTCTAGAAAACTAAAACAGCACCAGAGCAGCATAACAAAAGACACCCTGACACAAAACAATCAAGCAAATACAAAAAAAAAAAAAAAGAATTGAAGGACGAGTGTCCAGACAGGACACTAATTACAGCCTGAGACAATGGGCAGGCTCACTGACAAAGGGAGTGTGTTAAAGAATATCCACCCCCGACAAACCACTCTGTTCTTCCCGTCCAAGGCTGGGATGGTAGACGAGCTGTGCTAAAACAGAAAGAAGGCCTCAGGTTCCATAGAAAAGCTCCCTCTCTACCTATGATTTTAAAGCCTGGCTTTCTGGCTTGGACAGCTCTTACAGTTTCCTAGAGAAGTGATTAAGGCAGGCAAGCTTTTCTGTCAGTAACAGTAAACACATATATGACTAATTTTAATGTCTCACCCAAGTCTCATGATAATCTGAAAAAATGAGATAACATTAAGGGTTACATTACTGTTTAGGCCTGGCTGACACTGTAATTGACTAGCTCCAAATCACACAGCTGGCAAATGGTGGTAGCAGGATTTGTACTCAGTTTGTTTCTAAAACTTTTCAAGCACACCTCTATAATCCCACCTCATCTTACCTGATAATTGCCAGATCGTAAACAAATGTGGACCTGACTATATGGAGTCAACTGCTGAGAGTTATTATCAGAAGAAGGTACAAGAACATCACAGGCTTGACAGTAGCCGGCTAGCCGCTTCTCATCTATGGTACAATGAAGAGATAATGAACCTATCTGTAAAGTAAGAGTTATACATCATTATCCGTTAATGTGACACACATAATAGACCAGTACTCCTTAGTGCATCTAACAGTATGAGAAAATGACAATGAAAATTTCAAAACTACAGGAACCACAAATGATGACAAGGTTAAATGTTTTGAGAAGACATCAGCAAAACTTTGCTCAATGACCAAATGCAATCTGTGATCTGCTTTTGCTTGTCCTTTCTAGGGTTGAAAAGAACACAACACCCAATACAGACTGACTGTGATCCATAAAATCTAAGCTATTTACTGTTCAGCCCTTTACTTATTTATTTATTTTCACTCAGTACGTATGACAAATAAGGCATTAATGGTGAGTGACATCCCTTACAGCAAACCTACACACCATAAAAATCCATACATCAGGCAGATTTAAAAGATGATTAAAGAACAATCTTTTCTCAAAAAATATTAGAAATGTCACTACCAAAAGCAACTCTAAAGATCTTTTTTTTATTTTAAGTAATTATACCTAAAATCAACAAAACTAGCAATTTCTAATAGCTCTACATAGAGTAAGCCTAGGGCTAGAGAGGCAGCTCCATGGTGGAGCAGCTACCTACCAAACTGAAACCAGGGGATCAAGCCCTAGTACTACAAAAGTGAATGAACAAAGAATAAATTAAGCTTTGAGGGTATCTGATTAATTTTTCTACTAAGGAAAGGAAATTAAAATACTTTTTCAGGTTCTTAGATTTAAAAAGAGTTACACAGCTCAGTACTTGACAGTTCACACGGAGGACCTGAGTTTGGTTCCCAGTGCCCATGTTGGTGGCTCACAGCCACCTACAATTACAGCTCCAGGGCATCACACACCATCGGCGGGCCTCCAGGTGAACGCGTCCTCATGTGCACACACCCACCCATAGACAAAAACATACCCAGATTTTGAAACATAAATCGTGCTTTTGAAAATGTAGTCATGGGAATCATGAAAGAAGCTTGTTCTAAAGCCGGGCATTGGTGGCGCACGCCTTTAATCCCAGCACTCAGGAGGCAGAGACAGGCAGATCTCTCTGAGTTCAAGGCCAGCCCTGTCTACAGAGCAAGTTCTAGGACAGCCTCCAAAACAATACAGAGAAACCCTGTCTTGAAAAACTAAAAAAAAGAACAAGAAAGAAAAAGAAGCTTGTTGTATAGAGCAGGCTGGCTCCGCCTCCTGGGGGCTAAGACTAGAGGTGTGTACACCACATCTGGCTGGCACTCTACTTGACACTGGACACAGATGAACAGCTGTACCAAGTCCCCACTGCCTTGACTCCCTGCCATGAAGTACCTCAAACTATGATCCAAAATGAACTTTTTCTCTTAAGTTCCTTTTGGACATTTTATCCAGCACAGGAAAAGAAACAAGATAACAAGGAAATAAGATGGTCACATTGGTTTGTTGGTGCTGGGATTGAACCAGAGGACTTGTGCATGCAAAGAACACATTCTACCATGAAGTCATACTGCCAACCTTGGTTTGGTGCCACATATCTATTAATGCCAGCACTAGGGCCAGCCTTGTCTACACTGTGAGTACCAGGCAAAACATAGTGAAATTGTCTTAAAAACCAAACAAGTTACACTCTAGTACCAACACAGCTTTTCTTTAGAAAAATTAAAGTCAAAACCCTACATGTCTTTAAGGGACCAAATATTATGTATTGTTTATGACTGTGCTTACCTCGGCAATAAGTTCTTTAGTCCTAAAAAACTTCTCTCTGGCATTTTCATAGACAGCTGAATTTGTAGAGCCTTGCTGGAAGTACACTGCACCTAAATCATAACATACCTGAAATGATAACAAAACACCAATTTGCTCAGTAGATTTTATATAGATTATATGCCAGTAACCCCAGCACTGAGGAAGCTGATGCAAGAGGGTCACAAGTTCAAGTCCTGGTTAAAAGGAAAGCAAGTTCCAGGTCAACCTTTATATTAATGAACAAGTTTCTTTAAAAAAAAAAAAAAAGGAACTCTAATCTAAACCACAGAAACAAAGGTAGAAATACATCTACCTAAAACCTCAAGGTCTTACATGCAATTTCCAATACACTGAGTCAGTAATGAAGGAAGTACCTGGCATTGCATCTCCTCAGTTTTGATTTTCAGCCCAGCTGTAGAACTGTCAGTTTCTCCATTCACCATGCCTGGTTCCATTGCTAGTAAGTCCAAAGTTCTCATAGTGTGAACATATAAATCCTTGTTTAATTTCAAGGCTGCTTCCAGGACCAAAATAGAATCTGCAGCTTGTTCTTTTAGCTACAAAATTCAATAAAAAAATGAAAATGCAAAAACAGTAACTGATTATAATAACCAAAAAAAATTTTACAGAATACTTAGTAGTTTCATGTACCAAAAATAGGAGACATTTCAACAGGTACAATTATTTGTTGAAGTAATAATCTTAAATATTAAAAAAGAGTATGTTCCTTTGTAAAGTTGGAAACAAAATATAGGAAAGATTTGTACTATTTCACTTTAATTTATGCAATGGATATTTGTATACTTCACTGTTCAAAGTCATGTTACTAGACACTACATAAGAACAATAAAATGACACAGGCTTTTTGCTTCTCTATTCAAAATATTACAAACTCCCCTATATATTTGTTTAACATAGGTAAGATTTTTTTTCTTTTATCTCAGTTCTCCATAGATACAGCTAACCTTCTTCAGAACACTGAAGTAGGTGTTAAATACTTACAGAGATTATATATAATTTACAGGTAATCTCCCATTTCTTTTATATTGAGTAGATTAAAAGTTAAATATGGGCCGGACGGTGATGGCGCACGCCTTTAATCCCAGCACTCGGGAGGCAGAGGCAGGCGGATCTCTGTGAGTTCGAGGCTGGGCTGGACCAACAGCCTCCAAAACAATACAGAGAAACCCTGGCTCGTAAAAAGCCAAAAAAAAAAAAGTTAAATATGGGGTGCTTAGCAATTAAAAGCATGCATTGCTCTTCCAGTGAACTTGGGCGTTTGAGTCCCAGAAACTACATATGTTGACATACAACCACCATGGGAATCTGACACCTCTGGCCTCTTGCAAACACTTGCACTCATGCACAAACAGACAAAGACAGACAAATAGACAGATAGACACACACATACATACACACACAAATGAAAACTAATAAAAATGTAAGAATCTTTAAAAAAAATCCCTATGGGGTATCATAGGCACAGCACTGCCTAGCATAAGTGGGCCTTGGGCTACAGCCTAACAAACACATTAGAGATATGCTATAATTTTCTGACAGTATTTTGTTTTTCAAACACAACTGCTGTGAATTTTATTTATTTATTTATTTATTTATTTATTTATTTATTTATTTATTTATTTATTTTGGGTCCAGGCCCACTTCCCCTGACTCCTCTCCCCCTAATCCCTGCCTCCATGCTGTGAACTTTTAAGAGAATATAATAATATCACCTAAAAATCAACTTTTTGGTTTTCTTAGTTTTTCTTTTTTAAACAGGCTCTCTAGTCCGGGTTAGCCTCCTTATGTAGTTGGGGGTAGGCTTGAAATTTTGATCCTCATGATTTCTCCTCCCCAGTACCAGACATACACCACTACCAGTTTACGCAGTCGTAGGGATCAAACCCAGGCTTTGTGCAGGCCAGGTGAGTACTCTATTAACTTACCTATATTCCCCAGCCCTGGTTTGTTGACAAGGCCTCATGTAGGCCAGGCTAGCCTCAAGCCTGCTACATACCCGAGGATGACCTTGAATTCCAGATCTTCAGCCCTTACCTCCATTCAGTGTATATAACCACACTTGGCTCTGTATGCATGACTGTATGCACACATGAATGCATGCATGTCAAAGTCAGAGGGTGACATTGGAAGTCTCTCTCAATTACTCTTCATCTAAGTTCTGATGATGAGTCAATCACTACACCTAGAGAGCTCACCAATACTGGCAGATAAACTGGCCAGTACAGTAAGGCCCAGGAATCCTGTCTCCATTTCTCCAGTGGTGGGGTTATAGGCAAGCACACTGATTCATCTGGCTTTTACGTGGGTGCTGAGGACCACACTCGGGTTCTTTGCTTAAACAGTAAGAATTTTGTCAACTAAGCCACCCCATCTCCCAGTCCCATAAAAATCATGTCTTCAACAATGTTAGCTAAGTATAACAACATGTCTTGAACAATGTCTGTTAAAATATCACGAAGCTGGGTTGCAGAGATGGCTCAGCAGTTAAGAGCATTGGCTGCTCTTCCAGAGGACCCAGGTTCAATTCCCACCACTTACATGGCAGCTCACAGCTGTCGGTAACTCCTATTCCAGAGGATCCCATACCCTCACACAGACATATGTGTGGGCAAAACAATGTACATAAAATACAAGTAAATAAATTTAAAAATAAAACAAAATCAAATACCATCAAGTATTCAACAAAAGAACTGATGATAAAGCATTGTACCAACAGTGTTGAAAACTGTACAATTTAGGTCAAGGAATGGTAGCAAATGTCTGTAATCCTAACAGGTATGAGACAGGCAGGAAGATAAAGAATTAGAGACATCTTGCCTACATGGAAAATTTAAGGACAAGCAGGGCTGCATAAGACTGTCTCATAAAAGCAAAGCAAAATACACACACACACACACACACACACACTTACTTATATGCTTACAGCAAACAAACCTCCATCACTGTGCTTGGACCTTTACAATACCCATAAATTTAAGATTAGAACTTGCATCTCTGTATGCTAACACCTAACACTGTAGTCACTGCCAATACTCACCACTTTCAAAATGTTTTCTGTTAGTTCCTTTTCCTGTTGCATTTGATTCATGCTAAAAGAGAAATGATTTAAGATCGATGAAATATAACTCTCAAGGCAAATCTGTAAAAGTCTAAATTTAAGACTATCATTCTTCAGCATGAAGCTTATCATTTTTTAATGTATGTTAACAGTTTATTTTTTGTTTAAACAAATGAAAGCACTGATTATTATGATAATCATTAATTTACCAGAACCTTCTCAATTGCTTTACATCAAACTTTCATGCAGGATTAGAACCAGCTAAGTAGGACTGGAGAGATGGTTCAGAGGTCAAGAGCACTGCCTGCTCTTCCAGAGGTCCTAAATTCAATTCCCAGCAACCACATGGTGGCTCACAGCCATCTATAAGATATTATGCCTTCTTCTGGCATGCAAGCATGTATGCAGATAGAACACTGTATATATAATATTTAGGGGGAAAAAACTAGCTAAATATAACACACACCTATAATCCCAGCACCTGAGCAGTAGAAACAGGACTGGGAGTTTCAAGACCAATCAAGCTATAAAACTGAGTTCTGAGGCTACCTTGAACTCTATCAGATTCTGCTGGAAGACAGGAGGAAGACGAAGAAAAAGAAAGGAAAACGAGGGAAAAGAAACCAAATAGAGTAATAAAGCTTATTGAAAACAAATATTTTTGTTGTTATTTTTTCGAGACAGGGTTTCTCTGTGAAACAGTCCTGGATATCCTAGAACTCGCTCTGTAGACCAGGTTTGCCTCGAACTTACAGAGATCCACCTGCCTTTGCTGGGATTAAAGGCGTGCACCACCCCCACCCAGCAAATTCATTTATTTAAAGAAGAGCCACAGAGGGGAGATGGAGAGATGGCTCAGCAAGTAGAAGCACTGGCTGCTCTTCCAAAAGACTAGGATTCAGTTCCCAACACCCACACGGTGGCTCACAACCTACTGTAATTCAAGTTCCAAGGGATCTGAACCTTCTGGCTTAAGGTATGAGGCATACACATGGTGCAATTACATATGTGTTTTGCAAAACACTTAGCAGCAGAAAATAAAATTAAATAAAAAAAAAAAGATATAGAAACTAGGCAAGGTGGCACTAGCCTTTAATCCTAGCACTTAGAAAGCAGAGGCAAGAGGATCTCCGTGAATTCAAGACCAGCCTGGCCTACATTATTGAGTCCAAGTCAGCCAGAGCTAAATACCTATTCAGAAATACCAAAAATTAAAAAGTGCAATAGAGAATATGCCATATTACAAAGAAGTGTGTTGTTTTTTATGTCCTAACATAAAGGTTTGCGCCACAGATGGTTCTTCTGGGATATGTTGTCGACCTCTGGGAAGCAAGGTAAGTGGGTGGTGGGTACAACACTAGGGTGTGCCCCAGAAGTAATTATTAGCCCCTGCTCCATCCTTTCTTCCTTGGCATCCTGGCTCATGAAGTGAACCATTTGCCCTGACAGGGCATCAGTATCAAAGAATTCAGCTAACCATTCAAACCTGTGCCACAAATAAGTCTATTCTCTTTTTAAATATAAGTAACCAAATTTCACTTATATAAGTCACCATGGTGTCTACTCCCAAGTGTGGTGAGCTGCCACCTAGAATTTATAAATTGTGTTTAAAACTCCATATTCAACCAAGCTTTTGTCATGAATTTTGTACTGTTAACACTCATAAATACTAAAATAATTCCCCCAGGTACAAAACTAATACACATTAAAGACCATTATACTGAAAAAAATCTTCAGAGTCACTTCTCCAACCCCCGCTTCTTCTAAGCTCCGTGGAGGCCCTCTGTCCTCCCTCTGCTCCACTAATCTGTAACATGAGCTTGGACAGAGATCTTAAATCACAATGAAAAATGCCCCCAAGTAAGGGTCATGTCAGCCAACTTACACATTCAGTTGAGGGGGTCCAGGTTTTGCCTGTTTGACAGGAAAACTACTTTGAACAATTGTCCGAATTGCCCTAAAGAAAAGATAGGATAACAATAAAAAGATCAGTTCAATCATAATATAATAATTTAACAAATGTTAAGATTTCATCCAGTTTCAGCAACATGCTTTTCATCTACATCGCCATAAATAAAGTGTGTTCACCTCCAGACTCACAGTTCCAAAGATGTCTAGAGAGATCCCGGAACAAAAGGAGACCTGAAAACATGACCCTGAAAGTCAGCGTACAGGGACAGGAGGCTGCTCACCATCGGTTGTAGAGGAGGATGGCCATGGCAGTGGTTGGGGGGAGGGCTGCCAGATCCATGTCTACATGCCTGGTCCCCGCAGGGACTTTACTGATGCACAGCAGCTCATTCAGCAGCATGTTCAACACTGGCACGGACAGGCTGAAGAGGAGAAAGGTACACATCTGAACATTAGCTGCACACGCCACAGAACCCCACTGCAAGAGTCTACAGAGCTACCTGGTGGATTCCAAGACTTTTTAAGTGAACTTACACAATACCAAAGTGGAAAATCCCTGGTGAGCACTTACCATGTACCTTAACTGTTCAACTAAAGACCAGTCTTCTTTCATTTTTACTCTTATCTACTTCCCAAATTATAAAGATTGCAGATTATATCTAAAACATTTAGCTTTCCTTTTCAAATGAGGTTTGCCATGCAACCCAGGCTGCCTTCAAACTGGCGGCAGGCTCCTGCCTCAGCCTCCAAGGTGTTGGCTTAACAGGTGCATACCACCATACCTGCAAAAAGTGAAATCTCAACAAAATGTCAGTTTAATTTCACAGAGAAAGAATTTAATTTCCTAGCACTCTGGAGGCAGAAGCATGAGGACCTGAGTTTGAGGACAGCCTGGTCTACAGAGTAAAACCTTGTCTCAACTCCAACACCACCTACCTTATCACCCCCCAAAAAAGAAAAAGCAATAACATTGATTATCATCAAACGACCAATTGGGAGTTTCTGACTGGTGTAGCAATGGCAGCTTACTTGTCCAGAAGGCATAAGATCATGGATTCAATTCCTAGCACCAGAAAAATCCAGCAGGTGTTCAATTTTCCAACTATTTCATATGTATGCCTTAACACTCCATACATTACCAGAGACAGATATGCCTTTGTAATCTACTAATGTACTAATAGATTAAAAAGCCTGGAAGCCAGGCATGAACACACATTCCCAACACTTGGAAGGCAGAGACAAGCTATCAAGAGCCCAAGAACATCTTCCACTACAGAGCTTGAGACCAACCTGGGTTACTTAAGATCATGTCTCAGACAACTAAAAACTAATCAATTTACTTTTAAAAAAATTATATTTAGCCGGGCGTTGGTGGCGCATGCTTTTAATCCCAGCACTAGGGGAGCAGAGGCAGGCGGATCTCTGTAAGTTCGAGACCAGCCTGGTCTACAGAGCGAGTTCCAGGACAGCCTCCAAAGCCAGAGAAACGCTGTCTCGAAAAACCAAAAAAAAAAAAAAAAAAAAAAATATATATATATATATATATACACATATATATATATTTAATGCTGAAGAACATATTATGAGGAAAAGTGTTTTGAAACGCTATGCTGACTGAAGTATACTCTCAATCATTGAGTGTGGTGGCACGCAACTTCAGAGAATCTAAAGACAGCCTGGGCTACACAGTGAACTCCTGCTCAGACAAAAATATTAAAACCTTATAGTTTACAAGGGTGAAAAACTGGCAACAGGGACTGGAGAGACAGCTCAGTGGTTAATAGCCCAGGCTGTTCTTACAGAGGTCCCAGCACCCACATGGTGGCTCACAACTGTCTGAAGCCCTTTTCTTACTGCAAGCAGGGCACCAGGAACATATGTGGTACACAGACATATATGCTAACAAAACACCCATATACATAAAATAAACGAGTTAATTATAATAAATAAAAAGGCTAGGTGGTGGTGCACACCTTTACTCCCAGGGAGGCAGAGGCTGAGCTTGAGGCCAGCCTGATCTACAGAATGATTTCCAGGACAGTCAGGACTACATAGAGAAACCCTGTCTTGAGAAAAAAACAAACAAACAAACAAACATACATACACACACACACACACACACACACACACACACACACACACACACACACACGTATATGTGGGGGGAGGAGCTGGAAGCAGACTGATTGCCAATGAGGAATAGTTCATACTTGGTGGTATTTATGGTGTTTGTAGGAAGTGGGGAATTGAGACTGGTTCTTGATATAAGGCTCAGGCTGACCTTGAACCACTGGCTCTTCTTTTCTCAGCTTCCCAAGTGCTGGAAATTTTGAGTATACACCCCCATATTCAATTAATTAATATTACGTTACATGAAGAAACAAAACATTATACAGGGTGTAATAACATTATTATTAAACTTGGGAGGCAAAGGCAAAACGATGAGGAAGTCAAGACCTTCCTCATCTCCATGGCCAGTTCATGGTCAGCATGGGCTACACAAGACCCTGTGCCAAAAAAAAAGGTACTGGAGAGGCTGCTCAGTAGTTACAGCACCTGGTACTCTTCCAGAAACCTGGGTCGATTCCCAGCACTCATGTGGTGGTTCACAACCATCTGTAAGTGCAATTCAGGTGTTTGACCTTCTCACCTATGACAGCACCAGGCACTCACATGGTCATGCACATACATATGTGTATATGCAGGCTTAACACTAATACACATAAAGTAAAAAAAAAAATTCAAATACATTTTTTTCCTTTTTTTTTTTTTTTTGGTGGGGGGGAATGGGTTTCAAGACGGGCTTTCTCTGTGTAGCTTGGAGCCTATCCTGGCACTCTGCTCTATAGCCCAGGTTGGCCCCAAACTCACAGATATCCACCTGCCTCTGCCTCCCCAGTGCTGGGATTAAAGCATGCACCACCATCACCCTGCTCAATACATTTTTCTAAATAAACTGGCACACGCCTTTACTCCCAGCAACGGGCAGCAGAGGCAGGTGGATCTCTGTGAGTTCGAGGTCAGCCTGGTCTACAAAGCGAGTTCCAAGACAGCCAGGGCTGTTACATAGAGAAACCCTGTTTTGAAAAAAAAAAAGAAATCAAAATATTTTCTAAAAACTATTTTTTCTAAAGCAAACAAAAGTACTACAAATGGAGGAAGAGTTGACAGGTGGCTTGGTGGCGGTGTGCCCTAGCACTGCTGAGGTTCAGGTACAGTCTCTGACACTGTCAACAAATTAAAACACTGGGCAAGCAAGGACAAAGATTACACAGAAATGTTACTTCTGTCCTCTAAATTAGTCATGGTTTCCTTTTTTTTTTTTTTCTTTAAGGAAAGGACGAAAACAAACAACTTTCTAACCACAGCTTTGAAATTACTTGCTTTTAAGGAAATGAATGCCGATTCAAGAAGTATTGTTAACAGTTTTAGAGAAGGAATGACTGACTGATGACCAAAAAGATTGACCAAATTATCCAACAGTAAATCACACATCACTAACTTGCACTCACTGTCACCCGATACTTAGGTTGCTGAAACAGTTGACGCACTTGAAGTCTGGGTTTTCTCCTGCTACAACACCTAGAGTAGTAATTAACTCGGCTAGTCCGGTCTAGTCTACAGCCTAGTAGTAAAACCTTACCTAAGGTTTTACTAAATGCCTGAGGCCCTGACTTCAATTTTCAGTAAGAGGGAGGGAAGTGCTTCCGCATTACTGACTGAAAAAGTTTAAACTTTAAAGGGTGGTTTACCAAATGACCCTGCAGTCACTGCTTTGCTTGCGCTGGATGGTTTGAATAACCCTATGTTGTTCTGTCTGGTCTCTAACCTTGGGGCTCTCGGGAATCTACTGCCCACCCTCAAGATGCTGCAACTACACACACTTCTAGTTTTAAATACTTTCTTATACCTATTTTAAAAGGCTTGAGTATTTTGTCACGATCAGAATGACACGAGCATATTCACAGAAACAAAGGTATCTAAATAGTGTCCAAATGGAATGCCATTTAAACTTTCATACCTTTTCTCCAGTATGTCTAAATCCCACTTCAAATGTGCAGCAACCTTAAGAGCAAGAAGCTTTAGGATCCGGTTTCTCTTGTTATCAGGCGGAGGCTGGACTTGGTTCTGCTCATTAACTGAAGGTTTGGAAGCCTGCTCCAAAAACTGAACTATAAGCTCAACTGGCGCCGGATCTAGGATTTAAAAGGGAATAAATTCTTAGTTATCATTTAAATATGTAAGGGGGGGTACACCTTTACTTTTTTGTAGCCTGCAAAGGCAGGCAGATCTCAAGGCCAGCCTGGTCTACAGATCGGGAGTACAGGACAGCGCAGAGTTACACAGAGAAACCCTGTCTCAATAACCAAAGAAGGATTCACTGTATTGCACTTTTTTTTTCAAACCACAAGGAATACCAACAGCTATTCAGGCACACTGACTAAAGAACATGACACATGGGGGCGGGGGCAACATCTGGAAAAATGGTAAACTAGACACCTGCAGCTCAGGGATTGCAAACTTGCCTGATATGCAACCGGGAAGAGGAAGATAGCCAAAAAAACAAAAAACAAAAAACAAAAAACAAAACAAAAATAGTGCAGAACAAAGCACTTCACAGGGTAAAACTAACCATTACAGGTCCCCAGGTTCCCAGCTCACCACAGGACCAGTGCTAATTAGAGGAAGGAGAGCTGGCTGCAGAACTATTGTTTTGACAACTAGGGGTCTTTTATTGAGTTATGTCTCTGCCGTGTTTCCCACAATGAAAAGTAGAGGCTAATGCCACTTACATCATTAAGTGAGGGGATAGAAAGAGCTAATTACAGTGGCTTGGCACCCTGCAAGCCCTAAACAATGTGCCAATAAGAAAGCGCTAAAAGCACTAAGATACAAGTGATAAAACTGCCTACCTAGTGATGCCAAGTTTTCACAAAGTAGTCGCCTACAAGTAAGGGCAAATTTGGATTAGAACGGAGCAAACTACAGCTTGCACTACCTTTTCAGAAATGCCTGGAAAGAGGAAAACAGCATGGTCCTTGCCCAGTAGTAACATTCAGGCAAGCATTGGTATCCCCACACGATTGACTGCCCGGCAGTTCCTGCTCTCGGGGATTTTATCTTAATTCGGGGATCCACAGCGAGGTACACAAGAACGTAAGGCTGGGGCTGGCTCCAAGCTCCGCAGTGCGGGGCGGCTACCTCCTCCCGCTCTCCCCTCACGGATTCGGCCCCCGGGGCCGTGCGACTCCGGCGACACGGCCCCCGCGTGGCAGGTGTCGGCGCCCCACGCAGTGAGGACGGCGGCAGACGAGAAAGCCTTTGTCTGGAGCTTTCCTCAGACGCTCGGCGGGGACGCCCGCGGCCCGGGCACAGTCCAGCAGGGCTCAGCCGCGGTGCCAGGCCGCAGGCGCCCGGGGACCTGAGCAGCGGGGCCGCGGACCACGCCCGCCCGCAGGAGCCCGCTTACCCGGACAGGCTTTGCGCAGATGCTTCTCCAGCAGCGACTCCTCCAGCAGGAACTCGAACCAGCAGGTCTGCGGCGGGGTGCAGGGCCGGCTGGAGGTGGCCGCCTCCCGGTCCGCCGCCTCCGCGCTCATCCTGCCCCCGCCGCCGCTGCTCCCGCCGCCTCCCGGCTCCAACCTGACCCTGTCCGGAGGCCTGCGACCAGCGGAACCGCCCGGAACGTCCAGACGGCTCGCACGGCCCAAGATGGCGGAGTCGCCTGCCCGAGCCCCGCCCCGGATTGGCAGCTCTCCGCCGCTCGCGACCAATCGCTGTCGGACGTCGGAGGAAAGGGGCGGGAGCGACAGGCCGCCCCGCCTCCTGGCTGCCGCGGAGTCGCCTTACCGTGAAGCTCGGGTCTGGCGGGGCTTTCCAGTTCCCTCACAGAGGAAACGGAGCGACTTCGATGTCTTCGTAGTCAGAGGAACGAGACCAGATCTGGCTGTTTTGTCTCCGGTGCTTTCCCGTTCTGAGATTCCTTCCCACTTCCTCGTCTCCCGGTTTTCCGAGTGCAAACAGTTAGCTCCAACTTTCCAGCGACTTCTCGAGGCGCTCTAGGTGTTCAGGACCTCGTTAGTTAATGCTCCTCAGCTCTCCCGTCTAGGCACAGTAAGCCGCCATTCTGTAACGCTCTTAGGTATCGTCACCAACGAAACTAAAGGGCAGAGCATGGTGGGGGCCTGCCCGGAAAACCCCGCACTTGAGAAGCAGAAGCCAAAGGACCCCTCAAGACTGAGGCCAGATTGGTCCTCATAGCGAGTTCCTGGGATCCCGGGGGCCGACTGCCAACTAACTCATCTAGCCAAAATCACTCCTGGAGAGAGGTGGGGAAAATCCCGGCATCTACCATCTACCGCTGTCCTACACACTCTCCAAAGAAAGTTTCACAAATATGCATTACCAAAGATGATTGTTTTCATTGAGGGACCCTGAGAAACGGAAATGAATTCAGGTTTAGTCAGATGCCTCTCTTTCTGCTGTTTTGTTTTGCTTTGTTTGAAACAGGGCTTCACTGTGTAGCCCAGAATGGCCTGAAACTATGTAGCCCAGGCTGAACTTGAACCTGCTTCGATCTTGTCACCAGGTTTCTTATGGTTCTTTGCGGGTATTTGTGGTTTTGGTTTTGTTTGTGTTTTGTTTTTGGTTTTTCGGACAGGGTTCTCTGTGGCTTTGGAGGCCCGATGAGACAGGTTTCTTTTCTTTGTGTAACAACAGCACTCGATGTCCTGAACTCACTCTGTAGACCCCACTGGCCTTGAACTCAGAGATCTGCCTCCTGAGTGCTGGGGTGGGGAGCAGGCAGGGTTTAAAGGCGTGCACCACCATTGCCTGGCAATCCCTTTTTTTTTTTTTTTAAAGATTTATTTTTAGAGCCAGGTGTCCTTTATGTCAAGCTAGTCATTAGGGGTTCTCAGTTGAGAAAATGTCCCTCTAAATCTCTGGGAAATCTGTACTGCATTTTCTGGATTTACTATTGGTGTGAGTGGGCCCAGCTCACTGGCGGTGATCCTAGGTGTATGAGGAAACAAGCCGAGAGAGCCGCAGGGAGCAAGCAACACTTGTTCAGGGCCTCTGCATCAGCAAATTCACGTAGGTTCCTGTCTTGTTTGAGTTCCTGCCCTGACTTCCACAGAGATTGACTGTGCTGTGGAATTGTAAACTAAAATAAACTCTTTCCTCCCCAACCTATTTTTGGTCGTGCTGTTTTATCACAGCCATAGAAACCCTAAGACAGCTGCACTGAAGGTTCCTAAATGGTCTTTGAGCTGGTTTGAATAAGAATGACCCCTATGCCTGGCTTTTGTGGCACACTCCTTTAATCCCAGGAGGCAGACGCAGGCGGATCTCTGTGAGTTCGAGGCCAGCATGATCTACAGAGCTAGTTCCAGGACAGCCTCCAAAACAATACAGAGAAACCCTGTCTCGAAAAAAAAAAATGAAGAATGACCCCTAAAGGTTCATACATTAGAATGAATGTGTGGACCTCAAAAGGTGGAACTGTTTCGGAAGGATTAGGAGGTGTGGTTTTGTTGGGCAGGTGCGTCACTGGGGGTGGGCTTTGAGGTTTCAGAAGCCCATGCCATTCCCGTTAGTTTTCTCTCCCTCTGCCTCACACTAGTATGTCAGATTAAGTTCTCAGCTACGATAGTCACCAACTCTAACTTTCTAGAACTGATTCAATTAAATGCTTTCTTTCCTAAATTGCCTTGCTCATATTACTTTGTCATTACAATAGAATAGTAACTAAGACAGGCTTTATCAAGGTAAGTACTGGCAATGAGACTATCAGGTCAAAATCTTTTCAACAGCCTTCTTTGTCCTGCTATCCGAGTGAACTCTCAATGGTCACATGTTGGTTGGGCAGGTTTTAACACGTTTGGGTGCTGGGGAACCTGAGTGTCGAACTGAACATGTAACATGAGCTGCATAAGTATATTAATTTAGAAAAAAAAGAGTGGTTTTTTTTTTATTTTTGAGACAGGGTTTCTCTGTAGCTTTGGAGGTTGTCCTGGAACTCTCTCTGTAGACCAGGCTGGCCTCGAACTCACATAGACCCGCCAGCCTTTGCCTCTTGAATGCTGGGATTAAAGGCGTATACCACCACGCCCAGCAAAAGAATGGTTCTGAAACAGATAATTTAAGGAACACTTACAGAACTTATATGAAAGAAATTCTCTGTCATGGTTAGTGACATTGAATTTTCCAAATAAACAGCAAAATCTACAAAAGGTCTCTATGAAGGAAGGTGGCCCTTGTTTTGGCATATCAGAAACGCACAATTCCTTCATTGACCTCTTTGGAGCTGTGTCATTTGTTGTGGAAGCAAGGCTGGTTTGTAGAGTTAGGATGAAGCATGCCCTGGAAGCGGCTTCTCCACACTGCACACAGTGAACAGAACCATCACAGGCTGCAATACATCTGAAGAGTAGCAATCATCCTATTGTCTACAGTCATAACAAACACTTCAATGTTTGCTTTTCCAGACAGGATCTCATTACTTAGCCCTGGCTGTCCTGGAACTCACTATGTAGACCAGACTGGCCTCAAATGCACAGAGATCCACCTGTCATGGCAACTTCTTCCGGCCCACAGTCAGAGGTCTTACAGGGTTGTTGCTTGGTGGTAGAGTGCCAGCCTAGCGTGGGTGAGGCACTGGGTTAGATTCTCAACACCAAAAATTAACTAATTAACCAGGCAGTGGTGGTGCATGCCTTCAACCCCAGCACTTGGGAAGCAGAGGCAGGAGGATCTCTGTGAGTTCCAGGCCAGCCTGGTCTACAGAGCGAGTTCTAGGACAACCTCCAAAGCAATACAGAAAAAAAAATTAATAAGGTCTTTGGTTTAGACCCAATATATACAAGTCGTATTATGGAAAATGCACTGTGTAGACGGAGTCACCAGACTCAGGGGAAACTAGAAACCTGGGTGCTGAATGGCAGCTAACCAAAAGCTACCTCCCTTTTGCAAATAAGCTTGGGGTAGTAGGGACTCAGCTCTTAGTGCTAACTGTGAACACTTACTCCACAGGTGGTTATTGAAAGGGGTAAACTAAACTCAAAGGCTTCACTTCTAATAATTTAAAAATAAAGGGACCAGACCCTCACTGAGCCCCCTGCTTTAGCAGCTATGACAGGCTACAGAAAAGACACGTAGGCCTCTGACACAAGGAAACTCCAGATCCTCTGGCCTCCCAGAACCTAGGGCCAAAACTGAACACAAAGAAACTCCAGACACCACCCCAGCCTCCTAGATGCTTGGTTCCTGGGAACTGTTTGGCCACAAAAGAAACTCCAGGGGAGACCAAAACCTCCTCTGTGGTCTCCAGGATATAGTTCTGAAAACTATTGGTAGCTATGTACAACAGACCACTGCAAATAACAATACAAAGCCATAGAAACCACAGAATGTACCCTCTCAGCACTAATGAAAGTAATTGGTACACAGGTATTTCATGCCAAAATATGACTTTGAGAAATTCTCCTGATTGTTCCTGTTGTGCCCAAGTTGAAAGTCCCCAGGGACACCAGGAAGACCCACTAAACTGTAAAAGCAGGTTTAATGATTGTTTATCCAACCATGACAGGAACCCTATCTAGCAAACTGACACAGCAGCCTTCAGAGGGAGTGAAATTCTGTCTACTGCTAGGTTTTATAGACAAAAGTTATAGGATTACTTCAGTAGGTATGGGTTGGTTTCTCATTGGTTGACATTTGGATACAATTAAGAGCATTGTCTTTAAAACCTAGCAGTAGACAGGGAACGTCACTCCCTCTGGAGGCTGCTGCCACAGCTAGCCAGACAGGGTTCCTGTCATGGGTGGATGAACAATTAAACCCTTGCTTTTGCAGTTTAGTGGGTCTGTCTTCATGGTGGTCTCTTGGGGACTTTACAACTTGGGCACAACAGTTATATTCAGGCTAGGAGTATAAGCAGGCAACTTCTAACACCCTGTCAAACTCCAGCCATTCAGAAGCTGCTGACTTCCAAGAATAAGCATCACCTGACCCAAAGGCAGGTAGCTCATTGGCTGGTCTTGTTTTGCCACAAGCCTCCATCAGACTAACTAAAGGGCTCAAAAACCAAGACTAGCTGTGGTGGACCCTGACTTGGAAGGTGGAGCTGAGGATGTAGCTCAGTGGTAGATGACTCGCTTAGCATGTACAAGGCTCTGGGTTCAAATTCCTGTACTCTCCCTCAGCACCCCCCAAATCCGAATAAATGAATGAATAAATAAATAAGGCCCTGTATTTGACTCCTAGCACCCACGTGGTAGCTCACAGCCATCTGTAACCAGTTCTAGAAAATACTATGCCCTCATTGCACACATGTGGTGTGCAAACACACATGCAGGCAAACAATCCTCTCATACATTAAATTAAAAAAATTTAAATAAGCCGGGCGGTGGTGGCACACGCCTTTAATCCCAGCACTCGGGAGGCAGAAGCAGGCAGATCTCTGAGTTCCAGGCCGGGCTGGACCGATAGCCTCCAAAACAATACAGAGAAACCCTGTCTCATAAAAAACAAAACAAAACAAAAAAAATTAAATAAGAATGTAGTAAGTGGGTCTACTGAGTGGAGAACGGTATAGATATGAAAAGAGAAACAGATAAGAAACCAGGCTTGGCTCCTCCATGGAAGGTAATAGCCTAAAAATATATTTTGTCTCCCCTGTGAACTGAAATTTAGTATTCCTTAGAGCAGTGGATCTCAACCTGTGGGTCATGACCCCCTTGAAGGTCAAAGGACCTTTTCACAGGGGTTGCCTAAAACCTTTGGAAAGCAAACCCAACAAAAAGCTGGGTGGTAGTAGCTCACACCGTAAATCTCAGTACTTGGGAGGCAGAGGCAGGCGGTTCTCTGTGAGTTTGGGCTGCAGGGTGAGTTCCAGGACAGCCAGAGCTGTTACACAGAGACTGACTGGGGGGGTAGGGGAGACCATTGGAAAACACGGATGTTTACATTAGAATTCATAACAGTAGCAAAATTACACTTATGAAGTAGCAACAAAAATGATTTTGTGGTTGGGGGGTCACATAACTGTATGAAAAGGGATGTATCATTAGGAAGGTTGAAGACTACTCCTCTAGAAAGAACCTGAAAGAGATATACTTAACCATTCACACTAAAAAGGAATGATACATGCTACAGCATGGATGAATCTTGGCAATGTTATGTCAGGTGAAAGCAGCCAGCCATCAAACACCATCAAATGTATAGGATTCCAGTTAATATGCAATGTTCAGAATAAGAAAATGCATATGTAGATCAGAGACAGCTGCCTACCTCTGGGGACAGGGTGATTACAGTTGACAGCTAAGAGGAATGGAATTTATTTGTGGGGAATGAGGAAGATGTCTTGAAGTTGGTTGTAGTGATAACTGTTCAACTGTGAATACTACTGAGAACCACTGGATTATTAAATGAGTGAGTTAAACGATGCATTAATTATATCTCAGTAAATTTAACGAGAATATTCAAGCATAAGTAAGAGGCAGCTTAAAATTCTGAGAGGTTTTATTATGAAAACAAAACAAGGAGAGTAAACAAGCATGAAAGAACCATGGTTGATAAAGACATTAATGTTACAAATCTGAAATGTAACTGTCTATAGACAACTCGTTACAGTATTTCCTGACATTTTATAATTCTGCAGAGATGTAACCTTAGTTGCAAGAAGAACACATTTAATCTAAATACACATACATCATTGTAGATATGACTCAGAGACCAACCTACATAAAGGCAGCTGTATTCACTCATTAGGAGCTGTACAAGGGTATTGGCTTAAAACAGGGAAGGGTAACTAATGAGATACTGAATGTTGCTTTTATGTCATTATTTCACAAATTATAGATAGCGATCACAAGTAAAGTCTTTTTCTCATAGAATTGCACATAACGTTCTATATGTTGAGAGTATAATGTTGCTATTCTAGCAGACAGAAGCAGAAACAATACAAAGAAACCTTTATACTAAATTCAACACATTTGGTTCCAAAATGTCCACTTTATTACAGAAGCAGATAAGTGTATCACTCAGAAACTTTACTAGACAGAAAATAAGCTATCATATATATATATATATATCCCTTTGCACTGTTGCATTTAATTTAAAGCAATTAACCATAGACATTAAAAGACTCAGTAATTTAAGTAAGAACTTGTTTGATTTTCCTTGTAATTTGCAGAGCCAGAATTCTGTGTTTGTTTTTGCTTTTTCAAGATAGGGTTTCTCTGTGTAGGCTTGGCTGTCCTGGAACTCACTCTATGGCCCAGGCTGGCCTCAAACTCACAGAGATCTGCCTGCCTCTTCCTCCCAGTGCTGGGATTTAAGGCTGCACCACTACCGCCCAGCCAGAGTCAGGATTCCAATACAAATAGAGTCTAAACACTCTTAGCAAATAGCAACAGCAGAGACTCTATATTTAATGTATGGATGTTTTTTTCTTTACAGAGGGGCTCATGCAGCCCAGGCTAACCTCAAACTCATTTATTTAGCTGAGAATGACTTGGAACACTTGATCCTCCTGCCTCTATCTCCCAGGTGCAGAATCACAGGTGCACACCACCACACACGGGAAGAGTAGTTATGTTAAAAGCTGGATAAAAGAAAGGTATACTAAGATATAAATTAGGAAGTAATTATTAGCTTTAAAAGGGTTCTTAAATATGCAGAATTAGTAACACATGTCCTTGAAATATTCATGCATTGAAAATAAATTCACCAAAAGATCAATTTATATAGAAATGTTAAACTTCAAAATGTGTTACCAATTCAAAAATAAGAGGCCCCAAAGAAAATTTCTCAAAACTAAAAAAGTTACGCAAGAAATTAATAATCTATTTTAGGCATGTTTTTCAGCCTCAAATTGTTAACACTTTGAGCTCCATCTCTCCACTCCTTGTTGACTGAATCTGGCTGGTATGGAAGAGTCAGAACACTGAGGCTCCTGGCAATTTGGGTTACTGTCCTGGAAAGAAAAGCCTGCGTGTGTGTGTGTGTGTGTGTGTGTGTGTGTGTGTGTGTGTGTGTGTGTGTGTGTGTGTGTGTGTGTGCGTGTGTTTGTAAAGTTAGTGCAGAAGTACAGCACATATTACTTAGATTGTAAAACTCTGACAGTATAATACAAAACACCAGGAAACAGATGCCAAAGTCATAAAAACATTACTAAACTCAGAGTCCATATTACATCTCTTATGAAGTCAGTTTCACTTGTCGGAATATTTGGCATTCAAGAGGCTAAATTAATTAATTTAGGAGACTGTATGTTCCTGACAAACACTTGCTTATTACTGGATTGAAGGTAATAGTGACAATGGCACGGAGACATTTTTGGTTGTGCTGGGAATAAAACAGTGTCTCTTATACACTAGAAAACAACTGTACCATGGGACTTCCTCCTCAGCCTTAGTGTGTTTTCTCTAGGGGGAAAAGTTACCAGTATTTTCGTATGGAAAAGAAAATGGATAATATGGCATGAAATATAAAATGGCCGGGGGTTGGTGGCACACGCCTTTAATCCCAGCACTCGGAAGGCAGAGGCAGGCGGATCTCTGTGAGTTCGATGCCAGCCTGGTCTACAAAGTGAGTTCCAGGACAGCCTCCAAAGCTACAGAGAAACCCTGTCTCGAAAAACCAAAAAAAAAAAAAAAAAAAAAAGAAATATAAAATGAATTTAGAAATAAAGACGTTAAGGCACTTGAATTTCAATGGGCTTGTTATATTAAGAGCAAAATTTTCTATTTCTTTACGGAGCTCTTCCCCACCCAACCCCGAAGCTCTGCTCCTTCAATGAGGCTCACTGCTGCATCTGAGAGCTGCTGGGTAACCAGTTACAACCACTTGCAGAGTCTCCCACTTGTCACCCTACAGGCTCCTAACAAAACATGAGATGCTTTGCACACACAGTTTCCTAGTGTTAGTGACAGTGAAGTGACCAACTTCTCTCTCATGCCTAACGTTATTTTATTCTTTTCTTTCCTTCTCTTTTGTGTTTTTTCCAGTTGTGCTATGGACTGAACCCAGCACTATGCCACTGACCTACAGTCACAGCCAATATTATGATTTCTACAGTAAAACTTCTCCAGTTCAGGTCCTGCTGAGTGAAAAGTTAATTATAAACTTCTTCTTCTTCTTTTTTTTTTTTTTTTGAGTGAGAGAGTCTCACTATGCAGCTCTGTCTGTCCTGGAATTCAATCTGTAGGCCAGGATGGACTTGAACCCAGAGATCCTCCTGCCTCTACCTCCTGAGTGCTGGAATAAAAGAGGTACCACCACTGCCAGGGATTAATTATAAACCTTCAACTAAAAAGTTCTTTCTAGCTATTTAAGAAATACATAAACAGAAGCAAGCAACTTATTATTACAGCAAATAAAAGAAAAACTAAAACACCACATGTTACCATATCAGTAAAAATTCAATTGAATATTTCATATTACAAGGGAAACACAGTTTGGACTTCCCACAAGCTGTTTCCACATACTTTCACACAATGACCACATGACTGCTCACTGTGTATTGGAGTAGCTGGTAATTTTTCATAAAACTCGATGCTAACCATTACTGTCTACCAAGGTGTTCAGAGTCAGTCTGAGATCCATTGATATAGCTGCTTTTCTATAGTTACAATAAATATGCAAAAGAGTGAATGGGACCACTGCTCTAACTAGAAGGTATGACAGATGTCAGCCAAGCTCCACAATGGTAAAGCATCTTAAAGTTACTCTAAGTGCACATACTTGAAAAAGAAAAAAAAATATATATGTACATATGCATTACACAAAGAAAGGAAATAATTTTCCTCCTGATGTGGTAATTTGGAGTTCTGAAAATGTAATCTTATAGCACTCTAACAAATAAAAAGTTAGAGAACCTGTTCACTGAACAACTGTATAATAGAAAATTAAATATTCATTTTTATTAAAACCATTTATCTACAGGCTTCATCTATCCTGAAGCTCTCTCTTTCTTTTCTTTTTGTTTTTTATTTTTTCCAAGACAGGGTTTCTCTGTGTAACAATTCTGGCTGTCTAGGAACTTGCTTTGTAGACCAGGCTGGCCTCAAACTCATGAAGATCCTCCCAAGTGCTGAGATTAAAGGCATCTTAAATCTCTTTAAGAGGACAAATTAATTTACAATTTCCCGCCCTCCCCCGAGACAGGGTCTCACTATGGAGCTCTGGCTGTCCTGGAACTCACAGAGATCTACCTGTCTCTGCCTCCCATATACTGGGACTAAAGGCGCAAGTCATTACACTGACTTAGAATTTCTTTTAGTGACATAAACTGAAAATACACAAAGGAATATAACATTTATACTGTGAATTGTTGAAAATTTTATTTAACTCTCATTTTGCTCTTACTGTTAAGTATGTAATGTTTCACAAATAACATCACTTTACTGGTTATACTTTATAACCAATACACCTATATGCAGAGGTGTGTTTAAAAGTATCTGCAGACATCTCCTGAAACTGGTGCCCATGGCAGTGTACATATTATTATTATGACAGTGTTAGTTATTTTTACTTAATGTGCCCAAAGAAAACATGTGATTAGAATTGTATACTCCACAGCCAAAAAAACCCTACAAAATTCTTTAAATGTCCATATATATACATATATGTGTGTATGCATATATGTCCATATATATGTGTCCAAATGTACACACACAGACACACATATATAAACAAATACAAGTTATTGTTTTAGCATGATTAAACTGTTAACAACTTAATGGGCATAAGTGAGAAAAGGCAATCATTTAATAGTCATGAGATAATTAAAGTACATATCACCCTGTGTATTGCTAAGAACGTGATAAGTCACTTGAGCAGCAGATGACAGGAGCAGTATCATAAAAACAATCACTTTCCTTTATGTTATTGCCCTTTTAATTTAAATGTCACATAATTTTAACTAACATTTAAATTACTTTTAATTGTAAAAAAATTACATCTGTTACAAACTTGCTTGGAGAATTTTCTCTTCCACTATAGAATTAAATCAAATTAAGTGCTCATTAAAAATTATGTTTTTGAAGTAAACACTGACCTTGAAAAATATCCAAATTAAAGACCAGTATTATGATAGATAAGATTTATGAGGAGATGATGCAACAGGGAAATCTTTAAATCATGTAGTAAGGAAGAAAGCTGTCAGGAAGGTTGAAGCAGTAGACTTGAGATTTTACTAAAAGACAGCGATACCTGATCTTCTACTGCCAACAAAACCCTACACCCAGGAATCAGCAGCAGGCCTGGGAAGAGCAGCAGCATCCCAGACATCCACACTCCATCTGCAAGACACTGTGCAGGTCCAGAAAACTGCATTTTACTTCAAGTAGCAGGTCTCTGAAGGGAAGGCTGTCATTTTCAAGACTGGAAGGATATCACAGTGTTGACTTTATATACAAAGTAGGATCTGTTCCAGTACACTCGAGTGAAGTAATTCACATACGGAGAATAGTTAATTTTGACCTCATGACAAAACCGCCCATACTTTGAATAGGTTAATTTGTCACCTTCTTCACAAACCACCTATCAAAAAACAAGAAACAATATAAAAAACTTACTAAATTTATGAGGAATATAATTCTTGTACTTGTGTATGTATATACATATGTATATGAAAATTATCACCCCTAAACGTGACTATAAAATATCTTAGGCTGCTTAGCAAATTTAAGCCTTTCCTAAGTCCTCATCACGACCACTAAATTCCTGAACTTTGATTGAGAAATATAAAATGCTTGCAATTTGTAAAGGATCTAATGCTAAAATTTAGCTGACATTGTTCCTACCATATTCTGACATGGCTGTTCTGAAGAACGCAATCATACAGCTCCTAAGGATGGCAAATGAACATACCACCTCCCTCCTACAAGCACACGTGACCCTTATCTAGTATTAGGCTTTTACATTCCCATCTAACAGAGCTCTCACTGCGACAGCACAGCTAATTTTAAGTTTTGTGGGGTTTCTATTACATAAGAGAGTGTGTGTGTGTGTGTGTGTGTGTGTGTGTGTGTGTGTGTGTGTGTGTGGTGTGTGTGTTTTGGTCAGAGGACAACTTTACAATTTCAGGAGTCCCGGGGGTGGAAGGCACTCAAGCTGTCAGACGTAGAAACTAACCCTTTACCCACTAAGCAGCTTGCTGCCCCAGCTTTGTTTGTTCTTATGAGACCATTGTAACACCTATAACTGGCATTAGACAGCCAACGTTAATAGTAAGGTGGCTTATGTCTACACATGGTACTACATGAAAGAAAGAGCAGAAGGGTGGCCCCAAAGGAATAGAAAGGCAACTGGATGTGCCAGGCTTTGCAGATTCCCATGTGAGCCTGCCCCTTTCTGGGCAGAAACAGAGGAGTGGATTGGGGGGCATACAAGAGGGAGGGGAAACTGCATAAGGATGTAAAGTAAATAATTAAGATCTTAAAAAAGAATAGAAAGGCGGCAGAGAGCAAACAAAAATATCAATAATTACTAAATATCACTTCTTGATTACAGTCCATCTGTCACCAATAAAATAAAAATCAAGCAACCCTGAGAACATTCAAAATACACAAAGCATAAGTAAGTTTATAATGCAAGCTTATTGGGTCATGAAGACATAAAAATGGGAATTTTTGTTGTTGTTGTTGTTTATTTGAGACAGGGTTTATTATTTTGGAGGCTGTCCTGAAACTCGCTCTGAAGACCAGGCTAGCCTTGAACTCACAGAGATCTGCCTATCTCTGGCTCCCGAGTGCTGGGATTAAATGCATGTGCCACCACCACCCAGCTACAAATGGGGAAAAAAATTATTTTGTGTGTTTTGCCAGGCATGCATGCAGTGCCCTCAGAGGCCAGAAGAGGGCATCAGATCCCCCTGAAGATTGCAAACTGGTATGTGAGCCTAGACCTGAACCAGGGTCCTCTTTGAAGGCAAGAGGAACTCTTAAATGCTGAGCCATCTCTCCAGTCCTCAAAGATGGTAACTGTGAAAACAAATTCCTCACCTCCAAACTGGCATTGGCTTATAAAACAAACACGATTATTTCATAAAGGAAAGGAAAAATTCTGGCTGCGGCCTAAACAGAAAGTGCCCTACAACTTCTAATGATCTATTCATCTTTTCCCAAGTCCTCCAGCCTAACTTTCTCAGGAAGAAGCATTTACTCTGGTCAGTACGATTTCTCAGACCTGCAAACTCCCCTGTGAGTCTTCGTGGTTACTAGGTATGCAGTGAATCGACTATACTGGAGAGGAAGGTGGCTTGCTACAGCTGCTATCATGTAAGATTATAAGGCTAAATAAAGTCATTTTCCTAAGAACCAATCAACTTTTCAGACGGCTACTTACATGTCCATTTGCAACATCTAATAAGTCCTTAACCCTGCAGCCTCTCGTGGTTCCCATCTCATTGCAGATGGCGTCTTCCACAATTAGGTAGTTAGCTTTATAAGACGTCAGTATTTTATAAATGTCCTCAGCAGACCGCTTTGAATAGATCTGGTAAATCTGTAAGGAAATAATTAAGACAAAATTTAAAAGACACTGAAAGCACCTGTTAATTAAAATTACACAGCTTAAATAAAATACACTTCACAGGGATGGAGAGATGACTCAGCGGTTAAGGGCATGACTATTCTTGGAACCGAGTTCCATAAAACATAAATAAGATATTTAATTAAAACTCTGATCAATCCCTGAGGAGAGGAGGAAGGGGGAACTGGGGCTGGAATGTAAAAAATAAATTAATAAAAATTTAAAAACCCTGAAAATTATAAATGATCCCACACCACCATATTGGGGAAAGGTTCTACCAAAAGAAAACAAAGAAGCTGGGTATTGTGGTAGCCTGTGCTACACAGTGAGATTTTTGTCTCAAAGACAAAAGGCTGGAGGCAATTGTTTCTTAGAGATTCCTGTCCATATTCTACTCAAACAATACCATCTCTTTGAAGTCAGATCTCGGAGTTACAGACAGTTGTTAGCTACCATGTGGTTGCTGGGAATTGAACCCGGGTCCTCTGGAAGAGCAGTCAGTGCTCTTAATCACTGAGCCATCTCTCAAGCCACTCAATTTATCATTTAAAACCATAACATTCAAACTAAGACATTCTCTAAACCACATTAATTAGGAGTCATTCTGATGCTATGCAGACTTATTTATAAAAGTCCATACTGATAAAATAAAGCAGAAGAAACCTACAGGTTGGCTAGCTGGCTGGCTGAGGGATTTTTCAGTACAAAGAATTGAACACAGGGACTTATGAACAGCAGGCAAACAATACCACTGAGTCACACTCCCAGGCTTAATTTTTTTCCAAAGCAATTGTTTATTTTCTAGTTTGATCTTGAAATTGCTATCCTCTGTCTCCATATCCCAAATTGCTTGGATTATAAAGATGCTAACATACCTGGATAAATCAAAATAGCACATATGTGTTCACGGGGGAGGGGGCAGGAGGGTACATCAGTCAATTTACTCAGTGCCCCCTTGTGGTTTTTCGAGAGAGTTTCTTTGTGTAGCTGTCCGGGAACTTGCTCTGTAGACCAGGCTGGCCTGAAACTCATGGAGATCGACGGCCTCCCTCTCCCAAGTGCTAAGATCAAAGGCGTGCATCACCACCACGTGGGGTTCCACCTTACGTCTGAGGCAGTCTCTTAGTCAAGCTGGAATGCCCTGATTGGGCTAAAACGGCTGGTCATTAAGCCTGGAGGATCCTATGTCCAGCTCGCAGCACCAGGACGAGGTGCAGGCTGACACCTTGGCTCCTAATGTGGGCAGCATGGCTCCGACAAGGAGCTCGCACTTACACTCGCGTCTCACTGCGCCATCTCTCTACCCCTTGTGTTTTATCAGCAATAGAGTAACTTTGGAAAGACAACGTGTATTGAGACAGGAATTGACAGTTTTCTTCAACAATTTGAGAACCATGATACTTCGGAAGGATGGTTTCCCTTCCTGACATATTATCCATTCATTCCCCTGGCAGTGTTATGGAAAGAACCTCTCACAGAAGCAACACTCTTCACAAAACAAAGAGTTTAATATTTTAATCCTGGATTTTCTCTTGGTTAAATTAATAAAACAACTTTTTATTTTCTTTTTCTGTTTTTCATTTTTGAGATGGCCCTCCTGTGTAGCTCTGGCTAGTCTGAAACTCACTATGGAGCACAGGCTGGCATCAAACTCACAATGGTCCTCCTATTCCAACCTCCCAACAACTTTTTTTTTTTTTTTTTTTTTTTGGTTTTTACGACACAGGGTTTCTCTGTATTGTTTTGGAGGCTATCGGTCCCGCCCAGCCTCGAACTCACAGAGATCCACCTGCCTCTGCCTCCCAAGTGCTGGGATTAAAGGCGTGCGCCACCACCGCCCGGTTCCCAACAACCTTTAAAAACTAATCTGAATTACATCTTCTAAAATTAGATTTTCCTAGCTATCAGGAAAACACTCATCAGCACAGAACAAGATTAGATTATAACGTCACTGTAAATTCCCAAATGTAGAACCTGAAATGGCTTACATTTTCATTTCTCCTGAGAAGGTCATCGTCACTGTAAAGTGGCAGGCTTGTTACCATCCACCCAGTACACAGTTTAATCACCCCCATTAGCTGTGGGCTTCCTGCAAACACAGCCGCAACTGGGGCTTGCCTCCTGTAAGAAGCAGAAGACCATATGATAGAAGAGCAAATACGCCAGCGAGACCACTGCTTCCACCAGCTCTCACACACCAGCTGGCTGAGATATATGGCACTTAGATTTCAAGGTGATGCAGTTCATTTCACTCACACAGTCACTAAAAGCGGGCTAGACTGAACGTCTACTATATGTTAACAGTTGTTTTAAGAACCAAAGATGCAGAAATCCTTTTAAACAAAAAGGGTGGAGATAACGAAAGGAGAATATGGGCTGAAAAGATGGCTCAGCCATAAAGGCTAGGCTGACAACCGAAACTATACTACACCAGAGAGGGTGGCTAGTCCTCACATTCGTGGTCTGCACACACTAATCTTCCACATCCATTCACCCTTCTGCTTCTTAGTTCCCGGACAGCAGCGTAGCCCTCTCCATGCTAAGTCCACTAGTCTCATATGCCACTTAGAGGGTGGGAAATAGCTACCAAGTGCCTTCCATCCTCCTCATTTTCACAGAGCTAGGGAGGAAACTTCAAGCCTCCATGTATGACCAAAAAGTACTCTATCTATCAGACTGGAGAAAGAGCCCAGCAGGTAAAGATGCTTGCTGCCAAACCTGATGGCATGAGCTTGATCCCAGGACAATAGAGAGGAAATAACTTACTCGTGCAAATTGTCCTCTGAATTTTACACTCACCATGGTGCACACATGCTGTGGTACTTTGAATGTAATTGGCCCCCATAAACTCACAGGGAGTGTGCACCATTGGGAGGTGTGGCTTTGTTGGAGGAAGTGTGTTACTGTGGGAATGGGCTTTGAGGTCTCATATATGCTCAAGATATGACCCAGTGAGACATACCACTTCCGCTTCCTGTTGCCTTCTGAACAAGATGCTCCCCGACATGATGATAATGGACTGAACTTCTAAAACTGTAAGTGAACCACCTGAACTAAATGTTTTACTCGTAAGAGTTGCCATGGAAATGGTGTCTCTTTGACTGCAACAGAAACCCTAAGATGCAGGCACAGATGTGTTCTACTTCTGAGCTGTACCTCCACCCAAACTTAATGATCTATTCGCTCCTACTATGCACCACTCAGCCTCTGGCTACTATGTACCACAGCTAGAGCTGAGCTCCAGAAGAAAAGGAACAGCACCAGGCCAATGGAAGACTCTGGAGTAAGGAAACTGACTTAGGCCAAACCAATTACACTCAGATAAATATCCAATTATCTAACATCCAACTGTACAGGCCTTTTGCCATGTCGCCTCAAATTCCCCACTGCCCATCACCCCAGACTGGGTTTCTCTGTGCAGCCCTGGCTGTGCTGGAACTCACTCTGTAGTCTGGCCACAAACTCAGAGATCCACCTGTCTCTGTCTCCCAGTGCTGGGATTAAAGGTGGCACCACCAATGCCCAGTGGGAGGAGAGACTTAACTGAAAATGTCTCCATTAAATTGGCAAGTCTATGGAGTATTTTCTTGATTTATATTGATGTGGGTAGACCTAGTTCACTGGGCGTGGTGCCAGCCAGGGCAGTGGTAGGTGCACACCTTTAAAACCAGCTCTTGGGAGGCTGAGGCAGGCAAATCTCTGTGAGTTCGAGCCTGGTCTACAGAGCTAGTTCTAGGACAGTCAGGACTGGTACACAGAGAAAACCTGTCTCTAAAAACAAACAAACAAAAAAATGAAGGAAGGAAAGAGGGATGGAGGGAGGGAGGGAGGGAGGGAGGCTGGACAAGCCATGAAGAACAACCCAACAAGCAGCATGGCCTCTACATCAGCTCCTATCTGCAGATTCTTGTCCTGACTGCCTTCACTGAAGGACTATGATATAAAAGTATAAGTTTCCTCTCCAAACTGCTTTTGGTCATGGTGTTTTATCACAGCACAATATTATAACAGTCGGCTTTACAATAAAACATGTCCACACTATTCATCTTGGGAATTCCATAGCTACCACCTCATAAACAGATGCACATACCACCAGACCACAGGCCAAGTTAATCTCATCTCAGGTGACAACTAGTCAAAACACAGACAGGCAAAAGAGGCCATGTCAGACTACCTAGTCCCACTTGCTGTCCCTCAAAAATGTGCAAAACACTGTTGATTGCTTATAATTCAATAAAGTTTATGATAGTCTGTTACATACCAAAAAGGAAAGAACATAAATTACTAAAATTGCTAAAGCCAATTCTACTATTTACTACAAAGAAGAACTGATATTTGCTATGCTGAATTGTTTTCTCATTTGTTTGCTATTTCAGAGTTTCATACAACTATTAATGGAATTCTGTATAACCTGAGTTGAGGAGGAACCAACACAGTGCTACTTCAATACCTCAGATTCCTGAATCATACAAGTACAACATCAAACTCCAAGCCCATGTGAATTCAGATACGTGGGGTTACTATACAGAGAGGAGTTTGACTTCATTGTTGTGCTTGTGTCTAACAGAGGAACATGGCTATTTTGGATATTTTGTTACTTGATGTTTTCCCTGACAATACAACCTTTTCTGAGTCCTGGAGTTATCTACATGTAGGTAAAGAATGTCTGTCCCTGTAAGCCCATCCATATTTCTGCTGTGTGCAAAGGAGGGCCTCCAAACTTCCAATTTAATACTTACCAATGCAGAGTCAACATTTACAAATGAATCCATTTATCATTGTCCCTTAACTCATGAGACAGCATACAATAACACGCATTAATGACATTTAACAACAGTTTTAGGTAATCTGGTCCTTACTTTATCCAGGTCATGAGTTCCACTGTATCTGGATCATAGAATTCCTGTAGTTCTGTTAATTCTGTAATTAATCTTGGAAAAAACTAAAACACAAAACAAAATACCCAGAGGTGTAAGTAATTGGAAAGTCTAAAACTGTTTCCCAGTATTCCAAAAGGCTAACTTTAAACACTGTTGACCCGGCAAAGATGACAGGTCTGTGTCATCTTCACTGACTAGTTCATCTTCTCATCCTGAATAATTATAATCTTATAGTTTACTCACTGCTCAGAGTCAGTAACGAATGTTATCACTAAACAGTCATCAGCTATATCATTTATGCATGGAAATTTAATGTTATTACTAAACAATCATCAGTTGTATGTTTCATGCATAGACATGTTAAGTTACAAATTCCAGGACAAATAATCTGCAAGGTTTTTTTTGTTGTTGTTGTTGTTGTTTGTTTTTTTTTGAGACAGAGTTTCTCTGTAGCTTTGGAGCCTGTCCTGGAGCTCGCTCTGTAGACCAGGCTGGCCTCGAACTCACAGAGATCCACCTGCCTCTGCCTCCTGAGTGCTGGGATTAAAAGTGTGCGACACCAACTCCCAGCTAATACTCTGCAGGTTTATTGGCAGTTAGTTTCCTGTTGCACTATGTTAAGCCAAAAACTGTTTCATTTCAGATGCTAGAATTGAAATTACCAAAATATATCTAAGTATTAAGACCGCCTTATTATTCAACAATTTTGTCAATTATGATAAGAATTGACAATGGCATTAAAGAAAACTGCACTGATGGCATTCTAAGAATGTCTTAGGCTGGATATATCAGGTCCATGTATAATCCCAGCCCTTGAGTTACTGGGTCAAGAGGATCACCACAAAAGCATGGCCAGCCTGGGCTATTCAATGAGCAAATAAAGATATAAAATGTTTTGAGAGCAGAAGTTGGTAGTGCATGTCTTTAATCCCAGCACCTGGGAGGCAGAGAGTTGGAGGCCAGCCTTCAGTCTTATCTATGTAATGAATTCCAAAATAGCCAGGGTTACATAGTAAAAGCCTGCCTCAAAAAAAAAATTTGTTTTGGCTTTTTTGTTAGGTTATTAATGGGGGAAAAAGAAGGCAACAGAAACAATATCAGCTTTTCTGGAGACAGAGGCAGGCAAATCTCTATGAGTTCAAGACCAGCCTGGTCTACAGAGTGAGTTCCAGGACAGCCAGGGCTGTTACACAGAGAAACTCTGTTCAGATAAAACAAAACAAGCGAACAAATAAATAAGCTTGGTTAGTGCAGTATCTTGATAGAAACTTCACACACACACACACACACACACACACACACACACACACACACACACTTCATAGATAAGTACATTTTCATAATATAAAAATTCAGTTTTCTTACCTCTTTCCACAAACTTAGACCTATAATAGTGGGCACAGCCATGCTCAGAATAAGAGCCTAAAATAATAAAGCAGAAAGGGTTCTGGGTAAGCATTTTAGAATATATGCTAGAGGTATTCACATTGACTCTATGACTCATTGAATATCCTTACAGTTAAAACTTCAATCAGAGAGACTGACATAGGTATGAATCTAGTTCAAAGTGAGGTAAGTGAATGTGTTTCAAACATGCTGAAGTGTTGGGAAAAATATTTGCTACAGTCAGGTGGTGGCAGCGGCGGTGGCAGCAGTGGTGGCTGCGCTGCTCACCTTTGATCCCAGCACTTGGGAGGCAGAGGCAGGTGGATCTCTGTGAGTTTAAGGTCAGCCTGGTCTACAGAGTGAGTTCCAGGACAGGCTCCAAAGCTACAGAGAAACCCTGTCTTGAAAAACAAAACAAACATACATACATACATACATACATACATACAGCTATATATAAGACCATTAAAAAGGGCAGGAGAGCATGGTGGCAAGTGCCTTTAATCCCAGCACTTGGGAGGCAGAGGTACAAGGATCTGCAATCAAGATCAAGGCAACTTGGTCTACAGAACTAGCTCCAGTCCAATCAGGGCTACACAGTGAGATTCTATCTAAAACAAAACCAAAGTTAACACTGCGTGTCAGAGAGATGTCTCAACGGTTACAGAGTGCTTAGTGCTCTTGCAGAGGACCGGGGTCAGTCCCCAGCAACAACACAGTGGCTCACAGCAGACTGTAACACCTCTCCTAGTGTCCACAGGCTCATGCACACATGTGGTGCACACACACACGCACTAAAGCACATACATATACACATAAGACAAATCATTCTTCAGGGGATGGTGGTGCACACCTTTAATCTCAGCACTCAGCAATCAGAGGCAGGAGAATCTATCAAAGTTCAAGGCCAATCTGGTCTACATAGAGAAATTCTATCTGTAAATAAATAAAACAATTCTAAAAACATTTAAAAAGTTAATGCTTCGTTGATCTGAACTTCTGGTTGCCTGTAATCCTAAAACTGAGATAGGCAGGAGGACTGAGGATTTGAGGCCAATCTGAGTGAGTCTGTCTCATTGAACAAAACAGAAAACATTACTTCCATAATGATACTTTAAATAGCAAACATGAAAAACCCCTAAAGATTTATTTCCCTTTGGGCTTACATAGGAGGGTGTATCTCTCTGTAAGTACGTGCTGTTGAGTGTTGGTGCCTGAGGTAGGTGGAAGGTTCTGGCTCCCCTGGAGCTGGAGTTACAGGTGGTTGTAAGATACCTGATACAGGTGCTGGGAAGCTAACATGGATCCTCTGGAAAGCAGTTCTTGCTCTTAACTGCTGAGCTAGCTCTCCAGCCCCAATATGTGAAACTCCTGCCAGGGCTCTATGTTATAAAGAACTTACAAGTAATTCTGAATTAGCATTAAAAACTAACAGCAAAAGGCACTGAAAAAAACAGGAAAAATAGTTAGCATAAATTGCCATACTATGTTAAAATGAGAAAACACAAATTCTGCAACTAAGACCGGAAAATATAAGACAACCACTGTTAAACATAATTTATCATCTTGCTCAAACCTGTCCTTCCTATTCTATTTGTGGTGGGGGTTTTGCTTATTTATATATTATTGTTGTTATTTTGTTTGTTGCTGTTTCATCTCCTTCAAAATCATTAGGAAGCATGAACAGTGCCCTCTCCCATTACTACAAATAGTTCTGTCCAGATTTCTGAATTTGGGAAAATAACAGGGATAGGACACCCAGATTCAACGGATGAGGCTCACTCACCGTGAAATTCCCTGCCAGGTAGAAGCTTCTATAGCATTAGACACTATTTTCCCCTTGGTGGTGGTGGTGGGGACCCAACTGGAACCCTCAGGAATGCTAGACAAGCATTCCCTGAGCCACACCCCTTCCCCGCTCCTCGATCTGTTTCGTGTTGTCGATGGTATCTCACTGTGTAGCCAAGGCTGACCCAGTCTTCCAGCTTCAACTACCCCAGCCTATCACACTCAACTCTAAGACTTTATCTTTACTTTAAGAACACAGCAGAACAGTGTAAATGTTCACATGGGAATCATGTGGGTCAATCACACAAAGATCTAAGTGAAACCAAGGAACATATTTTAAAACCTAAAACCCACACAGAAAATCTCTGCTCTTCAGAAGGCTGAGGCAGGAGGACTGCTGGAAGCCAGAGGTTTGAAACTGTCCTTAGTAACACAGTAAGACATCTTTTAGAAATAAAGGCTACACCTCTTCTATGATCTTTGGGAGCATGTGAAGGCTGGTCCTGCAGTGCCAAAGCTACAGGATCTCCACAACACGGGCAACAACAGGATATCCAAGTGGAGCCCCAGTAAAGGCCCAGTGTATAGAAACCAGAGGCCTCGAGCCAGACAAGTGACTCTGGGCAATGAACACTTGCAAGTAAAGATGTATGGCCAAAGGATTTACTGCATGGCTCACTGTGACACACTTCAACTTCTATGACGAGATTTTCTTTCTTCCTTTTCCCTTTTTCTCTTAAATTTTATGTTTTGGGGAGGAGGTTGAGGGCAGAGGGTGAATACAAAGGGAGAGGAAATGAATGGGATCAGGATGCACGATGTGAAAGACACAAGAATAAATAAAAACGTTAAAGATCTGTAATAAAGGAAAGGAAGGCTACAGTTTTATCTTAAACATCTAAAAATACATGATTCTTGTCATCCATAAGAGCAGATGGGAAGAAATTCTAATAATATCTCTTAGTACTTGATACATTTTAATTTTTGCCTTTATTTTGTAAATGTATAGATTGAAATATATTTGTTTAAACCAAAACTTATAAGCTGAGAGTGGTGCTCATGGCTGTAATTCCACTTTTTGAAGATTGGTATGAGTCTGAGGATACCGTGAGCTATGGAAAAAGAGCCTGTATCAAAACAAAACTAAAATCTGGGTGTAGTGGGCATGCCTTTAAGTCCAGAACTTGGGAGATGGAAACAGGATAAGAAGTTCAAGGCCAGGCTGAGCTACATTCAACCCTGTCACAAAAACAAAAGTAAGCCAATAAAACAATGGACAGGGGACGCAGTTGAGGCAGTAGAGGAGTTGGGCACCAGCACTGCATACCCTGGTACCAGGAAGATGGAGGCAATAGAATTAGAAGATCAAGATCATCCTTCACGGGGGCTGGAGAGATGGCTCAGTGGTTAAGAGCACTGGCTGCTCTTCCAGAGGACTGGGGTTCAGTTCCTGGCACCCACATGGCAGCTCACAACTGTCTGTAATTCCAGTTTCAGGGGATCTGACACCTATGGCAAAACACCGATGCATATAAAAAAATAAAAAAAATTAAAAAAAACAAAAGATCATCCTTCACTACACAGTGAGATCCAGGCCAGTCTGGCATCCTGTCTCAAACAAGAACAAGAAAAAAAATTTTAAATATGTATCATAGAAAAGGGGAAGGGGACAAGATCTCCTGAGCAAATTAGGAGGTGGGGGCATGAGGGACCAGGAAGACTGAGTTTGGGGAAGAATAGAGAAGGAGAGCAAGAAAAGATACCTTAATAGAGGGAGCCATTATAGGTTTAAAGAGAAATCTGGCACTAAGGAAATCTTCAGGAATCCACAAGGATGATACCTACTAAGAATCTAAGCAATAGTGGAGAGGCTACCTTAAATGCCCTTCCCCTATAATGAGACTGAAGAGTACCTTATATGCCATCCTAGAGCCTTCATTCAGTAGTAGATGGAAGCAGAAGCAGAAGCAGACACCCACAGCTAAACACTGAGCTGAATTCCTGGAATCTAGTTGCAGAGAGGGAGGAGCAAAGGGGTCAAGACCATGCTGGGGAAACCCACAGAAACAGCTGACCTGAACAAGTGGGAGCTTACAGACCCCAGTCTGACAGCTGGGGGACCAGCATGGGACTGAATCAGCCACCTGAATGTGGCTGTCAGTTGTAAGGCCTGGGCAGTCTATGGGGCCTCTGACAGTGGAACCAGTATTTATTCCTAGTGCACAATCTTTGGGAGACCATTTCCTATGGAGGGATACTTTCTCAGCCTAGATACATGTGGGAAGGCCCTAGGCCCTGCCCCAAACAGACTTTGATGATCCCCCAAGGGAGGCTCATCCTCCCTGGGGACGGGATATGCGGATGTGATGGGGGGTTGACAGGGTGCATGGGAGGATGGAAGGGAGAAGGAACTGGGATTGGTACAGAAAATAAGATTGTTTTTAATTTAAATAAACATTTATTTTAAAAATGTTTACAATAGCCAGGCAGAAGTGGTGGCACACACTTTTATTCCCAGCACTCCAAGGGCAGAGGCAGGCGGATCTCTGTGAGTTCGAGGGCAGCCTGGTCTACAGAGCAAGTTCCAAGACAGTCTCTAAAACAATACAGAGAAACCCTGTCTTGAAAACAAAAACAAACAAAAAAAATGTTTATCATAGTCTGTTTTTCTACCTGAAACATTATTTATTTTGGTTTTTCTAGACAGGGTTTCTCTGTGTAGCCCTGGCTGGCCTGGAACATACTCATAGATCAGACTCGCCTGGATCTCACCGAGATTCACCTGCCTCTACCTCCTGAGTGCTGGAATTAAAGGTGTGAGCCACCTCTACCTGGTTATACCCAAAACTTGTTATATAATTTATTGAGGCTATTTCAACTGCCTAGGGCTTCATTTACTAGATCCTAAATTTTTTAAAATCACATTTATCTCTGTGTGTGTGTGTGTGTGTGTAAAGCAACTAATGAGCATAGTTCTCTCCTTCCATCATGTGGTCCAGGAATTGAACTTAAATCATCAGGCTTGGGGCAGGTGCCTTACCCCACTGAGCCATCTTTATGACCCTACCATCTTATTTTATATAACTGGAAGGTAAACAAGTATTAAACACAAAATAACAATGGCTCACCAACAATATTGGGTGTACAGTTCTTAATCGAAGCCACTTTAAAAGTGTCATCCAAAGTTCAGGGGAACACACACCAAAAGCTGCTAACATGCACATGTAAGGAGTCCAAATGAATTTCAAGCTGAAAAGCAAATGTCACATATCAAAATAAGTCACATATCATACATATTGCCACAATCATTGTCTCTCTGATTTCTTCTTTCTAATTCTGTTTAACTACCCACAAATATTAACGGATAATGAAAATCTTTACTTCTAATTTTCAGCAACAACCCAATTGTTGCTGTTGTTTGTTTTTGAAACAAGGTCTCATTGTGTAGACCAGGCTGGCACTGAACTTACAGACCCACGTCTCCACCTCTAAGTGCCAGGATTAAAGGTGTGCATCTCCATGTAAAGCCCTCTATTCTTTTCCTTGTTTTTTTCTTGTTTTGAGACAGGGGGAATCTCCGTCAGTGGTCCAGGTTGTGTGAGAACTCACTAGGCTGACATTTACTAGAGTAAGTCTCCTGCCTCAGCCTTTTGAATTTACAGACATGAGCCACTGTGACTGCTTTTCCTTTGGTCTTCGGGAAAATCTCACCACTCAAGGCAATCCTCCAGCTTCAGCCTTCTGAGTGCATGAGCTACCATATTGGCCTTCCTTTCCAATCTTTTTTTTTTTTTTTTAGGTAAGGTTTCAAGTATCAAAAGCTAGCATAAAGCTTGTGATGTGGCCAAGCCAAGGAGGACCTTGAACTTGACTATTCTGTCTCCACTTCTGCAGTATTATGTTACTCAAGAGTCACGGTGCCCAGTTTTTAATCACCTTCTTTAAACAGAGAGAAGAGGCTGGGGTATAGCTCAGTGATAAGAGTGTTTGCCTAGCTTATACGAGGCCCTAATTTAATTTCCAACACAAGGGAAAAAATCAGAAAGGATGGAGAGAAGAGGAAAGGGACAAACTGGTAAAGGATACATTTTGCTTTGAAATATAACCTAATAATAAATTATCACGCAAAAAGCCTCACAAATTACTTCTTATATTTATTTTCATGCATCTTACTTATTAAGAATAAATGCTAATCTTGTACACAGAGAGCTCTCTCTGGCCTCTGGCCTCCACTCCTAGGATGTAAGCATCTTCCTGACAAGAATGTCTCTGTAGAGATGGGATGGGTACGCCAAGGTTACAAGTTAAGAGCATGATCTATTGTGGGTCTTTGGGCCACCAGGTATCATTTCAGTCTCTGGAGAGGCTTCAGAATCAGGCCAGCCACAAGTGCCCACCTTCATATGTGACTGAGTGCCTATGACAACTGAACACAGGCTTCCCTGACTGACAGCTGTGTCCCTTGTGGATTACCATGTTTGCACTGTATGAGGACAGCTAGTGTCCTATGCTCATGTCTCTCCCAGACCCTATTCTGTGTGTCTCTTTCTTCTGCTCATTATATAGACTGTTCACTATTCTGGTTGTGCAAATCCTAGTAATAGAACCCATGCTGTGGAACAATCCTTGTGCACACTGTGAATATGTATTACTCTCATTAGTTAATAAAGAAACTGATTGGGCAAGACAATCAAACCGAAGACACTGGGAAGAAGAAAGGAGGAGTCAAGGAGTCGAGAGACAACAGTCAGCTGCCAAGGAAGTAGGGCCTGTAGAAAATGAGGCAATACGCCATGAGCCATGTGACAAAGCATAAATAGAAATATGGGTTAATTTAAATGTAAGAGTTAGCTAGTAACAATCCCGAGCTATTGGTTGATAAGCCTCAGTGTGTTTTTTGTTTTTTCCACACAACTATGAGATAGAAAAACTTCCACCTACAAACCCAAACTGCTTTTGGGAACTTCCAAACTTACAATTCCTTTCAAAAGTAGGAATGGCCTCCAGGACTCTTGAATACTATATTTACTATCTTAAACTCTGAAGAGAGGCATCCCATCTTATTTGCTAAAACTGACTTACATATACCTCTGCTTGGGCTAGGAGTATAGATTGGGGTACACTGTTTGCCGAGCATGTGCAAGGTCCTGGGTTCAGTCCCTAGCACTGCACAAAAAGGAGGAGCAGAGTTTTGAGGCTCTCAAGTTCAAGGCAAGACAAACATCAACAAAACCTTCTCCTCAAGGAATACATATTCATGAAGTTTATTAACAAGTTAGTATGATTTTTTTGTGTAACCAGGATAAGGGAAATTTGAAAACTAAAAACTTAAATTAGATATATGGGTTTTGGGGGGTTTGTTGTTGTTGCTGTTTGTGCTTTCCTATTAGAAAACAGGGTTTCACTATGTTGCCCTAGCTGGTCTAGAACTCGATATGTAGACCTTGAGCTCACAGAAAGCAACTGGCCTTTGCCTCCTATAACTGTGACATAACTTATCTGAATATTAATAATAGTATGCTACATAGTGATGTTCTGGTCAACAACAGATTGCATATATGACAGCGATCCCACAAGATAACATTGCCTAGTGAAGTCATGGTGGTGGTAGTCTGAGTGGGCATACCTATGACGTTCTACAAAACACAATACATATCTTACACACGCTGATGTGAAGTGACAGTTGAGTGGACGCAGATACTTCCCTTAGCAAATTTAAGGACATACAATAACAGAACAATTAGAAATGTAAACATTTGGCTTGTCAATACTTCAGGGTATCAAGGGTTCATTTTCCCCTCACCCCCATCCCACCCCAGCTCCAGTCCTACAGTGAGGCCCACCGCAGGTCACTGTCCTTCACCATACTTCCGCAGCCCTCTCCAGGACGTACCTCCCGATGACAAAGTGCGGCAGTGTGATTCCCTCTGCCTGGGATAAGCTCCCCTCTTCATTTTCACTCACCGTTCAGACCTGACTCAAGCATCTTTTCAAGTGTTCTTACAGCACCATTTACCCTTCCTTCAACTATCAAGTTATATTTTTAGTTTTGTTTAAATAACATCTGTTGGCTCCATTAGACCAATGGTTATACGAAGTAGAAAGCCTGGGTTCATGATGCTTACTACTGAACGTTGAGTATTTAGGACAATGCCTGAATCTTAGAAGACATTTACCAGTGTTTTAACAAAAAAATGAATAAGTATCAGTTTGCAATACTATAAAAATCTTTACTAAATTTAGTTATATTCTAAAAGTTTGTATTTTTTTCATTGTTGTTGCTGATGTTTTGATTTTTGAGACAGGGTTTCTCTGTGCAGCCCTGACTGTCTGGAACTCACTATATAGACCAGGCTGACCCCAAACCCAAAGATCTGCAGGCCTCTGCCTCCTGAGTGCTGGCATTAAAGACCACCCACCACCTGACATCGTAAAAAGTTTATACTTTCTTAAAGTTTTACAAACTGTTTTAAATATATTCATTAGCTACCCATAGAAAAGACAAGGAGTTTTTTGTTTTTTGTTTTTTGTTTTTGTTTTCTTTCAAGACAGGGTTTCTCTGTAGCTTTGGAGCCTATCCTGGAACTCACTCTGTAGACCAGGTTGGCTTCGAACTCACAGAGATCTGCCTGCCTCTGCCACCCAAGTGCTGGCATTAAAGGTATGTGCCACCACCACCCGATGAAAAGACAAGTTTTATAACAACAAACTCTCAAACAAATGCACTTACCCTTCCATGAGCATTGCAAGAGAACCCAGTATAAGAGTATGAATTACATGATAAATTATTTCTGGCCTTTCTCCAATTCTTCCATCTTCAAGAGTTACAGTTTCTTTCTGGGATTTACCGCTATAGAAAGGAAACGTGTTTTTAATAGTTTGGAAAAATATATATGAAAAATCAGTGACACATTATCATCTTTGAAGGCTATACCTAAAACTGAATTTCTTCTCCCTTTTAAGATCCATTATGCCTGAACTAGCAATGCTAACCAATAAACTTAAGCTTCAGAGTTAAGCTGTACTTAGCCATCTTCTTGTTGTTTGGTTTTGTTGTTCTTTAGACACAAGGCTTCACCACTAGCTCAGACTGACCTAGAACAAACTAAGCATGTCTCTACGCCAAGAAATCCTTTTACTTTAGGCTATGTAGGGTTGAGACTGTAAGTGGGAGCTGCCATAGCTGACTTCAAGACAACATTCTCTTATTGTCGTGCTAGGTGTCAGCAAGCCCAGGTGCTTATACACTCAGTAAGTACTGTATGTATTGTCAGCCTGTAAAGGGAGCATGACTGTACAGGTAGGGAAACTGACTGGGAAGTAAATGCTAGTAGTTCTTATATGTATTTAGTGTTGGTTTTTGCAATGGGGTTTCATGAAGTCTGACTACTCCAAACTTGGTGTATAGGCAAAGCTGGCCTTCAACTCAAGATACTGCCTTCAATTTTCAGATGCTGGAATTACAAGCATACTACAAGTACCCAGAACTACCTTACTAGCATAATAAACATATTTATAGTGATTTTTATTTTGTTATTTTTTTGCTTGTTTCCCATTTTTTGAGACAGGTTATCAGTATGTGGCCTAGGCTCATACTCACAATTTAACTCAGTCCCCTGAGTGTTTGGATTATAAGCAAGCCCCATCATACTCAGAAAAATAGACAGTAATTTCAATGTGATTTGTACTATAATGTTTTCCTGGGTAGCCCTGGCTATCCTGGAACTTGCTTGGTAGATGTCCTTTCTGTATGCAGTGAATATATGTTTCTCTTTTTGGTTCATGGATAAAGCTGTTTTGGCCAATGGACAGGCAGGATGAAGCCAGGCAGAAAGTATAGGCAGGCTACCAGACTAGGAAAATTCTGGAAAGAGGGATGCAGAGAGTGAGTTACCAGAGGAGATGCCATGTACCTACCAGGAAGGTAGGACATCTGGGCATTCTCCAGTAAGCCAAGACCACATGGAAATAGAAATGGGTTAATAATTAAGACAGAGGTTGAGCCGGTGTTGGTGGCACACGCCTTTAATCCCAGCACTCAGGAAGCAGAGGCAGGTGGATCTCCATGAGTTCGAGGCCAGCCTGGTCTACAGAGCGAGTTCCAGGACATCCTTCAAAACAATACAGAGAAACCCTGTCTCAAAAAATCAAAACCAAACAAACAAGAAGACAGATGTAGTCAATATGAAGCCTTAGTCGTCAGTCAAACAATTTATAATTAATATAAGCCTCTGTGTGTTTACTTGGGACTAAATGGCTGTGGGACTGAGTGGGACAGAAACTTCCATCAACACAAAATCATAGATCAGCCCACCCAGTATCCCAAGTGTTAGGATTAAAGACATGAGCCATAATGCCAAGCCAAATATATTATTTTTAATTAAGTAAAAATTTTAGTTAATTAGTAAATAAGTCTGCAAAAGCTTAATCTATTACTTACATGTCCATATATCAAAGCTGAATTCTAAATATTTATATGTATAAAGCTAACACGAGCTTTCCTTATTAATTTACAATAACCAATAAAAAAGCAGTGGAATTGGAGGCTCCAAACAAGCAGTATTGAAAAGACGTGAGGTGGCTCGCACCTGTAGTCTTAAGTGATTGGAGGCTGACTCGGGGATTGCTCGAGAATATGAGTTCTGGATCATTTGGGGCAGCGCAGCACAACCTTTCTCTGGCCCTCCTTTCCTCCTGAGAACTGGACCCAGGGCCTCGTGCAGGCTATTTGGTACCCTACCACAGCACTACACACCTTGCCCCAAAGTAGGCCTCTAAAAAGTAGCTGGATCTGAGTGTAACTTGGTGACAGAGCACATACTCAACACGCATAAGGCCCTGGGTTATTAAACCCCAGCACCAGACAACACATGCACGCACACTCATGCACTACTTAAAATATTTTATATCTTTAAAATGCATTAACTAGCAATATTATTGGTTGTTATAAACACTTACTTCATCCTCCTAAAAATAACTTGTGTCATAGAAAGAAGACAAATGATTAACACTAAAATGTAGAATGGTAACAGGGAAGATTGTGTCAATCGTAAAAAAAAATCCTGGGATGGTGCCTGGAGAGATTCTTGACAGAGCAACCAGTTCAGGGTAAAATTCCTACAAGAGACAAAATGTGTGATGTTAGAATCACATGCGCTTTAAACCACCAAACATAAAGGTATTTTAAAGTCTCAGTGAAAATGAAGATAAACACATTTTCTAAATCCCAGTACTTGGGAGGCAGAGGCAGGTGGATCTCTGTGAGTTCGAGACCAGCCTGGTCTACAAGGGCTAGTTCCAGGACAGCCTCCAAAACCACAGAGAAACCCTGTCTCGAAAACCAAAAACCAAACAAGCACTGGCTCAAGACAGCCCTCAACCTTAGAAGACTTATGAATTCAGGGTTAGGGGTAAAGTCAATGGAAAAAGACCTCCCTTATGTAGGGCTACACCAGCTTCCACCAGATGTGCAGTCTCAAGGATCCTTTATCTTGGTGAAAAGTACACAAGCGCTTCATTTGCTAACTGTGTTATACCTAATGAGAAATTCAATCTACAACCCTGTCTAATCACGCAAGTGAGAAAAAGGTTTCAACCTTTCTTGGAACTTGAGACATGTATAAGCAAATATCAGTACATAGTCATTTCTTTTTGTTTGTTTGTTTGTTTGTTTGTTTGTTTGAGACAGGGTTTCTCTGTGGCTTTGGAGGCTGTCCTGAAACTAGCTCTTGTAGACCACATAGTCATTTACTCTTTGTTTCATAAACAAAGGAAAAAGTAGTTGAACAACTAGAAACACAATATGATTTTTTTAATTAAAAACAACAACAATAAAACCTAGCCAGCTTTTGGTCTAATTACAAAACTAATGACTGTTTTAGGAAACAAATACCCTGTCTGCCCTTTGCCCCCCCTTTTTTTTTTCGAGACAGGGTTTCTCTGTATTGTTTTGGAGCCTGTCCTGGAACTCCCTCTCTAGACCAGGCTGGCCTCGAACTCACAGAGATCCACCTGCCTCTGACTCCTGAGTGCTGGGATTAAAAGTGTGCGCCCACCACCAACACCTGGCACTTTGCCCTTTTCTTTTTCTCTTGTTTGGCAGTTTTAGAGATCAAATGCAGGGCCTCTCACATGGAGGTAAACACTTCATTACTAACTACATTCCAAGCCTGCTACTGAGCTTTGTAAAGATAAACACAGTGCTAGCCCAGTGGTTATTGTCTATTTTATTTATTTTTCTGCAGTGCTGGGGATCAAACCTAGGGCTATCTACCTGCTAGGTCGGCACTCTGCCCCTCAGCTACATCCCCAGGCATGATTTTAAACCTTCACTTATTCTAATTTAGACTGCTCTGCTAATCTTCACCAAAGATCAGACGTAAGATTCTATGAGGGAGCTGGAGAGGTGGCTGGGTGGTTCCGCACACTAGAGGCTCTAACAGAGAACCTAAGGTCAGTCTCAGCTTCCACATCTCTTCACTCCAGAGAGCCTGGTTCCCTTCATTCACCTGTACACACATGCCAGCACACATGTACATATAAATATAAATATAAACATAAATAAAAATAGCACAGCAGTGGTGGTGCACTCCTTTAATACCAGCATAGGGGGCAGAGGCAGGCAGATCTCTGTGAGTTCCAGGACAGCCAAGTCTACACAGAGAAACCATCTCAAAAAACCAAAATAAATAAACAAATATAAAAGATAAATCTCTTTTAAAAAAAACTATGAGGTCAGTGAGATGACTCACAGGTAAAAGCATTTCCTATGTAAGCCCATAATCTGGGTTGGACCCCTGAGGCCCATGAAGAAAAGAACTAACTCCTAAAACTTATCCTCTGATCCTTACACATGTACTATGGCAAACACGTGCTTACTCACACATATACAACATATGCACACACAACAATAAATAAATAAAAATACTATAATGCTATTAAAACTTTAAGTATATCTACTTTTTAGGAGACTAGAAATTTATTTATGGTGCTGTCAGGTATTCAAACCACAGTCCTAAGCATGCTAGCCATGTGTTTTCCCTGCAGTGCTGCATGTAGAGCTGGGGCCCTGTGCATACTAAGTAAATGCTCTACCAACTCCCCACCCCACTCTAAATATCAATATCATGTCTCTTCTACAGTGCCTGGACGATAGTTCTGTGGTAAGATACTGCCTATAATTCTCAAGACCCTGGAGACAATCCTCAATACCACAAAACCAAAAACAAAAAGTAATCTGCTACATAATATCCAAACTATTTTCTAAGTGACATATGATACATTCCCCCCATCAAGTGTTCTTTTTATTTTCTGGGTGCTACAGATTACGTGAATGTGAAACTTACTTAGTCACGTTTAATCCAAATTTTACTTCAAGAAACTTCAGCACATGCTCATTTTCTTTGTGTGGGACAAACGTCTAGAAGAGAGAGGATTAAGCAATCAGGCACCATGGCCAACTTGTGAGCTATCATTCTCACAGAAGAGAAAACATCTAAACAAAGAGCACTCTCTATGCCTAATACCTATGATATTTTTGTTGTTGTAGTTTCTGTTTTTGAGATAGTGTTTCCCTAAGTAGCTCTAGCTGTTCTGAAACCCACTCTGTAGTCCAGCATGGCCTCGAACTCACAGAGCTCCACCTACCTCTGCCTCCCCAGTGCTGGGATTAAAGGTGTCCACCACCACCACCCAGCTCTGTCTATGCTTTCAACAATGCATGTAGTTCTAATTACTAATGATAGAAAACACAGTCAGATTAAAAGCAGTGAATTAAATAACACAGAGTGACTATGAACACATTTACTGTATGCTTAGGCATTTTGAGAGTAAGAGAATTTCAACCTAAGAGAGTTGATTCAAATAATCCCTGCTCCTGAAGGAGTTGTTGGTTTGTTTGGTTTTTGACACAGTCTGATGTAGAGGGCACTAGCCTCAAACTCACTGTGTCACTGAAGATAATTTTGTATATACTCTATTCCTTTGTTAGGTTATCATTCTCATTCAAGCTGACATAACATATTTCTCTACTCAAATTGATCTAGATATAAATCTCAGAGTCACTTACCTTCATTATCAGATTCAAGGTCAGTGGCAGAGTACATACCAAGTAAAATTTAAACACTTTGATTACTTTAGCCACAAAAGTTCCTTTTTTCCCATTCAGCTACAAAGGAAAAAACAAAATCCCATGAACAAAGGAGTGAGTTATAAGAACTAACAATTAACAATGATAAGACTACGGTTTTAAAACAGCAGTATTAATTACCTGAAGGCACTTAATAAGCATTAATGCACCTACTAAACTTAATAAAGGAGACACCAATAAAGCTGGGTTCTCAAACTGCAGTAAATACCCAAGGAAGAGAGAAAATATGTAGATCTTATATACTTCATAAACCTGTTGGAACAAAAATAAAATAAATGAGAATAAAATGAATTTAACTATAAGCAAATGTTCTGCTATAATTTAGTACAGAGTTAGGGTATGTTCGATCTGTATTTTTAGCATTATAGTATATGATAAACTTACCATTTTCTTCTTAGCATTCTATAGAAACAAAGTTAAGAGCTCTAAAATCATAAGTGAAAGCTAAAGAACCTTGTTTAATGCCACACTTTAATTTTGGTTGGTTTCTGTTTTCAAGTTAGTTTTGTGTAAGTGTGATACAGCACTGTCAACAAACCCAGCCTTGGAAGGCTGTTAGAGTATTATAAATAAAGCTTGGACAAATGGAGAGCTTGTCTCAAATGGACAATGTTGGCAAAAGCCTTTAATCCCAGCACTCAGGAGGCAGAAGCAGGCTGATCTATGTGAGTTTGAGGCCAGCCTGGACTACAGAGAGAGTTCCGGGATAGCCAGGGCAATACAGAGAAACCCCTGTCTAGGAAAACAAAAGATAACTTAAAATATAAATAAATAAACCTGAAAAGAGATTTCACTGTAACAAGTCATGATATCCTTTGGAGAATGCTAAGTATGCTTGGGAGCGAGTGTAATAGCCTTCTGGTGTTGGTAATGTTCGATGCTTGACTTAGCTAATTCCATACGAGTGTGTGCCGTTACAGAGGAACTCTCAGCTCCCAGCCAACTTCTCTTGCCCACATTTCTCTTTTCCAGGTGAAGTTCTGGCAACAGGAAAGCTTCAGGGAAAGTGCAAAGCTGGAGGAAGAAAGTGTTCACTCTCTTCTCAACTCTTATTGGCTTGCGCTTCCTCCAGACTTTACCTAAAAGACTCAGTTCTTGACGCCAAAAGAACAGTTCCTCCTGCCGAGCTCAGCACGCAGGTGTAATTTTCAAACACTTGCTGATGCAGCTTCATCCCTGCTGCTTCCAGCAGGCGCTACTTCTATAATGCTTTCTGGCCCCTATTATCATCACCCTTTCAACTGACCAATTATTAAGACAACAACTTTACTCTTGATTAACGATTGCTTTGGAGACTGGTAAGTTTTGATATTACAACTAAACTTCAGACCTTCAAATGAGCAGCTAAGTGCTCTGTCACTGAACTAGCCGCACAGTCGTAGTTACTGAATCTGTACATTACGTCCTCTCTGTTCAAATAATCTAAATCTTTATGTCAATCAGAGTTCTGAACACTGAGAATAAGGAATGGAGATACAGAAAAAGGTTTTAAGAGACAATGCTGTAAGAACATTAGCTTTTGCATTGAAATTCCTTATTTCGAAATGTTATACTACCTTGTCACCGTGTTCCTCTGATAAGACATCCAGCAGCAGCAGAGATACTGCTTGGAGAAACAAGACATAGTGGCTGTACTCCCACGCCATCATGAAAGTGTACGTCGAGGCGCTCATCAACAGGTAGCAAAACCTCTAGAGAAAAAAACGTCAGCTAAGATCAGTAGCTTTACTACTGCAAAGACCCAAGGAGCTACAGCACTTGAAGCTACTTTTAAACTCACAGAACCAGTCAAGTGTGGTGGTGCATGTCTTAATCCCAGCACTTGGAAAGTAGAGGCAGGTGGATATCTATGAGTTCAAGATCAGCCTGGTCTACATATTAATCTAGGTCACAGCCAGGTCTGTGTAAGAGGCCATGTCTCAAAAAAACAAAAGAAACAATCAAACAAACAAACAAAACCAATAGGATCAGAACAGAATGCAGAGAGAGAAATCAGCACCTGTCCTTCCATATATTACAAAGGGGTAGGACAAAAGGAGACCGAGTTCGAGGTACAATTTTTCTTCATGTCAGAGAGGAAGCAAAGCTAAAAGAAATCAGTGGAGTGGGTGGTAAGCTTTTGTTAACATGGAAGCTTTTTCTGTCCTAAAATAGTGTTTTTATTTCCGTTCATGCTGATTTTATTTTCCTAAAGACTATCAGGAGTTGGGGGATGCCTATTCAAGGCTCTAGTCCAACCCAGTTTTGGCCTGTTTTCTTCCAGTGCTGCACTCATCAACCGCGCAGAGCTAGATGCTACTTCTCTTTACTTCATACTAAAAAAAGAGCTGTGCCTGGGGTGCATTTTCCTATCTCAGCTCTCGGAAGTGTTAGCCTGGGCTACATCCTGTTCCTTCCTCTTTTTAGTGGGGACAAGCACCTGACCACAGCAGACTTCGCTGCTGAACTGTTAAACCTTGAAGGTTTCATTTTCATGTACATTACAGCTCTGTAATAGTTCCCATAGTTCAGTGCTTCTTCAGGTGCTAGGGATCACACACAAGGCCTCAGCCCTGCAAGTATTCTATCATGGAACTACATCTGTAGCACAGGTCTTTACATTTTTTGTTTTGTTTTGTTTTGTTTTAGAGACAGGGTTTCTCTGGGTTTTGGAGGCTGTCCTAGAACTCACTCTGTAGACCAGGCTGGCCTCGAACTCACAGAGATCCGCCTGCCTCTGCCTCCCGAGTGCTGGGATTAAAGGCGTGCGCCACCAACGCCCGGCAGGTCTTTACATTTTAAATGTTAGTTTAAAAAGAACTGCCAAAGGAGTTTTCTTTAAAAAAAACAAAAAACAAAAAACAAAACATCAATAATGTTTTTAGTAAAATTTGTTTAGTAAAATTTTTTTAATTATTGTGTATCATTTGGAGGGGGCACATGTGTGTAAGCCAAGGGACCACTTTCTGGTGCCTGTTCTTTCCTCTACCTATTGGGTCCTGGGTATCCAACTCAGGGTTAGGCTTGCAGAACCTAAGCCGAGCCATGCTACACACACAGGCTGGTCGTGAACTTGAGTGCGGCTCCAAGCTCTGTGAGCTAGCAGTAAAGGGTGCATCTACATGTCCCTCTGTTCTTACTCTTAAGGGTGTTATTTTTTGTTTTATCCTTGGACAGGGCTGGCTTTGAACTCATCATGTCACTAATAACCTGAGCCCTTGCTTTCTGCCTCCCAAGTTGTGGGATCACAGGTGTGGGCTACACCACCTAGCTATTCTCTTGTATATTTTAAAACATTTTTAATAAACTTTACCCCATTTATACTATATTGTTACTTTTATAAAACTTTTTTCATTGCAACGTTTCACATTATGCTGCATTTACTATTTTTAAGTTTTTTGTTATTGTTGTTGTTGTTTCTTTGAGACAGAGTCTCTATACTATGGAGCTCTGGCTGCCCTGGAACTCATTATGGAGATCAGGCAGGCTTCAAACTTAAAGATGCTCCTGCTTCTGCCTCCTGAGTGCTGGAACTAAAGACATGCATCACCGTACCTGACTTATTAAGTTTCATAAGCTGAAATATATATAATATTACAATATATTAAATACATGGTCAAAAACAATCTTTTTTTCTTTTGGGCCACCAACCAGCTACCACATGACACAAAGACTTCTTACTAGTTATGAATGCTCGACAGGCTTGTTTTCTGGCTAGCTCTCTGAACTGAATTAACCTGGCTCTCTATCTCCCTTTTGCCTTGGGGCTCTTTACCTCCCTTACTTTCATTCTATATATCTTACTTTCATTGCTTCTAGTATCTGGCTGGTGAAGGCTGCCTGACTTCTGGTCCCAGGCATCTCACTCGTTCTCCTCCTCCTTCTCTGGTTCCTTTCTCTTATCTATTCTCTCTGCCCAGCAAGGTGAGACAAATGCAACACATCTTTACATAGTTAAACAAACATCCTTACATCATTAAACAAATGTAACACATCTTTTCCCAGTTAAAATAATATTCTACAACACCTATCACTGCAAAAGGATCTCCAGTAAAAACAATATTACCTTTCAGTTTCCTAATGTGTTTACTTGTTAATAATGTAAAGTACAAATGGAGATTTAAAATAGAGGAAGGAATCCACTTTGTTTGGTCTCTCTGGTCTCTTCCTAGCCAGGAATTGTTTATCTAAGACAGGCAGGCAAACTGCCAAAGGGCTGCTACATTCAATCAACTTCAAGATAATTAACCGCCTCTGCAGACATGCGTCTTACTAAAGTTATCTGTGGCACAGTCTTAGACATCATTCAATTGCCAGCAGGTTTGTAGCAGTAAGAGTAACAAAAAATTAAGAAGTAAGTGATCTGGGATGGGTGTTTCCTTCAGCTTTGACTAACCTACTACATTTCAGACAGGGAAGACATGAGAGTGAACAAAAGAATATGCCATACTGCCATCAAAGTTCACAACACTGTCATTCTCCATCTCCGTTGTATCTTCAGTACTATTTCATTAGGTTCTGATGACTAAAGGACATAGATGTCTCTGAAGTAAGAGAAATGGCAAAACAATACTCAGATGGATTAACTTCCAAAATGAGATATCTTTCTGCAATTGTCAAGTAACCACATTAAAAGCTATAGAACGTCTGTTTTTCTAAAAATATTTGGCTGCCATCAGATTACAGAAAAAACATGATATAACGACTACCTAACTACATGTTACATAGTAACATGCTTCACTGAATATAACTCATCTCCTAATATGACTTACTCTAAAATTACACAACATAGTGCACCACGGTTGTGAACAACTGTAATCCTACATGGATGCAGATAGACTACGTGTTCAAGGCCTAGCCTCAGCTACGTAATGAGTTTGAAGCCAGCCTGAACTACAAGAGATTTTTGTCTCAAAACAAAACATGTCCACATTTGCAAAGCATCAGAAGTAGCTGTGCTTTATAAAACAGATTTGCATCTTACCTCTGCGTAAGTATTTAAGTTTCTTTTTAAATAACCTGTAAGTGCAGCAACTTGGCATGCAAAGTAAGGTAGAGCCCAGTTTTCTCTTAAAGGAATGGAGTATTCGATTCTTGTTGTATCTACCCTAAAATAAACCACAGAGGAACACGGAAAGTGAGGATACACTTGTGTAACACTCTACCTTTCTCTATCTTATTTTGTAAGTATTATTTTATGCATATGCATACAAATGTTTTGCCTGCATGTATGTCTGTGTACCCTGTGTGTGCCTGGTACTCTTGGATGCCAGAAGAGTGTATCAGATTCCTGGAATCGGAGCTATAGACAGTTGTGAGCTGCCACTCGGGTTCTAGGAAGTGAACCTGAGTCCTCTGAAGAGCAGCCGGTGCTCTGAACTGATGAGCCACGGTGATTCACAGCAGAAATCCCAGTATTTGGAAGGCAGAGGCCGGAGAATCACTGAAAGCTTGGAGCTAACCTGGTCTACATATCAAGCTCCATGCTAGCCAAAGAAATATAGCAAGACCGTCTCAAAAGTATTAAAAACAGGGAAATAAAAAAGTGACAGAAGTCAAAATAATTAGTTCCATGTTTATGAAATTGTAATAGGTTTTTAGCTACCTAATATATAAGAATATAAAATAGTTAGAATTCAGGACCAATGAGTGGGAGGCTCAATAAGCAAAGGTGCTTCCAACAAACAATCCCTGGAACCCACAGTGGAAGGGAAAAGCAGCTGCTGAAAAGTCCCCTCTGACCTACACATATACACTTAACCAAACAACCAACACAATGTAAACAAAATGTAAAGTTCATCAAACTGAACACTTAAAATACTTGTATTTTGTTTTTGCTTATTTTTTTTCAAAAATACCAAAAAAAAAAAACCTACAATGATATGTCTTAGTGGCTTTGTGTTCCTATATCAGAATACCATAAACTTTGCAATTTGTAAACAACAAAAATGCATTGCTCACAGTTCTAGAAGCTGGGAAACCCAAGACCAAGGAAGGTGCAGGGGATTGAGTGTCCAGTGAGAACTCAGTCCTCACAGATGAAACCTTCTAGCCCTTTCCATGCATGTACATGCTAGGCAAGCCTGCTAGCTCACAGCCACATCCCAGTGCCTTCACTATTTTTACAGGGGCAGTAACCCCATTAATAAAGACTCCTTCTCATTCATGACCCCTTCCCTCAATAGCAACACGTTTACAACTGAGTTTTAATATATGAACTTGGGGGAAGACACATTCAAAGCATAGCAGAACAAACAGCAATTCTGGGCTTGGCAAAGATTTCTACATCATCTACAAGTGTCACTATCACTTACGGACAGAAAAACATTCTCAGAAATGCACAGTTAGTTATTTTACTGTGCAGAACCACCAGCATATGTTCTCTCCATTACTGATTACAATGTTGCTATGCCATGCATAACTGTGTAAGAAACTCTTACAACTCAATAAGAAAACAATCTCTCCCTCCCTCCCCCTTCTCCCTCCTTCACTCACCCACTCTCTCCTCTCTCACACTCATGCACGCATGCACACAAAAGTGGGCATGTAGGTCACTTACAGTGCTTTTAGAGCATGCCCTGGGTCCATCCCTCACTACTATAAACTAGAAGATGGGAACAGATACGTGACACAAATATGTCAATTTTTTAGAAAAAGATGTAATGAGACTTTACCAACTAAGAGCATGAACATCATTGGTCATTAAACTAAAACAAGGCTCTCTGCTTCCTGGCCATGATGGAACCACGCACACCTACAACTGTTATATTCTCCCTTGCCATGACCCAAAGCAATAGATCCAGCAATTCTTGGCCCCAAATCTCCAAAACCAAACTCAAATAAGGACTTCAGGGAAAATGCAGCAGTTTGCAAATCAGCAAAAGCAGCCTTCTGAGAAATCAGTCTGAGGATTTTTTTTCATGGATTTCAGACTCCTCCTATCCTAAGAGCAATGCCTCAAATCTGCAGGCAACCTCAAACGCAGTGGAGCCCTACAGACAGAGAAACCCTGATGAGACAGCCCCTAGAAGCAGCATGCACTACTCAAGGGAGCTAACTACACCACCCCAACCCTCAGCAGAATCAAGGAATATCTTAACTGGGAATCACATGGTCCCCTTAAGCAATATGTCTGTGAAGACTTCTCCTTAAGGGGGCCATTTCACAGAACCAAAACTGAAAAAAGTGAGAATTCTCATCAGGTGATGGAGGGATGTCCTTCTGTATATATGTTTCTCTTATTGGTTGATGAATAAAACACTGATTGGCCAGTAGTCAGGCAGGAGGTATAGGCGGGGCTACCAGACAAGGAGAATGCTGGGGCGAGGAGAAACAGAAACCACCAAAGAGATGCCACGTAGCTGTTGGGGAGATAGGACACTGGACCATCTCCAGTAAGATAAGACCACGTGGAAATACTTAGATTAATAGAAATGGGTTAATAATTAAGAGAGAGCTAGCCAATAAGAAGCCTGAGCCATCAGCCAAACAGTTTATAAATTATTATAAGCCTCTGTGCGTTTATTTGGGGCTAAAGGGCTTGGGACCAGATGGAACAGAGCCTCCGCCTACAATCAGAACTGCTTAATTATGCCTCCCTCTCCCCCTCACCTACACTGACAGTTCCCATCGAATCCCTGGGATAATAGGTGTGAGAGGCCTAGTGCTTGGTCTCTCTTGTGTTTCTAGTAAGCCATGCTGAAAACTAAATTCCCTTCCTGCCTCTCATGAAAAAAAGTAGTAATAAACTACAATGAGACATTACTGTGACTATATTACCTACTCTGCAACAATGATCTCCGCACCACACACTCTCACGCACACACAGTGGCTTATATTAGGGGCAAATTACCTGGCTCAGTGGCATAGCACTTGCCTAGCAGGCACAAGGCCTAGGATTCAATACCCAAACAAAAACTAAAAGGAAACAAAGCTAGGGAAAGCTCCTTTGCTTAAATGACTTATGCTATAACTTCCAGATAAGATGGGAAGCTGCAAGCTGCCTCAAGTGTGAGCTGGTGAAAGAGAAAGCCAGAAAAATCTACAAAGGAAACAGAGGATACCTGAGCAGAGAAAAAGGTGGGAACACAAAAAAGAAAAATCTACAAAGGAAACAGAGGATACCTGAGCAGAGAAAAAGGCGGGGAACACAAAAAGAAAAATCTACAAAGGAAACAGAGGATACCTGAGCAGAGAAAAAGGCGGGGAACACAAAAAGAAAAATCTACAAAGGAAACAGAGGATACCTGAGCAGAGAAAAAGGCAGGGAACACAAAAAGAAAAATCTACAAAGGAAATAGAGGATACCTGAGCAGAGAAAAAGGCAGGGAACACAAAAATAAACTGAACACAGCTTTAGCTGTGCAGCTCCCTTGAGAGAAGAGGAGCAGCTGCTTCCAGAAGCAGCCTGTTTACTCCTTGCGGAACACTGAGGACTGACTGGGCCTTCAGGGTGAAGCTCATCAGTGGGCTGGGGAATTCCCAGCACCCACATGGTGGCTCACAGTGGCCTGTAACTCCAGTACCAGGGATCAGATGCCCTCTTTATGGGTACCAGGAATACATATGATGCAACACCATACACATGAAAATAAATATCTAAAAAAAGAAACTGATGAATAAGACACCTCTTCCCCCAAATAACCCAGAAGAGATAATCAAACCAACAGATACCAAAGTACCGCACACAAACGTTAAGAACACGAGGAACAGTGAGGACATTTTTAGCTGGCAGAGTGCTTACTAGCATGCCCAAAAACCCGGGTTCATTCTCCAGCTGCACATGGGGCATGTCTGCCACCCCAGGACTGGAAAGGATACTGCATCTGAGACCACACTGGGCTACAAAGTTGAGACCACCCTGGTCAACATAGCAAGATTCTGTCTCAAAAATAAAAACCGCCAGGCAACAGACTGGGCTAGAAAGTCCCTGCCTAGCATGTAAAAATATACATGGCTTCTCCCTCGAATGTGATGATACATATTTAATGATCAAATGAAAAGAGTACTAATTTTATCAAATATATATATAGCCTCCACAGTGGTCTTAATGGTTCTTGCCTTCTGGTGTTGTCATCTTCCACAGTATATACATCAGAGTAATGTTATGCTGTCTCCAAGATTAGACTACAAGTCATAAAAGACACCCATACATCCATCAACATCGTTCTTTCAGTCTCTTGGATTATTTATTGTAAAATACCATCTTCTTTCTTTTCTTTTTTTTGGAGACAGTCTCTCTGTGTGACAGCTGTGGCTATCCTAGAACTCTCTCTGTAGAGCAGGCTGGTCTCAAGCTCACAGAGATCCACCAGCATCTGCCTCCTGAATGCTGGGAGTAAAGGTGTATGCCATTACACTGGACTGGGGTTAAGTTTTTTGAGTCACGGTTTTGAACAGACAAGGATTAACTAAAAGTTAGCTAGGAGTATGCCACTGTATATCAGTGGGGGGCAAAGGACAATCTGTAGGCATCTGTTTCTTGGACCACCATATGGTTCCAGTGATCAAACTCAGGTCATCAGGCTTAGCAGCAAGCAGTCTTCTTACTCAGTCACTACATTCAGAGTTCATTCTCTTTGCTTCAAGCCAGTTATGGCCCAGTGAATATCTTTAGTGTCACCAATTCTATCAGCTAGAGAAAGCTTTTTGCTTTGTTTTACCCTCATGTGGATGTGTGGTGTGCACACACCTGTGTGTGTTGTCATGTGTGTGGGAGCACATGTATAATAACCATGTGATAGGGGATGTCCTTCTGTATGCTGTAAATATATCTTTCTCTTATTGGTTGGTGAACAAAGCTGTTTCTGTCAATGAACAGACAGAATAAGGCCAGGCAAGAAATACCAGAGTAGGAGAAACTTTGCTGGCAAGAGGAAAGCAGAGAATGAATTGTGAGAGAGAAGCAATGTAGCTACCCAGGCAATCTCCGGTGAGTGAAGACCACGTAGATTAATAGAAATGAGTTAATAATTAAGGTAGAGCTACCAATAAGAAGCCTGAGTCATCGGCCAAACATTTTATTGATGGGGGAAGTCCTTCTGTGTATATGTTGTCCTATTGGTTGATAAATAAAGCACTGTTGGCCAATAAGGAAGCAAGATAGGTGGGATTAGGAGTCAAGGAGGATTCTGATAAATGTAGTCAAGAGTAGAAGTCGCCATGTGATCCCGGGAGGAGAGGGCGCAAGTCTGGCGTTCTGGGTAAAATAAGGCCTTATAAAGATATATACTAGTAATTATGGGTTAATAATTAAGTAAGAGCTAGCTGATAAGAAACAATAACAAACAGCCAACAGCTTCATAATTAATATAGTGTCTCATGTATTATATGGGGCCTGAGACAGTAGAGGGACACAGGTAGCTGGCAGGAGTCCCACAACAGTTTATAATTAATATAAGCCTCTGTGTGTTTATTTGGGACTAAACAACTGCAGGACCAGGCAGGACAGAAACTTCAATCCACAACCATGTATAAAGAAGCCTGAGGTTGATTTCAGTACCCTTCTTGGACTGTGTTCCACCTTACTCATTGAGGTAGAGTTTTGTGATCAACAGAGCCTGCCCATATGACAAGACTGGCTCATCAACTTGCTCCAGGAAGAATTACAGGAAGCCCCATGTTCACCCAGCATTTACATAGGATCTGAGCATCCAAACTCTAGTTCTCATGCTCATACAGCAAATGTTCTAACCACTGAACCATCTTCCCAGACCTGCTTTTTGTTAGAGATAAAACAGTCATGACTGTCCTGGAAATCGAGAACTCACAGAGGTCAACCTGCCTCTGACTTACAAGTGCTGTGATTAAAGAACTGTGTCACTCCCAGACCTCCTTTTTAAGTGATCATATATCTAGATTAGGCCCTTGGGGAAATCCTATCTAAACTGCACCATGTAGCAGAAGAGTCAATAGGTTTGCAGATTATAGCTGAGAATTGTAAAGAAGGGCATATTTTTGGATTGAATTTTTTTTTTAATTTTTTGAAACAAGGTTTTTCTGTATAGCTTTGTAGAACATGCTGGCCTCGAACTAACAGAGAACCACCTGCCTCCCGAGTGTTGGGATTATAGGCATGTGCCATTACCACCCATCTGCAATGAAATTTTGTAAACATCAATTAAAAACCATTCATACCTGTTAATTAGGAACCACGCAACAGTAAGCATTCCTGCTAACCATGTGCCACTCATAAGCCAACTTGTAACAAATAAAGCTGTAACATATATTCCTTGTAATCCAAAAACAATGCCAATGTAGAAATATACTGGTTCAATCATTTCCTAAAGGCAAAAAGAAAGGGAATAATAAGAGGATGATGCTACACAACGCAAGGATACATAACTACGTAAGAAAACAGACACTAGCCGGGCAGTGGTGGCCCACGCCTTTAATCCCAGCACTCAGGAGGCAGAGGCAGGCGACGTCAGCCTGGTCTACAGAATGAGTTCTAGGACACCCAGGGCTGTTACACAGAGAATCTGTCTTGAGAAACGAAAGAAAGAAGAAAGGGAAGGGGAAGGGGGGGAGGGAAGGGGGGAGGGGGAACAGACTATTAAGGAAGGGGGGAGCTGGAGAGACAGCTCAGTGATTAAGAGCAATTTTCCTTCTTGAAGAAGACCTCAGTTCAGTTCCCAGAGTCCACAAGATGGGTCACAACCACCTCTAGCTTCTAGAGCAGTGGTTCTCAGTCTTCCTAATGCTGCTACCCTTCGATACAGTTCCTCATGGCGTGGTGACCCCCAACATTACAATTATTTTGTTGCCACTACATAGCTGTAATTTTGACAGTTATGAATAATAATGTAAATAATGAAAGGCAGGAAATCTGATACGTGACCCCAAAGGGGTCGAGTCACAGGTTGAGAACTGCTGTTCTAAAGGATCCGATGCCCTCTGAACTCTGAGGGCACCAGGCACACATGTGCTGCACATACAGACATGCAGGAAAACACTCACACACATAAAATAAATCTAAGGTAAAAATAAGAAAGTAAAAAAGAGACACGTACATTGCTCCCAGTCGCTTGGTAGAGAACACTGGCGATAAGTTCTGGATACAGTGACATCTGCTGCACTGCATTGATTGTCTTCAGGGACACAGTTCTGTTATTGTGCGTCAGCTCGTACACACCTAAGTATACAAAGATTTCTCTCAAATTACTGCTCTGCTTTGACAATGATTGAACATGTTATTCTTCAGTCATCTGGATTACTATGAAAAGAAAGACACTCAAATGCAACAAAAGATACCTCATATTCCCAACTTTCTTATTATGTACATAAAGAAAAATTACCTACATTCTGCGACAAAGTCCCACATCCGAAAGCTATTAATCTTTAAGAACAGGGTTTTACTTTAGAACAATATTATTACTACAATTACAACTGTGATTGATCATACCTCTTTCAAATGAAGGTGCCTTTAACATGTCTTTATAATAGGAGTAATAAATAGCACTGTCACCCTGAAATGTGATTTCTCGTTCAAGTTCCTACAATGAAATAAGTATTTAGATGTCAGTGTTAAGTGTCAGCTGTACTTTCTTGTCCCTCATCTTCTTGTGTTTAGTTTTTTGTCTCCTTCATATTTTAAATTAACATGACAAGGATTTACCATTTCATTCCAGGAGATATTTGAGTTTTCCTTAATTACCTTATTAAAAAGATTAAATTTCTCAATAGTCTGGCAATCATTTTAGTGAAAACAGTTAAGGTTTAAGTTGATTATAACTGATACATCATTATATCTTTTACATATAAGGAAATCCTAGAAGGAAAACCCAAAGAATCTCCTAAAAACAGCAATAATAGTAAAAAGGCAAGGACAATAAACTGAAACGTCAGACTTTAAATAAAAGCCAGGCATAGTCCCAGCACTCTGGAGGTTGAGGCAGGAGGATCAAGTTTGAGACCAGCTTGGGGGTACATAGTGAGTTCCAGACCAGCCTGAGCGGTGGTGGCCCTCGCCGTTAGTCCCAGCACTCAGGAGGCAAAGACAGGAGGATCTCTGTGAGTTCAAGGACAGCCTGGTGTATAGATTGAGTTCCAGGACAGGCTCCAAAGCTACACAGAGAAACCCTATGTTGGAAAAACAGACACATGACCTTAAAAATAAATAGTCCAAAATAAGAAGATAAATCTATGTAGAAAGCAGTGTTTTCCGAGGCTATATAAAACCCTAAGCACTGGGAAGAGCAGGGTGGTGGTGACACACGCCTTTAGTCCCAGCACTCGGGAGGCAGAGGCAGGAGGATCTCTGTGAGTTCGAGACCAGCCTGGGCTACAAGAACTAGTTCCAGGACAGCCTCCAAAACCACAGAGAAACCCTATCTCAAAAAACCAAACAAAGTGAGGCCTTAACAGGTACATCTGAGGAGCCACAGGCTCTCAACCAGTGTTTTCCAAGAAAGCAAGATTCACAGCGCAAAGGGCTGGACATGTAGTTCCGTCATGGAGGGCTTGCAGGTCCTGATTTGATCCCCACATCAGAAAGGAAAAAACCCTAAGATTCAACTATAACGAACCAAAAATACAGCAATTAAAAACCTAACAGTAGGGGCTGAAGAGATGGCTCAGAGATTAAGAGCACTAGCTGCTCTTCCAGAGGCCCCAGGTTTAATTCCCAGCATCCACATAGTGGCTCACAACCATCTATAATGGGATCTGACGCCCCCTTCAAGTGTGGAGTCATACAAGCAGGCAGGCAAAGCACTCATATCAAAAAACAAAACAAAACAAAACAAAAACTAAAGGTAAAAGTCAGGTGTGGTGTCTCACGCCTTTAATTCCAGCACTCTAGAGGCTGAGGCAGGTGGATTTCTGTTGAGGCGAGCTTGCTCTGCTAGCAAGTTCCAGGCCAACCAGAAAATACACAGTGAGAACTATCTATAACAAATAAACAAAAAACAACAGAACCAATATTCTTTAATGCTAAGTCAGTTTTTCTTTCCCCCATAATCTTATTTCCTCCCAGGCCTTGCATTTGTTAGTCAAGAACAATACCCCTGCACTATAATCCCAGCCCTGAGAAATTTTCACCCACAATACAAATTAAATAGGAATACCTCAAAATCCTTTTCTTTTTTTTTTTTTTTTTTTTTTTGAGACAGGATTTCTCTATGTAGCCCTGGCTGTTCCGGAACTCGCTCTGTAGACCAACCTGGCCTCGAGCTCACAGAGATCCACCTGCTTCTGCCTTTCGAGTGCTGGGATTAAAGGTATGTGCTACCACCACATGGTTAGAACCATTTTCTTAAGATTTGTTTTTATTATTTTTAGTTTTGTGTGTGTGGGTGGGTGCACGTGTGCGTGCACATGCACACACATGTGCATTCGGGTACTGTGGAAGCCACAGGCATTCCCCCTGTAGCCAGATGACAGGTTGCTGTGAGATGCCTAATAGGGGTGCAAGGAACTGAACTTGGTTCCTTTGTGAGAACTGTTTTACCAACGAGCCAACTCTTAAGCCCCTAGGAGCAGTTTTCCAAAATTCTAACTTACAGTTTTTGGCCTTTTTGGTTTTTTGATACAGGGTTTCTCTGTATTGCTAACTTACAGTTTTACTGAGTGTTCCTTAAAAGTCTTGGGACAGGCAAGATAGCTCAGTGTCTTGCCACCAAGGCTGATAACTTGAGTTTGGTCTCCAGAAGCCACATGTTGGAAGGACAAAGTTGTCCTCTAATTACCCTGAGCACACACATCCTAGATAAATAAATACAAATAAAAATTTTTACATGTCTGAGCTCAAGTCTGTAATTCTAGCACTTAAATGGTCAAATAGGAGGATTAAGAATTCAAGGCAAGGTTGGGCTACATAACAAGACTTTGCCTTTAAGTAAATGTAAAATATATAAGTAGTTCTGTAGTTATACTTTGAAAAGAAGTAGATTAAACAGTCCTATGAATTTCTTTATTGTAAAACATTTCCGTTTCATTTGTTTTCCACTGTGAGTCTTCAAGAGCAAATGTTTGCAGATTAATGAACTGTTCTCCTATGGTCTGGATATCAGTGTCCCTAGACAGGGATCAGTTTTGTATGTTGAAACTTAGTACCTAGTAGTAGGCAGTATTTTAAAGACGGAATTTGGAAGGTTGGTATGTTATGAGGACATAGCCTTCCTAAGCAGGATTAGTGCCCTTATAAAAGAGCCCCATGTGCCGGGCGTTGGTGGAGCACACCTTTAATCCCAGCACTCGGGAGGCAGAGGCAGGCAGATCTCTGTGAGTTCGAGGCCAGCCTGGTCTACAGAGCGAGTTCCAGGACAGCCTCCAAAACCATACAGAGAAACCCTGTCTCAGAAAAAAAAAAAAAAAAAGAGGCCCCAGAATCCCCTCATCCATCTGTCTGTCACAGTAAGACAGTCATCTATGGATCAAGCAGCAGGTCCTGGGCTGGACCTGGTGGCACATACCTTTAACCTCAGCACTCTGGATGCAGAGACAGATAGATCTGTAAGTTTCTGGCCAGGAGAGGGAGGGGGAGAGGGAAAGGGAGAGAGGGAGAGAGGGAGAGGGAAAAAGAGAGAGGGAGAGAGGGAGAGGGAGAGAGGGAGAGAGGGAGAGAGGGAGAGGGAGAGAGGGAGAGAGGGAGAGAAGGACAGGGAGAGGGAGAAAGGGAGGCAGGGAGGGTGCAGCAGGTCCTCAACAAACACTAAATGCTGGTGGCTTATGTTGGCCTTCAAGTCCAATTTGTAGCATTTTGCTTTAGCAGCCCAAATATTCTAAGACAGACCTAAATGAAGTTCTTTTAAAATTATATTTGGGGCCAAGCAGTGGTAGCACACACCTTTAATCCTAGCACTTAGGAAGCAGAGGCAGGTGGATCTCTTTGAGTTTGAGGCTACCCTGATCTACAAAGCAAGTTCCAAGACAGCTAGGGCTACACAGAGTAACCCTGCCTCAAAAAAAACAAACAAAAATTACTTGGGGGGTGGGTGGAAGATTCAGTTGGGTGTGGTAGCCTCATGCTTCTAACTCCAGCACTCAGGAGATTTGTTTCCAGCTGGGTGTGTAGTTCATGTCTCTAACTCCAGCACTCAGGAGGATGAGGCCAACCAGATTAGATACAGTGAGTTTCCAGCTATCCTGATTAACAGAGTGAGTTTTGTCTCAAATGCAAAACAACAGACACAGATTTGTTTCTTTGCAAGATTTCAAAAATGAAACTCTAATCATCTTTTAAATTAACGGTGCACATGAAACACATAAAGATCTTACTATCTGGACATGGTGGTGCATTCCTTTAATGCCAGTACTCAGAAGGCAGAAACAGATGGATCTCTCAGTTTGAGGTCAACTTGAGCTACAAGGCTAGTTCCAGGACAGCAAGGGCTACACAGAGAAACTGTCTTGAAAAAAATAAAAATAAAAGTGTTTACTAAAATGTAGGCTAATTCTAACGTGGGTTCTACAAGTTTTGAGGAAGTTGTGCAGTTTTGAAGAAGCTCTCAGCGCCACTGTCTCTCATTTGTACACACTATTGTGACTCCATATTCTTCAGAACACCTGCTACATTTCAAGCCTGTACAGCACAATGACCTGATCCTAAACACTCCAGACCACCAGCCTGAAGAACCGAGAGGGAGGTTACTTTCTGCTGGCTCCTGCATGAGCTCCTTACACTTGGCACAGAGAACTATAATGACAGAGATAAGTTTCTTCCTTTCTTTCTTTCTCTCTCTCTCTCTCTCTCTCTCTCTCTCTCTCTCTCTCTCTCTCTCTCTCTCTCTCTCTCTTTGTTTCTTTCTCTCTTTCTGAAGACAGGGTTTTGCTGTACAGTCCTGCCTGTTCTGGAACTTAATGTGTAAACCTGGCGGCCCTTGAAATCGCAGAGCTCCACCTGCCTCAGCCTAGGTACTGGGATTAAAGGTGCACCCTTTATGCCTAGCTTAAGACACAGACTTTTAAGGAAAAGGCACAGGCTACTAAACCAATATACAGACAATGATAATTAAACCAATATATAGACATAGTCAGCAATTACTTAAAGTGTTCATACTTATTCTTTTTCACAAACCAGTATCTAAAACTATTCAATAAATTTAACCACTTGCTCAAAATTTAAGCACAGTAACAAAACTAAACAAAAAAGCACTACTGTAAACTCAAACTTTTAAAACTCCATATAGTTAGGTGAACTTTTGAGAGCAAATTTATTCAAAGGTCAAATGATGAAATTTCAAATATAACTATAGTGATTAAGGAGCCTGTGAAATATCCATAATTAAAGCTAAACGCTAACATGAGACAGCATCTTAATACTGTTATTGGAACCAGTTAGATGACTCGGTGGATCAAGACACTTGTCATACTGCACAGATACACACAATAAATTAAAAAATGTAATTAAAATTTTTTTAAATTAGCCTGGAGAGACGGTTTGGTGGTTAAGAGCACTGGCTGCTCTGCCAGAGGTCCTGAGTTCAATTCCCAGCAACCACACAATGGCTCACAACCATCTGTAATGAGATCTGGTGCCCTCTTCCAGCACGCAGGCAGGCATGTATGCATGCATGCATACATACATACATAAAATACATACATACATAACAAATCTTTTTTAAAAATTTAAATAACTTCCCTGTGTAGCTTTGGAGCCTGTCCTGGAACTAGCTGTTGTAGACCAGGCTGGTCTTGTACTCACAGAGATCTGCCTGCTTCTGTATCTCCAAAGTGCTAGGATTAAAGGTGTGCACCACCACCGCCCAGCCTTCCTTTCCAATCTCAAGGCCTTGATTGTTTTGCTATTGCCCACAACTCCCTTCTGCACATGAGCCCCACCCACAACTTCTCTGCAACCTGGATCTGCCTGTCTTTCTTTTTGAGCTGGTGCCTCTTGCAGCCGGTTCTCATGTACTTCAACCAAATTTTCCTGAAACAGTCCCAGATAAGCTAACTGCCAAGGAGAGTAACCTAATAATTTCCACATTACAAATTAGCTTATTAGTTGTGTTTGAGACACGGTCTCACTATGGTAGCCTAATCAGCCTGGAACTAGTTATGTAGAGCAGGTTAGCCTAGAACTCAAGAGATCTGCCTACTTCTACCTCCCCAGTATTAGGATCAATGACTTGAGCCATTAATGATATGCCAGCTTACTACATATTTTAAGGTTGATACTGTAATTGTATCTAAAAATAAGATGGCACTTGCCACACCTACCATATATATATATATATATGATCCCTTAAGAATCACATTACTCGGGCTGGAGAGATGGCTCAGAGGTTAAGAGCACTGACTGCTCTTCCAGAGGTCTTGAGTTCAATTCCCAGCAACCACATGGTGGCTGACAACCATCTACAATTCAATCTGGTGTATATGTAATAAATAAATAAAAAAATCTTTAAAAAAAAAAAAGAATCACATTACTCAAATTAATAGTAAGTATGGAAACACTTTTAATATACTCAAAATTCTTCTTACCTGCCTGTTGGAAAACCAGAATTTCCTTTCATGGTATGCTGATAAGTAGAAAACATGCATCATACCACTAATGACGGCTGCAAGACAGCCAATAAAAATCTTTGCAAAGCGCTGAAATGACACATCTGAAAAAGAATATTAAAGAAAATCAAAAAGTGATTAAAATGACATCCTAACTCAACGGTTTCTTCCCCAAAACACATAAGCCCAGTCTAAGCATGAGAAATGTTAAACTGCACGTCACTCTTACATGTCACCTGGCCAGGACTCAGTTACTGGAATGCTCGCCTGGACACCCTGAGGTTCATCTCCACTATGAGCAAAGGATAACAGGGGCATCGAAAACCTAAAAACCTGTCAGAGTACAGAGTCCAGGAAAGCACAGCAGCAAAGGCAAGACAACATAAAGCAAAAACGAAAACCGTCTGGATAAAGTACAGGCTCCACTTAAGGGTAATCCGTCAGTATTTATTACCTGTAACAAATGTGTCACACTAACTGAAAAGCCAACAAGGGAAGAGGTACTCAGGGCTCAGGGCCCCAGTGAGAAGCTTTAGTGGGGAAAAGTACTAGCCATCCTTGGGACCAACACAGTGGAAGGAGAGAACTTATGCCCAAGAGTTGTCCTCTAATCTCCATGTGTGCCCATATGCCCAAACATACACACACACACACACACACACACACACACACGCACGCACGCACGCACGCACACGCACACACACGCGCACACACACACTCGTGCGAAAAGAAAAATGCCTAAATTTTATTTACATAATGAACACACTACAAGGTAAATATGCATAAAATTAAGGAAAAATACACTGAAAACTGGTTAAGTCTTGAAAAAAAAATCCAGGTGGTAGTGGTACATGCCTTTAATCCCGGCATTTAGGAGTCAAAGGCAGGCAGATCTCTGAGTTTCAGGCCAGCACAGTCGACATAGTGAGTCCCAGGACAGCCAGGACTACAGAAAGAAATCCTGTCTTGATAAAAAGCAAACAAACAAGCCGGGCAGTGGTGGCTCACACCTTTAGTGCCAGCACTCAGGAGGCAGAGGCAGGCGGATCTCTGTGAGTCTGAAACCAGCTTGATCTACAGTTCCAGGACAGCCTCCAAAACCAGAGAAACCCTGTCTCGGAAAAACAACAACAAAAAAGACATGAGGGAAAAAAAAGTAATCAAAATGAATGCTGTGGTGATACTTTGTTTACGATCTAACAAATAAAGCTTGCCTGTAGGTCAGACTGCAAAGCTAGCCACACTAGTTAGTCACAGAGGTCAGGCAGTGGTGGTACAACTTTAATCCCAGCACTCGGGAGGCAGAGGCAGAAGGCTCTCTGTTAGTTCAAGGTCATACTGAACTACACAAAATCAATCCAGTCTAAAAGAGAAACAGAGCTCACACAAAAGTGATCTCAGCACTTGGGATCCCACACCTTTAATCCCAGCACTAGAGAGGAATGAATATAAGAGGAGACAGGAGCTCAGTGCAGCTGAGGTTTGGTGGAGACAGATGCTGTGTGGAGATGCAGTCTGGGGACAGGATCGCTCCTGTCTGAGCATTGCCAGAGGTGAGAGCTCTCTAGTGGCGGGCCACTTTACTTCTCTGATCTTCAGCTTTAACCCCAATATCTGTCTCTGGGTTTTTATTATTAATACCAATTAGAATTTATGCTATATCATGTACTAATATCTAAAAACACACTCATTCTGAATTACTATTGATATATTTTTCCTTTCAAGAATAACTGACACATATACTATAAACTACAGTCCTTTACATATTATATATATTTCAGTGAGTTTTGAGGGTTATGACTTAGAAGGATGCCCATGAAACTATTTGCATGGAATCCTTCCTGATGAAGCAGCACAGGACACACCAGGACTCTGCACACAGGAGGACACATCCCACCACAGCTGGGAAGTAAGGTGCCAAATTCATGAGACCCACTGCTCTGGGACTGAACGGCAGACAACTTTGGGGAAATCAACTTTTTGATTTATTAGATTAGTTGGTTTAGTACAGTGTTAGTTGTTACCTAGAGTGAGCAATGCCCAGGCTTAATCCCTAGCACTGAAAGGCAAACAAAGCTCAGTGTTTGCAAATGTTACTATTTATCGTGCAAAATACATATCTCTAGATAAAAAATAACCATAGTCTAAATATTTTAAAACTATTCAATAAATCAACGATTAGTGCCAGTATAATTGCTTTATGGTTTTAGTTTTCTTTTGTTGGTGATGGTGGCATCAGTAGTGGTGGTGGCCTTTTTGGGACAAGGTCTCACTTTGGCTGGCTTGGAACTCCTATAGAGATCCACCTGCTTCTGCTTCCTAGATGCTGGGATTATAGGTGTGAGTCACTGCGACCAGCCTTGATATAACTGTCTTACAATTTGGTTTTGGTGTGTTTTCGCTTTTTGACAGTATCATATGTAGATTAAGTAATTAGTGATTAGTATGTTTTTTGTTTTTTGGTTTTTTTTGTTTGTTTGTTTTTGGTTTTTTTCCTGAGACAGGGTTTCTTTGCATTGTTTTGGAGGCTGTCCTGGCACTCGCTCTGTAGACCAGGCTGACCTCAAACTCACAGAGAGCCGCCTGCCTCTGCCTCCCGAGTCCTGGGACTAAAGGCATGCACCACCAACGCCCAGCTAGTATGTTCTAAGAGCACAGCAAATACCAGTCATTATTATTGTGCTAAGTAAGTGTACTTTCATAAATATATAAAGCAACTGAAGCAATGACAGCCTAGTATCTAACCCTAAAAAAAATAAAAAATAAAAAAAATAAACTAGAGAGTGGTAGGGCACACCTTTAATCTCAGCACTTGGGAGACAGAGGCAGGCGGATCTCTGTGAGTTCAAGGCTAGCCTGGTCTGCAGAACGAATTCTAGGATAGTCAAGACTATGCAGAGAAACTGTGACTCAAAAATCAGACAAAGTAAATGAATAAAATAATAAAAATTCAATTTGAAGATGACAGTGCATGCTCATTATTCCAGCAATAAGAAAGTTAAGGCAGGCAAAGCACAAATTCAAAGCCAGTCTGGGCTATAGATGGGTTCTAGGCTGCTGTGGGATACCTAGCTAGCCTGTCTTCTAAATAAGTAAATAAACAACAAAGGATAGGACTTTCAATTAAGTTGTCAGTCATAAACTAGCATAATTAGATAATCTTTCAATTGTAAAAGCACTGATCAAGTGTAGAAAATAAAAATATTTATAATTTTATAATTATAGGATCAGTAATACAGATGACAGTTTTTGTTGTTGTTTCTTAACATTTCAATTGTTTACTTATTTTTTTATTTGTATGTGTATATATATGCTACCATGTGCATGTGGAGGCCAGAGGACATTTTTTTTTTCTCCCGAAACAGGGTTTCTCTGTGGCTTTGGAGGCTGTCCTGGAACTCGCTCTGTAGACCAGGCTGGCCTCGAACTCACAGAGATCCGCCTGCCTCTGCCTCCCGAGTGCTGGGATTAAAGGCGTGTGCCACCAACGCCTGGCGCCAGAGGACATTTAAAGAAGCTGTTTTTGTCAGTCAGAAATAATAATTAATGAGCCTTTTCTAATAAAATGAAAAAACCTCAAGGGCTGGAGAGATGGCTTAGAGGTTAAGAGCACTGACTGAGTTCAATTCCCAGCAACCACATGGTGGCTCACAACCATCTGTAATGAGATCTGGTGCCCTCTTCTGGCCTGCATGCAGGCAGAACACTGTATACATAATAAATAAATCTTAAAAAAAAAAAACTCAAAATATCAACACCTTTCAAGAAAAGCTTTATTTCTCACTTCTATTATACATGGGTTCTTTTGTATTTGTTTTTGCTTTTCAAGACACAATTTCTCTGTGTAACCCTGGCTGTCCTGGAACTCACTCTGTAGATCAGGCTGGCCTCAAACTTACAGAGATCCACCTGTCTCGGCCTCCTGAGAGCTTGGATCAAAGGTGTGCGCTACCACTACAGGCAATGCATAACTCCAATTCAGGTTACTGCTTAATTCAAGACCTCAACAGTTTGTTCTTGATCTCCTTGTGTCTTCACAGTTGCAGATTCCATTCTCAGGGGATCTGACACACATTTCTAGCCTCAGCAGTCACAGGGCATGTATGAGGTTCACATACATACATGCAGACAAAACACTCATATACATAGATACTTATGTAAATTAAAAAAATAACTGCAACTACTCACAGCCACAGTATGTCTGCCACTGTATAATATGCTTGTGAGTTTGTGATTAGGTTACACTCTGCATTGCTTATCAGCTTTGAGCTCCCATCCTCCTTCCTTGGCCTCCTGGGTGCTAGGATTACAGGTGTGCACCACCATGCCAGCACCATGATTTATTTGAGCAAATACACAAAGACCCTTAACTTTCCATAGGGAGGAAGCAGTCTAAGAAAGCTGTTTGGCCCCTATGTGTAACATAGCTCTAACGCCCTCTTCAGGTAAGGAAGGTAAGAGGGAAGGGAAAGCCTCTGGGAGACAAGTCAAGGACCACAAGGAAAATGAACTTCAAGCAACTCCCAAAGAACAAAACGGGACACACACAAGATTTCCTACGTCAGGGAAGGAGATGTTGTGCTTAGCTCTGGACTGCTATGGCACATGTGATGGACAGTGGGAGACTGGTCCTTTCGAACAGAAGCATTTACAGGATCACACTAATTGTGTGTACTGAGAGGGGGCGTATACAGAAAGAATTAGCAAGGCAGGCCTGGGGCAGCACCACAGGACAGGACTGCTTACAAGGTAGGCTCTTGGCTGGCATCCGGGAACCATTCGTGATAAGTGTGGTTTACTGCGCCCACCTTATTTGTATAATATCATTTATGCTTTCTTCCAGTCTAAAATTTGATCAGATGATAGACAAAGGGTACCCACATGCCAACTCCCTTTAAAACTCCCTAAAAACCCTGAATGCTGTCTCTGAGTTTCATTCACTCTGAAAAAACTATGAATGCCACAACTTGAGGCCAAAGAGATAAAGAATGTCCTATATGACTCCACTTCACCAAGAGGGCCTCTGCCCTATGCTGATTTTGTGTTATTCACTCTACCAAATGAGTGCTTTAAGGACAATTATAAGATCTGTAAGTCCTTGAAGCAAACCACTGAACATAGCTGTTTTTGAGGACTGTGACATATTGCAGACAACTTGACTCTTTAGTTCTTAAGTCCAGAATGAGTCCTACCTGATGAAGAAAAGATATCTTGAATTTTAAAACTGATACTGTGACAAAATAAGATTGGATGCCTCCCTTAGTGCAGGGGAGGTTATGTTTTGTCTGGGAGAGTGGGGCAAATATTGACAAGGAAAAGGATAAAGTGTAGTAAGATGGTCTTAATATCCCAACCACTTTCTCCTTCCTTACAGAAAAATTACAGGGTGATGTAGCTCATCCATAGCATGAGCCACACGAACAAAGCCCCAGGCTTGACCTGAAATGTGATAAAGAGATGAATGGAGATAGACGATTATGTATTTGTACCCATGACCATGAGACTTCTGTGTTCAGTAGTCACGTATGCTTCCGTAACCCATTATCTGATAATCCCAGCACTAGGGAGGCAGAGGCAGGAGGATCTCTGTGAGTTCAAGACCAGCCTGGTCTACAAGAGCCAGTTCCAGGACAGCCTCCAAAGCCATAGAGAAAGCCTGTCTCAAAAAACCAAACCAAACCAAACAAACAAAAAACCCAAAAAACAAAACAAAATCCATTATCTGGATTGAACAGGACTTGCTTGGACCACGACTAAAAGTACACATTACAGTGTGGGAGTCCAGCAGAACCCCCAAGGGGCACCTATGATTCTACATGCTCTGCTGCTCTTTTCCTCCATCCCCCACAAAAACATGCCCCCAATAGGGGCTGTTCCTTCCTGCTACATGAAGTCAAACCAGCCAACCTGTGACTAAAACAAGTAACATAACTCAGAAATGTTTGTTATATCATGGCCACAACACAGACCATAAACAAGATATAAATGTTTAGTGTAAAGTGACACAGTTTTGAGGCTATTCTATAGCAAACTTGATTATGTCAACCATAAATTTAATCTCAAAATATCTTGGATGGTAGAGTCCTTGCCTAGCACAAGTCCTAGGTTTAGTTCTCAACACCTCAAAACACAAAAAGCAAAAGAAACAATGTTTGAAAGCACACACACTTAAATGATGGAAGCACACATTCTCCAGCTGGGGTACTACCACACAGGCAACCCCCAGATTCATATGACTTACATTTTGGCGCTCTTTCAGGAACTGGGGTGCTGCTGATCTTCTTTGCTCTGGTTTCTTGACTCCCCGCAGTCTTTGGCTTTTTCCTTTGGCGGAGCTCTACGGATGATCCTTAAGACATTGAAGACATTATTGCAGTGTGCGCATCAATCTTCGGTACCTCCAATGGATCAACTTCGCTACGTGATAAGCAAAGATTACCTACATGGCCAGAGCCCAGCAGAAGCCCCCCACGCCCTGTCTCTACTGAGCTTCCTTGTTGATAAAACCACAAATGGCACAACTATGATACTGAAGGAATCAAATATAATGTCTATGACACTATAAAGAGAAAATTTTGAGTCATGTGACTAAAACAAGTCATGAGATCCATTAGTGCCAGAAGAAACTTTTCCTATCTGCGCCTCTTCCTCCAACTGTCTTTAGCATACACAAACGGAAGCAACAACAAAGATATCTTCCCTACTACCACTACCACTCACGCTTTGAGAGTCCAATTGATAAAAGCTTCCAAATTCTTCTGCTGAAATGATGCTCTTTTATAATGTTCCAAAATAAGTAATTTTTCCCCCAAAGAATTGAGGGGTATTTTTCACCTTACCATGTCAGCTACCGAGATTATCAACTCCATCATTTGTAGGTTAACAATTTTTGATCAAAATACAATGTCTTAGCCATAAAATTAGGCTTTTCTTTTTCTGTTCTCTCTTCTTTTTAAAGGCAAACTCTTGAGTGGCCTCAAGCTCCGGGTCCTCCTGCCTCAGCCTTCTGAATGCTGGGATTACAGGCATGCAGCATGGCTTTTCTTTCCAGGATTTGGGACAGGACAAAGTTTCCCGCGCACTCCAGGCAAACGCTCTACTGTCAAGCTATTACCCAGCCACACAAGCTCCACAGCACAGTCCTGGAAGCATTGCAGACTCCCACAGAGATGACAAATGTAGGTGTTTGTTTTCTGTCCCCTCACACTTATTCAAAGAGCTTGGGAAAACACCCTATCAAATGCTCACCTGTGCCATCTCTAATTTTTACAAAAGGCAATGCAAAGTTACTAAACCAGAAAGTCAAATTCCAAATTAAAAAATAAGAGACTCCAGCCGGGCGGTGGTGGCGCACGCCTTTAATCCCAGCACTCGGGAGGCAGAGGCAGGCGGATCTCTGTGAGTTCGAGGCCAGCCTGGTCTACAAAGTGAGTTCCAGGACAGCCTCCAAAGCTACAGAGAAACCCTGTCTCGAAAAAACCAAAAAAAAAAAAAAAAAAAAAAAAAAAGAGACTCCAAATTAAACAGGAATTTGACATAGATAACATAGCTTTTTCCTTTCCAAAAATTATCTGTGAGCTAATAACTACTAAAAGACTAAAATGCCCCTGTCAAGTTAATAATGTGGCCCAGGTTTTATTTCTCTTCCTTTATCACAGTCCTATTAAGCTATAAAATGTGAGACTAAGGAATGGAATCAGTATCAATGAGAATGGGCTGCTCTCATCAAATAGACAACTCTTTAGCTTTACTGTGAAAACTGGTAAAACAAATATATTCTGAAACTGTAGTAACAAGTAACAAGAAAGATTCATTCTCAGTCTAATTCTCACCTATATTTATGGCACAATTCCTAACCACATTCTACATTCCCACACTGTACTCCTCACTCCTCAACAATAAAACACTGCCTCTGCACAGAGACCATCACAGAAAACCACAACCAATCAAAATGCAAAGCTGGGGAGCCAGGCCCAATTGATACATCTACAGAACAACTCCCACACCTAAATATATCTACAGAACAACTCCCATGCCTAAGGTTCACTGGACATTGTGGAAGAGGGGTGGAAAGACTGTAAGAGTCAGAGGATAAAGAAGATCAAAGAGGATCCAAGTACCTGTAAATAAGTCAAAAGCTAGAAATAGTTCCTGGATTCAAATAAACTTATAGAGATTGGCCTAATTTTAGCATAACAAATAGAAAATATGTAAACAGAAAGCACTCAGGGCAATACCTGCATGTTTGCTGTAAATATGATCATCACCAGTATCATTACAAAAAATATTATTCATTCTCTGTCTTATAGCCCAGCACCTAAAAGAGTAGAGGCCTAGTCATGGAATTAAGCATTTGTTGAAGGAAACAACATATTTTAATAAAACAGTCACCCGCTAATTTTTCCAAATAAAACACATTGGTTTTTAGATTACCTATAATTCAACAACCAAAAATCATCTGCTAGTTTATAGTCAAATACTTTTACAAAATGACATAGTCTTTTAACAAGTTCGACATCATTGCTATTAAACATAATTGCATCTTAAATGTCATTTTTCATATTTACAATATCAAGTTTTGGTAGTGTGTATTATTTTTTTCCGAATGTGCTTACAAGGGCATGCAAACTGGTTTGTCAACCTTTCCACACAGACTTGTAGCTAACCACGAAAAATAAAATTTACAAAAAAAATTGTTTTCAAATGTTATCACACTGCAACCACAGGTAAAACTAAGGAAGCAAAGGAAATACATTCTTCCTTACAAACCACCTGTTTTTGAGGCTGTTTTTAGGAAGTATCTTAAGCGAGGATGAATTTTAACGCGGAGAACTGCAGGAGAAGGAATGGTTAAATCCTGACCTCAGGAACAGGATCAAGTCCCAGTCAGCACCACAGTTCTCAGAATCTCTTGAAAAATGGCTTTCCATTGAATTCTGCCAACTCCCTTCTTATACTCTCGAATCAACGGCTTCAATCTAAATTCTATGAACTAACGATCACATTCACAACTCTACTGTGTAAGATAAAAAACTTTTCCAGCAGGATGCAGCATCTAACTGCTCAGCCAAGCGAGGGAGATCTAAGAGCTCAGTGGTGCCTACCGGTACCATGAAGTTACTGTGCCACAAATACTTTTTAAAGCTACGCATCGCTGGCTGCTTGGTTCCTTTCCGCTTCCTAGTTTTCTCTCACCGTGGACATCCTCTCTGGATAAATACTGCTGGGTAAAAAAAAATTCACTTTCTTGATATTGACCCTGTGGGGCATGCAGAGCTCTGTCTAGCCCATCAGTTTTAACCCTAGGGGTGCTTTTTGGCCTCCTCATCTCCTAAAACCGCTTGAACGCCCCTGCACTTAGCGATTCGTCATATCTCACAGCACAAGTGAACTCGGCCAGGTTCTGCGCATCCATCCCAGATCCCTGCCTCAGTTTCTCCCGCGGGGCGCGAGCCCTCGCACTCTGCACCCCAAGCTCCCAGCGCACATCCGAACCTCGTCCGGCTTTCCAGCTCCGAGCAACTCCCCACCAGCTTCCTCTTGATGACTCCCAACTTTAAGCCCCACCTTGGCGTCCCGCTTCGGGAGACAAAACTTTGGGCCATTTTCCCCGCGCGCCCGATTCCCCCTGCAAACTCAGGGGCGCGCGCCCCCGCCCGCCCTGCTCCCCGCGGCCCGCAGCCAGGCCCCGGCTCCCCTCCCGAGCCCGCCGCGGCAGTTGGCGCGCTGCACGCCGCGGCCGTCACCTTCTTCCTTCGCCATCGTCTCCGCGAAGGCGCGGGTGGCCCGCCGGCTGCCGAGCGGCCCAGAGTCTCCCAAAACCCCGCGTCTGCCCAGCCCAGGCCGCCCCGGCCCGCTCCCGGCTGCCGCGCCCCCACTTCCTGACCCGCCCCCCTCCGGTGTCGCCGCCAACTGTGTCCCCCAGGCGCGCCAGGAACCAGAGTGCAGGGAGCGGAGGCCGGCCGGAGCGTTTCGCCAGCGCGCCTGGGCCGAGCCCACCACCCGGGCCGGAGTCCGCCGAGCTCCAGGGGGTGGCGAGGCTGGTGCTCCCGCGGCCGCCCCCTCTCCTCACAGGAAGGCAGGAGCCGGAGCGAGCTTTTCGTGACGTGGCATTGGACTCGGGAAGTCACACACTATTGTCCAGATGCAGTCCCCATAACCGGCCCATTTCGCAAACAGAAAACTGAGGTTCGGTCGCAGAGCAAGCCACCGCTAGCAAGAGCTAGAACTGGAACCTCGGACCCGATGGACTGTTAGCGCCTGCGTGTTCTCACGATGGTCTCAAAGCCAGGCAAAACGTTCTCGACAGGGTCTTTGGCTTGGTAGGATTTTGTTTGTTTGTTTGTTTGAGGGCTGGATCTCCGCATGGCCCAGGCTGTTCCTCACTTGCCTCAGGTTCCCGACTACCATGGCAGTAGTGATCCACTGTTTGGCTTCCTAGGCACTTGACAGCTACAGAAAAGCTTTTACCAGATTATTCTCTATTGTAATCCCAGAACCTCACAGATAGAGGCAAGGTCAAACGCAGCTACATTTGCAAGCTAAACTATTATCACATAAAAAAGGAAACACACAAGAAAGCAATGTGTCAGTCATCAAAATTGGCGTCAACAAAACACATCTCAGTGTTCTGTAAGAAAGCACATTAGTACTTTTGTCTGTTATGAAGGAATGCATGAAGATTATTCCATAACAGTACTGAGCATGTCTCATATTGCATACAGTGCGCTGAATAACACTGGCAAGTTTTAAGAAGAACCTGCTAGATCTCTGTGAGTTCGAGACCAGCCTGGACTACTCGGGAGGCAGAGGCTGGCGGATCTTTGTGAGTTCGAGACCAGCCTGGTCTACAAGAGCTAGTTCCAGGACAGCCTCCAAAGCCACAGAGAAACCCTGTCTCGAAAAAACCAAAAAAAAAAAAAGAAGAAGAAGAAGAACCTGCTAACCAAATTTTGATTGTAAAAAAAAAAAAATAGGAGAGAACTGGAACTGGAGAGATGACTCAAAGTTTAAGAGCTTTGGCTCTTCTTCCAGAGGACCTGAGTTCAATTCCCAGCAACCATATGGTGGCTCACAGCCATCTGTAATGAGATCTGGCGCCCTCTTCTGGCCTGCGGGCAAACAGACAGGCGCTGTATACATATATAAATATAGACAGATAAATCAATCAATCAAATAATCTAAATGATGTTTTAGGCCTGGCAGTGGTGGCACATGCCTTTAGTCCTAGTACTTAGGAGACAGAGGCGGGCAGATCTCTGTGAATTCAAAACCAGCCTGGTTTACAACAGCTAGTTCCAGGACAGCCTCCAAAGCCACAGAGAAACGCTGCCTCAAAAAACCAACAATAAATAAATAATGTTTTAAAAAATAGGAGAAAATTGTTATTTCAAATGAAATAAAACTTGTTTCGTTCTTTTTCATGTTGTTGGACCTAATGAGAACAGTACAGACTTTGTGGAAACTTATGTAGAATTTTCCTGAAAATAAGCATCCTGAAAGATATACAGTTGTTTCAAAAAGGCACACATTTTGCCATTGAGCCCTAAAGCCTCCAAATATACTAAAAGTAGAATATCGTTTTTTTGAAAGAATGTGTGTTGTCTGTCTGTGTAAGTCTTAGCTGAACCTGCAGGAGCTGGTTTTCTTTTGATATGATAAATGAAGATGATTTCTGAGATAGCTATCTTGAAATTAATCATGTACTGTTATTGGTTGTTTTTTGTTTTTTTTGGGTTTTTTTTTTTTTTTTGGTTTTTCGAGACAGGGTTTCTCTGTGGCTTTGGAGGCTGTCCTGGAACTAGCTCTTGTAGACCAGGCTGGTCTCGAACTCACAAAGACCCGCCAGCCTCTGCCTCCCGAGTGCTGGGATTAAAGGCGTGCGCCACCAATGCCCGGCCTTGTTTTTTTTTTTTTTTTTTCTTTTCTTTTGAGATTGATTTATTATGCATACAGTGTTCTGCCTGCATGTATGCCCGCAGGCCAGGAGAAGGCACCAGATCTCATTACAGATGGTTGTGAGCCACCATGTGGTAGCTAGGAATTGAACTCAGGACCTCTGGAAGAGCAGCCAGTGCTCTTAACCTTTGAGTTAACACCCAAAGGTGTTTTTCCTTTCTTTTTCTTCTTTCCTCTTTTGGAGGGCCCACCACACAGCTTCCAAGTACATATATGGAGGCTTATTCATTCCTATAAATGCTGGGTCTTAGTTTGGCTTGTTTCTTGCTAGCATTCCTTAAATTATCCCGTGTACCTTTTTTTTTTGTTTGTTTTTGTGTTTTTTTCGAGACAGGGTTTCTCTGTATTGTTTTGGAGGCTATCCTGGAACTCACTCTGTAGACCAGGCTGGCCTCGAACTCACAGAGATCCGCCTGCCTCTGCCTCCCGAGTGCTGGGATTAAAGGCGTGTGCCACCAACACCCGGCTTTCCCGTGTACCTTTTGCTTCTGGGCTTTTCCTTTTCTCACTCCGTACATCTTACTTTCGCTCTTAGTCCATGGCTGACTGTGTGGCTGGTCCCTGATCCTCTTGCTCCTTTATCCTCTCTTCCCAGATTTTTCCTTCTATTTATTCTCTTCTGCCTGCCAGCCACACCTATCTGTTCTCTTGCCTCGCTTTTGACTGTTCAGCTCTTTATTAGACCAATCAGGTGTTTTAGACAGGCAAAGTAACACAGCTTCAGAGTTAAGCAAATGCAACATAAAAGAATACAACACATCTTTACATCATTGAACAGATATTCCATAGCATAAACAAATATAACACATCTTAAAATAATATTCCACAACAATATACTTTCTATATGCCAAACACAATCTATTGCCAAGATACTAGAAAAATATAAAAGTCCACAAGAACTTATCTTCTTGAAATCAGAGTTACATCCAAAATTTATTTTAAGGGTCAACAAACTGGTTCCACAGGTAAGAGCATTTGCTGCCAAGTCTAATGGCTTGAGTTCAATTCCAAGGATATACAAGGTGGAGTAAGAAAACTGACTCCCACAGTCTGTCCTGATCCCCATGTATGTGCTGTAGTGCATATACCCCCACACACATGCACATGCTTATACAGAGAAAAATAGGTATAATCCTGAACAAAATGCATTTGGGGGCTGGAGAGATGGCTGAGGCGTTGAGAACACTGGCTATTCTTCAAGAGGATCTGGAATCTGTTCCCAGAATCTACATGATGGCTTCCTGCAGTCCCAGGAGTTCTAACACATTCCTTTGGCCTCTGTGGGCACCAGGAATACACGTGGTAAACACACATACCTGGAAGCAAAACCACTCATACACATAGAGTGAAATAATAACAAAAATTGTTTCAAACATATGCTTCTAACCAAGGCTTCACTTGATTAATAATACATGATTAGTATGAAATGTGTTGTGGTTTGCTGTTGTTGGTTTTTTTTTTTTTTTTTTTTGGTTTTTGGAGACAGGGTTTCTCTGTAGCTTTGGAGGCTGTCCTGGAACTCGCTTGGTAGACCAGGCTGGCCTCGAACTCACAGAGATCCGCCTGCCTCTGCCTCCCGAGTGCTGGCATTAAAGGCGTGCGCCACCAACGCCCGGCATGTGTTGTGGTTTGTAAGAAAATGACTTGTATCAGGCTTTTTCTTTTAGGACCAACAGTCAGCTCCCAAACCATGACATGAGGCTTATTGTTAGTTATGAATGCTTGGGCTTATCTTAGCTCTTATTTTATACTGCTTGTCTCTATGCTTTGCCTTGGGGCTTTTTATCCTTTGGTATATCTTTTGTTTTTGTTTTTCGAGGCAGAGTTTCTCTGTGTAGCTTTGGAGCCTGTCCTGGAATTAGCTGTTGTAAATCAGGCTGGTCTGGAACTCACAGAGATCCACCTGCCTCTGCCTCCCAAGTGCTGTGAGTAAAGGCGTGCGCCACCACCACCAGGCTCCTTCTGCATATCTTACTTTCACTGATTCTTGTGTCTGTTGGTCCAGCTGGCAGTGGCCCAGCTTCTGGCTCCAGGCATCTCCCTTCCTTCCTGGGCTGCCTATCTCCCTCCCCTCCCTTTTCTTCTTCCTCTGTTCTTCCGAGCATAGATTTCTCCTCCTATTTATTCTCTCTCTGCTAGCACCACCTATCCTCTCCTGCCTGTTCAGCTTTTATTAGACCAATCAGATGCCTTAGGCAGGCAAGGTGAAACAAATGAAGTATATCTTTACATAATTAAACATACATCCTTGTATGCTTAACAAATGCAGTATAAACAAATGTAATATATTTACACAGTTAAAGCTATATTCTGCAGCATAAACAAAGGTAACACATCTTTTCCCAGTTAAAATAATATTCCACAACAATGGCTCCCAAAGGGTGTGACACTATTAGGAAGCATGGCCTTGTTACAGGAATTGTGTCACTTTTGCTCAAGCTTCCCTCACTGTGACTGTCAGTTGACGTCATGTTCCCTGTGAGCCAAGGTAGCAGTCTCAGCTTCAGCACCACATCTGCCTATATGCCACCATGCTTCCCATCATGATGATAGTAGACTGAACCTCTAAAACTGTGACCCACCCAATTAAATGTTTCCTTTTTGTTTGCTTGTGTTGTTTAGCTCTGGCTGTCCTGAGACTCACTAGGCCTCAAAATCCCAAGATCCGCCTGCTTCTGCCTCCTGAGTGCTGCGATTAAAGGCATGAGCCACCACTGCCCAGCTAAATGTTTTCTTTATAAGAGTTACCATGGCGCCGGGCATTGGTGGCACATGCCTTTAGTCCCAGTACTCGGAAGGCAGAGACAGGAAGATCACTGTGAGTTCGAAGCCATCCTGGTCTACAGAGGGAGTTCCAGGACAGGCCCCAAAGCTACACAGAAAAACCCTGTCTCGAAAAACCAAAAAGAAAAAAAAAAAAAATGTAGTGGATGCCTTGGGACAAGTTATGGATGATTGTGGGCCACCATGGGAATGCTGGGAATCCATCCTGGGTCCTCTGTAGCAGCAGAAAGTGTTCTAAACTGATATACCATCTCTCCAGCCCTTTATCAAAGTATCTTTGAGCTGGTAGGATTAAACATCTTAAAACGTTTTGAAATACAGATTTTCCTAGTCAAAACTCTTCTAGA